CCTCAATACCTGATGACTGGCCAGTAAGGGGTTTCTTGTTGGTATGATATGGATGGTGAGCTTGCAATTTGTATTCTGTTACATTTCTTGGACAAGTTCCATTATTAGACAAGATCCGAGTTTCCAGTCTAGCCACAAGATTGCTTGAAGTGTGCTTCTTTTTGTTTCCAAATTCCCTGGCCAATCTAAACAAAAGTTTCCGAGTAAGTTATGAGCAATTAAAAAGATATCAATTGATATTGGAGCTCTGTCATATCTCTTGGAATAAAGACCATAATACGGATTATGGAGCAATATTCATTTAGATGATTTATAATCACAGTTGGTAGTTGCTCAGTTGCTGCATGTATGGAGTATTTTGGTTGAAATGATCTCTGATTCTTTCACTTGTAAGTTGTAAATTCAAGCTGTAGCTAATGTGGATATTCCATGCACGCTGATTCCAAGTTGATAATTAGAGTATTTATCCCCTTACAAGATTTCTATCTCCATCATTATTTAAAATATTGGCATTTAACCTGTGCCATGTGGAACAGAAGATCCCAAAAACAAAAATTGGGGCTCAATGCTAATTCCCACCTCAAAACACCTTCATAAATATGGGATTGGCCCAGTTAGATATGAAATGTTTGCGGGATTTTGGCAGAGTTGGATATGTGAAACTGGGTATGTTACCACTATAGCGCACATGTCCAGCCATTATTTCCAATTGAAACAACATCAACTCAGAACTGATATTGTTGATAAAGTCTCAAGAGACCATTGTCCATTGAAGCTTTAAAAATTCCTGCTCGAATCTGGATATATCATACATCCAGTTTGCAGTGCTCATAGTTGAAGTTTGATCTTTAAGATCTAAACCACTAATGGATGCCCAAAGCCAGGCAAGCCGCAAGTTTGCTTTCAAGGTTCAAGATTTGGGTCCACATTAATTGGCCACCAATGATCCTCCTCTAATGCACTGTCTTCTTCCAGGGGGCTGATTTGCTGAACCGAATCATCATCAGAGTCAAGAGTAAGGTCAATAAAATTGTTCGGATCAACTTTGAAAGATCCACGGCTGGCCCGTCTGGGTGTGGGTGAAGGAGATTGTGAATTGAAGATTTTCCACAGGCGATTCACAGCAGATGTGGTTTTGCAAGCTTCTGTTGTATCTGCTACTCTGCAAGAGCGAGGCATAATATTCAATGATTGAAAAAAAGCAGAGCGTTTTAGCTTTGGGTCCTGTGTGACATCTCGTTTCCTTTTGTGTTCCCCACGTTTTCGGTTCCGAATGGCTGAAAAATGAATTAAATCTTCTAACCTTTTACGAGTCTGCTTATCCAGCCCACGTCGCTGATTGGGTGGAGGACCATCGAGCTGGGTCGCTTGAATATCTGGAATCAAGGATGTAGAAGCCATATCTTCAGGTGCGGTGTTTTCCGGACGTGCCCATGAAGCATATGGCCCGTCATATTTTGGACCCTGAAGAGGGCCAAGTACAGGATCCGCTATGAGCTTGCCAGACGAAATCAATGCCGCTGCTTCCTTTATACCCTCTGCGAGTTCTCTGTCTCCTGTGGTCGTTTTCGGCTCGGGTGCCCTTTCAAGTTCGAAGGTCGGGAAGTTCTCATCTGACCTGCCCCAAGGGGCGGTTGAGATAACATGAACACCGCCTGAGGCGTCTCCCAAAACCATGTTGGCATAGTCAGGAGAAATGGAAGCGCACATAATCTCTTGATTGAATGACGCTACATTCTCTTGCAAAACATTCTCTGGTGCAAGACGTATATCCCACCGCTTGACGACACCATCCGATGCACCCGTATAGAATTCAAAGCCTTTACCCCATACTGAGCAACGCACACCAACATCAGCTTGTTCACGTAGAAGAGCTTGGTTGAAATAGCCGATCGGCTCGCCATGCCTCAACTTGTGCATCACCCTATTTGGATTACGGTGATCCCAGACGTACGTCACTCCATCTGTGCAGCTTGCCGTGATATAGTTCTCATTTGCCGGGCAGAACGTCACTTGATTCATATCTAGTGCAGTGCACTCATACATCTGAGTAACACATTTCTTGCCATTTAAAGGGTCATATATCCGGACTAAGGATCGTACGTTCGTACCGATTCCATAAGAGCGTGCACCAAACGGGACCGTAGAACCGGTGGCAAAAACATCACAGTTAGGGTGCCACGCGACATCGAAAATATTTTGGGCGTTCGGTGTAACGTGTAAAGGCATTATAGCAGCTTCATTTACCTGCCAGAGAGCAAGGTACCCAAATCTGCTCGGGTCTTGGCTGTTGGAAGGGTCTTCCGCCGTCAATCCCCCCACAAGATATTTGCTAGTCCGCGGCATCTTTCCCCATTGAAGGGAGGATGGTATCATATTGGCACATTTGTCTTGCGGAAGTGGAAGATGGCTGGGTTTAGAGAAATTATCATCTTCCACCCGCCAAAGCAAAAAGGATGGACTATTACACCCTGTTGCCACAAGCTGGCTATCGAATTTCGAAACAGCCATTTCTTGAACCTCCCCTGGGTGCCGCAGAGTCTTGATACACCTGGAATTGTCGTGAGATGATACATCCCAGAGCTTCACTGTCCGGTCAAAGCTAGCGGTATAAAGTCGGTTGCCGCAACTAGTCCAATGCGTGGCGGTGACAGTCATATACAAGTTGGGGTCCACCATAACATAAGTGCTATGGGAATTGGGCCCTGACTCCATCAAGGGTCGCTTTATACGGTGGTCGGGTAACTCCTTTATCTTACTCGTAGAAAGATTTCCAAGGAGTAAATTGTTGTTCCGGTTGTACTGCATGCTGTGCTCATCAGTTTGAGCAGCAGCCCCGGCGGCGAAGCGAGTGCTATCTGGAGACCAAGAGAGTACCAGTACATCGCTCGAAGCACCCATCCATGATTTCCATGATTCCCATTTTGCTAAATCGTCAAGACGGCGCCCAATTCGAACTCGATTTTGGTGTGTCGCGTATCCAAATTCTCGAGACCTTAAAAGAGCTGAATAGTCATTGTCATCAAAATGCTGTTGGCATCTGTTGTGTCTCGCGATTACTGGCGCCACTTCGTTCGGGGGGGTAACTGGTTCGGGGGTCTTCAGTGTAGCCAGTTGTACTTCGTCCGAGTCTGGCTCGTGTCCGCCCACACGTTGAGAGAAACCTTGGGCTGGTGCGTAATAGTTCGTGGGTGCATTTCTATTGCGCGCAGAGCGCCTCATAGGTGTTCCAGGGCTTGCATTAGGCTGAGGTATTTTGGAGCTTTGGTGAGTGGACTTTGTCACTCGTGACGTCGCCCGAGTAGTGTATGTATTCTGAGGACAAGAAGCGACAGAGGGAGAAGTGGATAAATTAATCTTCTTGCTTTGTTGAGGTGCTAGTGCATTTTCAGCATTAGGCTGCAAGTTGATTCTGTGCGAAGCAGTGACCTGGGAGGGTTTGTTTGTTGTTGGGAGCTTTGAGAGGTTATGTTTTGTTCTCACTGGTGGGCCACAGGCATGGGCCATCGGACGGGAAACAATTTGGCTGTTGCTTTCCAATTGCGGCGCTTGGGAGCAAGGCAGAGGGTGATTGTATTCATTCCATTTTTCCTTTCTTGTTCCAACATGAGGTAAGGAAACACAAGGCCGCATTGATATCCCACAATGCTTTTCATCCAGCTGTTCATCTAGTGCTTTCATATCAGTCAATGTGGATGACCTATCAGTTTCTGAAAATGATGTGTTCCTTTTCAACAGAAAATCTTGGGACAATTCACAGTCCTCACTGAGTACTTTTGGACCAGATAGTGGTGCATGCAATGATTTCTCTACCTTGTTGCTTGGTAGGCTCACATGTGATACCGGGCGCCCTGTCGCCCTATGTGAATCATTGCCGGCAGTTTTCTGGGTAAGGGAAGTTGCCTCCGCCAAACGTTTAGCTGAAATCTTCAAGACGCAAGGTGGTCGACAAGGGTATAATGGATCTCTTTTATCGCGACTTGTTCTCATGCCAGATTTAGGGGGAAATTTGTTGTCGTATTTCTTCTTTGGTGAGCTGAAATGAGACGGCACCGCATTGAATGATACTGGCGATTCATTACTTAATAGCCCAACTATCTCAGTTTCCTCTCCATTGGATGTCCTAGATTTTGGCGAAACCCTGGCTGTTACTGGCTCCAGCTGTTCCCTGACGGGTTCCTTTTTGGAACTTTTCAAACCAGAGAATGGCAGTTCAACCTTTTTTGGCGTTTTGTTGAATGCCTTCTTTGATAGTCCAACATCAGTATTGACATTAGAAAGGGAAGTATGTCGGTTGGTGTTTCCTGGGGTATCCCTAGGAAGTCGATATTTAGACGACTCTGTTGCTATATTGTGTATATTTGAGCCCTCCGAGCGGATGGGTGTCAGCCGCGGTCCTATAATTCTGTTGGGTTCAGTATCTGCAGATATATCTGTGGATATAGAATCTGCTCTGCGCTTTAGCGGGTTGGGTCTCGATGCAGATAGTTTATGCTCCGGTGCTTCCTTCACAGGGCTTTTGTTGGGCAAGTGATGTGAAATGAATTTACTCAGTAGCGTCTGCGTCCGTGCATCCAAATCAGACTCATCAAAGTCGTCCTTTTCAGGGGAAGTGAGATCTGGCACTTGAGGTCCATCGACTGTAGGGTCGAGCGTGCTCGAAGCACTCCGGTCAGGTTTAACAGGCTGTCGATTCCGATTATTTTTCTCAGCAAATGCACGGGACTTTTGTTCGCTCTGGGCCGCTCGAAAACCTGCACCCAGGCTCAGCCCGCCGCGCCTTGCTTTCATCGGACTTCGACGACTGACTCTATATGTCGACGCATTTTAGTTCCTGCCAGAAGAAGGAAGGGCCAAGTATGCTGCCTGTAGTTACTCACTTTTTCTTCAAAGGGACATTTCTCCATGTGTGAAAGTATCGCGCTTTATCGTTCAGGGCTTCCGCAGAGCCTCCGTTCTTGGTCCCGCCCATAGTTTGACATTTAGAAAGACAAGCAAGCAGCCCATAAGAATACCCGGCTCCGTATCATCTGTGAGGCCGAATATCTGGGTTCCTCACGACATGCTCATAGTTGGGGCTTCGTCGAGCGAATTGCGTGAAATTTACTGAAAAGTCAAGTGGTGGATTGTAGTCGAGCGCCGACAACAAATCCGTTCCGATTGTCTTTGTCCGATCCTTGAAGTCAGGTTGGACTCGAACGGGGAAATTTAGGAAAAACTCGTTCGTGAAGACGCGTGAAATCAACTGAGCTGGATGAGCATCTTTCGGACCAGATAAAGGGGTGAAATATAGGGGGACTTGAACAATATAACTAATAACCATGGAGAAAGAACTGAAAACACTCACCTTGTTCAATTATCTGCACTGTTCCAAGTGCTTCTGTTGTTACTCATGGCAAGGTATAGAGGAGTTGGATGGAGTTGAGTTCACTCTGGACTCGAAGGATGGATGTCAGTCGCGTGCTCCAAATCGGGTTTAGCGTCAGCTAAAATACAAGCTTAATTAGCTTAACTGCTTAACCCAGTTAACAAGTTAGTTAAGTTCGTAAGTTACCCGGTTTTCATTGAGCCCGGATATTGCACTCTCTGAAAAGGACTTCGAACACTATGAGCAACTTGCTCATCTGAACTCTCGATTAGAATTGATGAGTATTATTACATGATCTGACTCTCCTATGACCTCTAGCTATGTTAGATAGGTGTCACTGGGCCTCAGTAGAAAACCTAATCCCATGGCCATTGTATGAGCTTTTTCTGAATGGAGAGCTGGGTTGTAGTGAGAAGATAGGTTTGAGTTTTACTGACCACAGAGCCCTGGAATACTTTATGACCAAGAAGAAGCTGAATGCTAGTCAAGACAAGGTTTGATCTATAGACTATGCTTATAGGCTTGAGACTATATACAGCAATGTTCTTGTATTAGCCTGTTGGAAGCTTACATATCTGCCCTCATTCCTCATCTTTAAACCATTCATCCTCAAGCAACTCCCCAGCTATAGGCCTATCCTTTCAATCCATAATCATGATCTTGCCAATGAACTCCTTTCTGACACACCTCTTTCTCCATTGTCCAATAGAAGGGAGTTGTTTTTGACTGTGAGGTTTCTTGCATGGGATACAAAATTGCTCTGATAGTCATGGGACCTGTGATTTCATTGTATTTTCCAGGAAACGGACCAAAATACCAGAATTGTTGTTTGAGAACTTCCAGCCCGTATTCCACATGCCCATAAGGAACGGTTTTAGGGCGGAAAGGGGTTGAAGTGGACCAGTTTGCGAGGAAAACCCAGAAACTTATAACAGCTCCAAAAGACCAGATGTCTGTTGCTGTATTCCAGGTAGTCTCCATGATCACTTCCGGGCTACTCCACATGGGTGCACCAACTGGTGGTGTCCCTTTCCTTGCCCAGTTTGAGTCTGTGGGATAGGTGCCACCGAGATCACCCAGCTGGACATCTGAAAAGCGTAGGCCATCCACTGTACACATGTTGTAGTTCACAAAGACATTATTGAGTTTAACATCTATGATACCCAAATTAGGCAAATCAAAAGCCAGCAGGGCAATCATTCACTAACCTGTATGCACATATCCAATTTCCTCCACTCCCTAAATGAAAAGAAAATATGTAGCCATCAATACGTAACTAGCCACCTCAGCCTCCACATTTGTAGCCGCCATTTAGTTGCCCTCACTTGGAATAATCCCGAGTACAGCTTGCCTCTCGCCCTATTTTGGACCATCTGGTCGCATCGTTTCATCGTCAATTTCCCTATGTTCCACAGGAACAAACAGTGTCATGGCTGAGTGCTGCTGCAATATCATTATCCTTCGTACGTAGACAATTTCGGAGTTGGAATAAAAGCAGTATGCGGCCAGCCCTCTTGAGTACACGAATAAAAGATAGGTGAATAGTGGGAAAACTGAAAGGAAGAAATGAAATTGTGGAATATTGCCTTAAATTACCAGCAAAGCAATATACAAGGATGCCCAATCGTAGTATCTAGAAGACACGCTCTATGAAAAATCCCCAAGCTTCTTCGGTGTTGTTATACGATTGGAGAATCTTTGGTAAATAGGTTGAAGCCCATTCCTTCCATTGTAAAGTAGTAAAGAGCGCTTTCGTTCTTCCCAGTACTCGGGAAGCCAGCCGCTCTGCTTCCAATCAATTGTTATGGCTTTGGGTTCATTTCTTGTCAAATCAGGCTCCAGCCCCGGAGAACACATAGTCTCCATTGCTTCAATTTACCCTCTGCTTTTCTTGTTAGGAAAATTGAGATAAATATTTTTCTTGCGCGGCGGTTTAGCATAAAATGGTTAATTGGTTAGTTACAAACAGAAGTTATAAAACAATATATACACAAAGCTTCAATTTTTTGGCAAGAAGCCATTTGCTAGTGATCACCTTCATTATGTACATTATCTCATCGGAGTGAATGTCTTCAAAATAACTTTAATTAGCCAAAATAGCCAGGGGCATTCTATGGCAACTTCTGTAATATACCCATGGAAGCCTCCCAGATTTTTGTAGCGCTATATCTTCCGGGAGGGCGGCTAGGGAAAGTACCGAGGGCAAGCTGTAGAGCCGTTTACTTGCGGATTGCTCGCCTGCGAGCAGCAACCATGGTGTCGTAGAGGACATCCTTGAACGCAAATAAGAATGCAGCAGTAAGAACACTTTGGCTGACCTTGGGGCCAATTCCTATAGTGCGAAATACTTGAATTAGATCCATAATTCAAACGCAGATGAAGAAAGCTTACCCTTGTACAGACCAGCCCATCCTTCTTCTTTGATAATTCTCTTTAGGCTCCCGTTCAAACTTTCTTTGGGGCCATCCTTACTCGCAACATGCATTCGGCTTTTTACCGTGATATACGGGTAGGTAATGCTAGTAGCCAGCAACTTGCCAAGTGCACCGAGATAAAAGGCATCCGTGGCAGTAACCTTTCTTTTCTTCTCCAAGGTATTCTTCAGCTGCTCGAAGAATGTGTATTGTAGGATGGGGTTGATAACAAGGATCAGGGCCGGTAAAACTCCAGAGAAAAGGGCCTTGGGGCCTTCCTCCCTTAGGAGGTCCATCAATGTGCTCAACGTCGTCTTGGGCTTCTTCGCAGGCGCTCCAGGAAGGGCCTCCTCGGCCTCGGATTTACGAGCAGTCATCCGGGTGTTGACAACCCAGATTGGGTTGGTAATCATCACGGTGGCACTACCGGCAATGGCGCCAGCAATCATCGACTCCACCGTCGTAAGCTTCTTGGATGCTCGCCCCGCCCTTTTGGCCGCTTTTTCAAAGGCAGCGCGGGTCCATTCATACCAGTAGTAGTACACGAAGTTGGTGACGCTGATGCCGAAAAGTGCGGATTCGAGTCCGGCGTATAGTCCCTTGATTCCTTCTCGTTTAATGATATGGCGCACTGCGTCGATGCTAGAGGACTGTGCCCGCTTAGATTCAACCTGGGCTCTGGTCGAGAGGGTAATCAACGGGTAACTGCATAAATAGAGGACATAGTTAGCCAGGACACCCAGAACAAACAGAACCGCAGAACACGAGGGAACGGACACCAAGTGAGACGCACGTTAGGATCATCGACAAAATTCCGCCACCTGCTCCGGCCAACGCATGTGCGATGTTGTCACTCTGCTGCGCAGCCATCGCGGCCACTTTGGGCTTCTGAGATACTGCGTTGTTTGACTGAGACATGTCGGAAATTTATCGGTGAGTTCTCAAAGGGTATATAGTTACAAGAAATGGGTGATACGACGTGCGAATCACAGTTGACTGGTCGATACGATGAAGGAGCGGATATAGTTGAAGAAAACTGTGATTCCAGAACAGAAAAGAAAAGAAAAACAATTTTTAATTAAATACCATCCAGGCCGATGGTCCCCTTTAAATTTCCTTTTGGCGCAAAGCCGCTTCTTGGGCACGAGAATGCATCGGCAGCGGATCTTTGGGTTTGGGAACTTGCTTCATATGAGTCTGTTGCCGCGCGATGCCTCGGCTTTGATTTCCATTCCTTGGCCGACCGCCGCGAATCACAGATTGCTATCTCCGTAGGCGAAGGAAATGGGATGAATTCTACCAAATCCTACTCTGTAGTTAACGGGGCTGGAAATTGCATATGATTTTCACACGGGAATGGCGTCCCGCATCGAGTGCTCTGATGAGAACTACGCATTTTGCGCTTGAACACGCGCGGGCCATTTGTCAGTGGATTTCTTGCTTCGAAAATCACTTCAAACAAGCAGCAGGTTCATTGATACTAGAGTCCATCCACCAATATCAACCCCGTCCGCTTGTCGAAGCTCGTGAGAATATGATGTCAGTCAACTTCTCCTGCTCACATATTATCCAAACCTTTGGGCGACAGGGTCAGCAGACAGTAACTTGCGACCTTAGTTACTTTTCTAAAGAAATGCACTTCTTCCCTTCGAATCCATTACAGACCAGCCCCGTTATTCCTCTGCAGCTCACAACAATTCCATGAATGTCTTCAGAATGCAGCCTCGCGGCCGAAGGGCCTTGAACTAATAAGATCAATCTACCTCGGGACCTAAGTAGCCCCTGTGTGAAAATTCTCTTTCCAGAAAGATTCCGCTGAGCCATACGTTCGTGAAATGAGAATCATTGCCGGGCCTGACTCAATGTTGTGCAGAGCATACGGAGTATACGTGTTCCTCCATCAAAAACCGTTTTCAAGAATAGGAGCCTGCACTTCACAGAAGTAAGAAGGTGGAAGGATACCGATAAGCGCTATCAGCTCGCCCGATAATATAATTATTATTAGTCTTTAGAACTAATATAAATGTAGCTGCGCCTGCATCTTTGACTCGGAGCATGTGTCGCAAAACATAAGAAACCATACTGCCAACCTACAACATGACATAATGAGAACAAAAGACAGCAAAGAAATAATAGGTGACCAAAGACCAGCAAGGCTGTAGTGATCAGTGATTCAGCAGTGGCCTGCAAGAGGTATCTAGTTTGGGCAGGCCAACCAACTGGTCATATTAGGAAACAGATTGATGGTAAGGAAAACAAGTTACACTGACATCGACACACATAGAAAAACAAAACGGAAGAACCATTCTAAAAACAAAAAACCAAACAGAAAACAGAAAACAAGGGAAAATATTCTTGACATAGAGAAAGTGTAGGAATACGTGACATCAAGAGACAAGAGGTCTGGGCATGACATTAGTTTTCATGAAGCTGTCATGGGTGCAAACCAACGCGAAAAACAAGCCCAAATTGTCAACCCATTTAACAAACTACCCGTTGCTGACACCAGCCTTCATGAAATCAATCCACGCCACAACCAGAGCACAGGCATACGCAGAGAGGCATTTCGGAAGTGTTCATCTAATCAATTTAGCAGCATCCGCCAGCAGACCCTGATTGAACTCCTTGACCCTGCCCAACCTGGACGGTGGGCTTGTTGTTCACGGTAGCAGTGCCCATACGTTCCTTGATTTGTCTAGCCATGGTCAAAAAGGCCTGTTCGACGTTGGATGCATTCTTGGCGGATGTTTCGAGGAACGGGATACCAAGACTGTCGGCGAATTCCTAGAAGAGAAGCACCATATTAAATCAACTCGAACTAGGGTCATGTGAACAAGAAAAGCGTACTTTTGCGACTGTGTATTCCACGGCCTTCTTGTCCTCCATATCGCTCTTGTTGCCAACAAGGAGCTTGTTAACCCCTTCGGTCGCATAACGATCAATTTCCTGAAGCCATTGCTTGACGTTGTTGAAAGAATCCATGTCTGTCACGTCGTAAACAACGCAAATGCCGTGAGCTCCTCGATAGTACGACGATGTGATAGTTCGGAATCGTTCTTGACCGGCCGTATCCCACTACACAAGAAGGGATTAGTTTCTCGTTCCCCCCTGCTGCCAAAGAGATAGGACATACGATTTGAAGCTTCACTGTTTTGCCATCTAGTTCGATTGTTCGGATTTTCTGTGGTCACATCAGTCAGCATCTAAGTCGCCTACGCTTGGTAACCCTTCAACGGAAAAGGACACCTTGGAAAGTGGACTTACAAAGTCAACACCGATAGTAGAGATGTAGCTTTCCGTGTACGTATCATCCGCAAATCGAAGCAGCAAGCAAGACTTTCCAACACCGGAATCTCCGATGAGCAGGAGTTTGAAGAGGTAATCGTATCTGAAGTTGTTAGCAACGGTGATCGACGAAGCAAACGTCGGAAGGAAGGATGGCCAACTCTGTTCAACCGGTTGTTAGTTAGATAAGAGTCTCCAAATGGACAGCAACGTTAAGTGGCTGGGATAAAGTAAGAGCAGATAGGCTGCTGCTGCTCCATCACCAGGAATGGGGACCTACCACTCGGGATTCATAATGAAGGATGTCTCAAAGACGGCGGCAGGACAGGATATCCAGAAGCGGAGAGATCAAACTATCATAAGCTTCCCAGCAGGATATATCAACCAGAGTGAGAAGACTGACGGGATCCACGAGAAAGAGAGTGTTGCTGTGGTTGATTCTGATGGAGGAAGCATGATTAACTGGAACGCACTTTGAGGTTGTCAGCCCTTCTGGAGGTCAACCTGCCAAGAGACGCCAGTCCCAGCTGGGACTAGCTGCACTTGCAGTCGGCCTCCCATTTGGCAGGTGACGTTTGGCTGCCTGTTTGTCACTTGACTGCCATCAAAGTCCAGCGGACATCAAATGCTTTCTGCTTCTCTCGCTGTGCGATGAATTCCAATGAGATAAACCACATATGTACATTCAGCCACCCCCAACCACAAATCAATGACATACATTTCTACAAAAGAACCTTGTTTGGATGTTCTACGCAGTTCGCCAGAAAATATCTAGACGTACTGATGAGCCTTCAGCCACTCCAATACTCCCTTTTCGTCTCGCTCCTTGTAGTTGGCGTTTGTTCGGATCGTGTCAGCTACAACCAGCAGGCCCCGGTCGATTCCAGCCTTGTCCTTGTTCTCGAAGAATTTGGTGATATCTTGTTCCGTCGAGTGGTCGGCAAATTTGGTCAAACTCATTCGAACGAATCGCTCGTACACGACCTTATTTGAGCCCATCCTTTGCTCAACACGGGCCCAGTTCGCCTTCAGCCAAATCCAAAACGCATCTCTTGCTTTGGAGTTCGCTGCCAAGCCTGCTCCTCCAGTGTGAATATCTTGCGTGGCGACGCTGCCGGAAAACAAGAACTCGAAGTATTCCTTGAGGATATCGGGGTTCTTTGTTCGTGCGAGCGAGCCAACGCAAATCTCTTTGCCATCCACCGAGTCGGTTTTGCTGAACTCCTCTTTGACCGTGTCGTATTCCTTCTGGCCGCCTTCAGCAACGTTAATCGTAAAGATTGCACTGCGGAGGTTGGGATGGATGGCGTTCTTATCCTCCCCCGATGCCCAAGCGTTGAATCGTCGCTTGGCTTCAGCGATGGTTCTGCCCAATACCGTTAGCAGTTGCAGTTAGGAGCCTAGCCTTAGGAAGACATACCCTTCATGGCCAGCGTTACCGGCTGTGGAGATCAGCAGCTGGCGAAGTTGACCCGTGAGATAGTCCTCATTTGGCTTGAATTCCCAGCCGAGCTTTTCAACAGCTGGTGAAACGAGTTTGCGCACGAAGTTCTTCAAGCCAGTAGCAATTTCTTCGTTGGCCGCGAACACTGATCTAATGTGGCTGAGTGACACGACGAGCTGCATCCAGACTCTGAAATATTCATTAAAACCTTGCTAGAAAAGAAGGGTGTGTAGGTCGTGCACACGTACAGGTAATTTTGCTCATCATGAAAGTTCTCAACAAGAGCCAAAGTGGCTGCCGTGGTTGCCTCTCCAGAGACTGCCAAAGCAGCAGCATCACCAATAAGGCCAATCTTGTCTTCGGTGCTTAGGAGGTCGCGGGACTTGCCAAGTTTAGCCAGGCGCTCTGGGGGGTAATTTGTCCGGTAAAATCCGCACTGGTCCTTGTTGAGCTTGTAGAAATCTTCGTCAATGTCTCGAACAACATCAGACTTGGTCGTCAGGTTACGTTTATCCGCTTCTGTAGCCTGCTGTCCAGATTTAAGCCCAAGAGGGATCCACCAAAGAGTCTCATCTTCCTCTGGCTTTACGTCACCAGAAGCAAGGAATCTTTTTTGAGCAACGGTGATTTGCTTGGGCTCTTCGACTACAGTCACCAGTGGGAAGCCAATTTTTCGGATCCATGGGTCCTACAATCTCATTAGCCTCTGTCCCCCTGGAAAATTTCACTGCGAGGTCCAAACCATGAAGCTGGTAACATCCTTCCCGGAAGCCTTGCTAAGAGCAGACCAAAGGTCATTTGTGGTTGCGTTGCCTGGAAAAATGTTAGAAAATAGGTACATTTGGTAAAACGATGGTTTTTGGCCGTACCATAAGCATGTGCCTTTAGGTAACTCGCAACGCCACGCAAGAAAGTCTCCTGACCGAGATGACTGCTAAGCATGCGAATGACTGAGCTTCCTTTCATGTAACTGATGTGATCGAAGATCTGGTCCACCTCAAGGGCGTTCTTCACGGGCACCTCAATGGCATGTGATGCTCGGAGAGAATCAAGTTGGAATGCTTGTTGGACTCCTTCAGCCTGTGAAAGTGGTCAGACAAAAGATATCAAAAAAAATACCTCTAGCGTTTCTTACTACAAATCGAGACCACACATCCCATTCTGTAAGACCAAGTTAGCATTGAGTTCCCTAAAGATTTGTCTGGGGAGTGTGCTGACCAGGATGAAAGTGGTCCACAGCGAGCCAACCAACCCATGTCGCGAAACCCTCGTTTAGCCAAAGTTCACTCCACCAGTCCATAGTGACAAGGTTTCCGAACCATTGATGGGCCAATTCTAATATACTGTTTAGCAAGTCTAAGACCTAACCACAATGTAATGATGGCGACCTTACCGTGTGCAACGACGTATGCAACCCGGGTCTTGAACCTGTCATCAGATTTGCCTTCTTCGAAGAGCACAGCGGTTGTGCGGTATGTCACAAGGCCCCAGTTTTCCATGGCGCCCATAGCCTACGACGGAAAAGGTTTTAGCTTGGAATAAAGATACCGAACCACATTTCTCCAAGTTCATGGGGATCTTACAAACTCATGGACGGCGAGCAAGTCAGACTTGGGCAATGGGTAATCGATTTCAAAAACTTCGGAGAAGTAGTCCACAGTCTTGTGAGCACAATCAAGAGCAAATCGAGCTTGCTCTTTGAGGCCCCTGGTGGTGTAAACACGGACCGGGATCGGGGCGCCGTTGTATTTACGCTCGGTATAAGCCTCAACATATTCGAAATCACCGACGGCCCATGCCAGAAGCTGTGAATGTCAGTGCGATGCCGTGGATCAGCAAGAAGGAAAAACTGATAGGAAAAGGAGAGCTACTGACGTATGTGCTCATAATCGGGGTTCTGTCAAACGAAACAAACTTGAGGTTCGCATTGCTTCCTTCACGAGTACTCTTGATAGGCATGTTGCTAATCGCGACCAAATCCTTCGGAACTTCAATTTCAAAATCAAAGGTTGCCTTGAGATTTGGTTCATCAAAGCACGGGAACGCTTGTCTAGCATCGCAAGCCTCGAACTGGGTGCTCAGCATGTAGTAATTGTCCCCCTCCTTGGGTGTACCGGGTGCTGGAGTTTCCGACGATTGATACTTGGCTCTAGCAAAACCGGCCATATGGTTGTTCATAGTTCCGGTGAATTCGAGTTCCAAGACATAATCCCCCTCTTTGATTTCCTCAGAAAACTTCATAATGGCACGCTCTGAGGTTCTATCATAAGAGATGCCCGAGCAACTGGCCGATTTGGATCCTGACGACAACCGCAACACGTCAATTCTGTGTAAAGGCGAGCTCCTGGTTCATCTAGTAAGAAGCTTACCATCCTTGGAGATTGCTTTGGCCGTTTGCACGTCGATTGCCTTGACATTGAGCACCAATTCCGAAGTAGGGCGAGCGACCTTGATGTCAATCTTCACGTTACCATTGTAGCCCCAGGAACCACCCAGCTGAAGGTTATAGAGAGAGATTGCGTAATTAGACGGTTTTGCCCTGTCTGAGCATCAGTAAAATCCTCCCAAGCAGCGGCAAGACCAGAGGCCAGATTGGAGAAGGGGTAGGGTTTACACGTCTGGCAAGGTCTCTCTATCGTCTTTACCCATGATGCGGAAGGCAGTTGAACAGTGTTTGTTTTGAATAGGCTCCAGACCTGGTCGAAAGGAATTCAAACCAGCCCGCCGTTTTGAAGGGGGGATCAGAGAAGATAAAAGACGAGCAGAGCGGAGTGAAGAAGCCGGTGAAGGAGTGCAGCTCAGCGGGCGGAGGGGTAAGAGGGGCAGCAGTAGTCCGAACGAGGCCTGCAATCCATGACGTTTGGGGCCGCCGTGAATAGCCTTTCTAAGGCCTCTGTGCAAAGATCCGCAGCATCTCAGCGAGCCAGTCGCCGGCCCGAACATCGAGATGCACAGCCAGTGCGACCACTGATCGCGTGTCCTGTGAGTCTGTGAGAGCTGGAATGGTAGTCAACGCTACGCTACTCCAATCCGTTGCGAGCAATTGACGCCGGAGCTTGAGATTTGGAGGAGAAAATCTTCACTACGGAGTAACCGCTGGTTAGTGCATCGATCCTTTGGTACGGAGTAACTAGTTACTCGGTGGATCGCCGTTAATGCTTGACTTTTCTTTTGCATCGCGCGTCGAGCAAGGGTTGACAAGCAAACCAGCCAGTGAGAACCCGTGCTTTATCCTGGAAACCCCGGAGCTTTTTTTACTGAAACCAAAACACACCTTTTGCGGAACTCGGAATTGGAAAGTCAGCCGTTAATGCTGCCGGCACGCTTTTGACCGCGATGGCAGATTCGGACGAAGAATACGTTGCAGAATTCGATTCCGAAGACCACGATGACGATCTTGGTGAAGACGACGAGGACGATGAACCAGACACCCGCAACGTGATCCCCGGAAAGTCCAGTCGCCGTCGCGGCAAGCGGAAAAAACAACGCGAGGGACATGAGTTTGAGGTATCGAGGACATGGGAGACATTGGTCGAAGGCGCAGATGGCACGATCAGCGCGACTGTTGAGGGTTTGCTGGAGGCAGGGAAGAGGAAGAGGTAGCGGAGCATCAGTCTGTCGGTTCTGTTTAGGCTGGGAATGCTAACCCGGATGTGCAGGTTACTGAGAGACACAACTCCTCTTCAACGTGGAATCATACGGCATCTGATTTTGGTCTTGGATCTATCGATCGCCATGACGGAAAAGGACCTTCGACCCACGCGCTACCTTCTTACCCTTCGTTTCGCTCAGGAATTTGTTCTTGAATATTTTGAACAGAACCCGATCTCCCAGCTCGGAATAATAGGCATGAGGGATGGCTTAGCAGTTAAGATAAGTGATATGAGTGGGAATCCTACCGAGCACATCCTAGCGCTCCAAGCTCTGAGAGCAAAAGACCCAAACGGCCTCCCAAGTTTGCAAAATGCCCTTGAAATGGCTCGCGGGACACTCTTGTAAGTCTCGCGCGTTACCAGCCAGCCCATTACACGCTATACTGATTCTGCTAGTCATACACCAAGCCATGGGACCCGCGAAGTCCTGATATTATTCGGCGCTCTCCTTTCATCTGACCCAGGCGACATTCACCAAACCGTCTCATCCCTCATTTCCGATAAAATACGCGTCGGGGTCGTTGGCCTCGCAGCTGAAGTAGCCATATGCCGGGAGATATGCGCCAAAACTAATGCCGGCGACGATAGTGGCTATGGCGTAGCGCTCAACGAGCAGCATTTTCGGGAGCTAATGATGGAAACCACAACCCCGCCTGTTACCTATTCCAAGAAGCAGGCCGCAAATTCCCTTCTGATGATGGGATTCCCCTCCCGCACCGTGGAACCCGCTCCATCTATGTGTGCTTGCCATTCAATGCCGTCCCGGGGTGGCTATCTTTGTTCCAGATGCGGAAGCAAAGTCTGCACCTTGCCTGCGGAATGTCCAGCATGTGGACTGACACTGATTCTTTCCACGCATTTGGCTCGTTCGTACCACCACCTATTCCCCTTGATTAACTGGATCGAGGTTCCTTGGAAGAAAGCCTCGACTAGTGCGAATTGCTTTGCCTGTGGTAACCCTTTCCCCGCGGTGCCACCCCGTGCCCAATGGGAAGCGCGTGAGAACATGGCCAAGGGAATGTCGGTGAGTAGCAGGTATGAATGCACGGTGTGTCATAATCACTTTTGCATCGACTGCGACCTGTTTGCGCACGAGATTGTTCATAACTGCCCTGGGTGTCAGAGTGGCATTATCCGATCAGCCTCGCCGGATGCAGGGCAAGGGAATGGGCCAAAGACTGGCCCGACTGGTGTGGACGAAATGGACACGAGATAGGAACCCAAGGGTTTCGGCGTCTTTTTCTTCTTTATGCATACTGCTTACTTTACAGTTCAGCAAGCGCTGCATTTATCTGGCGTCTGGGAATCTGGAGGGCACATTCGCTGTCGCACGTTCTTCATATAAACTGCAACAGGAGGTGTGGATGCAAACAGTGCAAACATAGTTAACTATTTGCTTGATATGAAATATCCACCATTCATTCCAATAGGAACGGTATCATTACCAGCAAGTAGACAAGTCGTGAGATAGGCGATATTGCAGTTTTGTGTATGACTTCTTGAACGCCACCGTATATCACAGGGAATCATGGAGTACGGAGTAGTCAGTTAACTAACTAGTTATCGCGATCATTTTGTGCCGAGGTGTCGGAGGCAACCCCGGATTGAATATTGCCCGACCTTATACCTCCAAGACGGCATATAACATATCAACGAGCTCTATTGAAGGATTCCTCATACTCGCCATAACTTACTCATAGACGTCCTGCCTCAACGAGTCCAAAGCAAACAGAACGGAAGCTATCCCATCAGTGCGCATCCTTGCAGGGGAGAGACCCGTCGTCGCTGCGAGGCTTCAACAACATTCTTCCGAATCCATTGCCTTTACCCAACCCTTTGAAACGATTCCGCAGCACAATTCCACCTATGACCTAAAGACCCGGCCGCCTCTCACCCTCCCCAATCGCAGCATCACCCATCAATCCAGCATGGCGACCCCCGCTCAGCCAGCGGAAACCAGTTCCCCGCAATCCAACGGCCCCTCAATAGATCCATATCAACAGCTCCATTCATACCCATTCACAACAGACCCAGAATTCAAACTCGGTCTGGCCGTGATACTTCGACAGCCAGGCACACCGGCGACAGACGAGCAGGTCAATCGTGCCGATGACCTAGTCCTCAGAGCCAAATGTTTCTACTTCTCAAGGTAGTTCCCCCTTCCCCCTCTCCCCAGTCTATAAAGACAAAGAAAGTATACAGACTATTTCCGCAAATCTAGAAAACACTCTATCCAACCACCCCTCGACTTCCTCACCTACAGGGTCTGGCTCCAAGCACACTCCCTGGATCCAGAATTCGAACCCGCACCGGACCAGCTAGCGTCGGAAACACCGCCGTCACAGGCACCCATCCCTTCCTCAGCCTCCGACGAGCAACCACAAGCAACGTCAACAACAACCCAGGAGCAACCGGCCTACCCTGCCTCTTTCGCCCACATTGTCGAACTCATCACGACGGGCCAACCGATTCCCGGTATCCAACAAATACCGGATACGATATTAACCGGGCAAGACGCACCGAGCACAGCAGAGCGAAGACGAAAGCCCTGGGAGAAGCTGGAAGAAACACAGGCCCAAGAGAATCAATCCGGGGCGGGTACTACTGCCCGGTAGAAGCTCAAAAGAAAGCGGCTACGCAAGGCGAGACAAGTTGAATGGCAACACAAAGATTTGAATACTTCGTAAAGCAGGCATAACTTCCAGCCGATGATTAGAAGGATACCCGACTGTTCACGATATGCTCAGTGCGCTCCTTTTTTCCCCTTCATTTCTCCTAGCCAGGCTTGATACTTGCTGCACCAATCCCTGTATCACTCAATTCCATCTCCATTACAATTCCTTTTATGATTCAAAGTCAGCCATGCAACTGGCTTCAACTTCAACCCACATTGGCAGCATATCTTAAACCGCTGGCAAGGTCACGTTTATCGGGATATTGATTTTTTCTTGTTAGGTTAAAACATACATAAACGGGTAATTAAAATAAAGTAGTGAAGACAATCTACCGAGACATCCCATACATGGATTATGCATGACTGCAAAGCTTGACTTGACAGCACTGCGTTCGATCCGGGGCAGGGATAGAAACGGTTAGGAAAGAGAAAAGAATAGAAATAATCCCCTGACACATAACAAACTTTCGAGACACAAGGGAACTAGGTCCTTCATGTATGTAAACCAAAGCACGTAGGAACCGCCCACGCCGATTAATCATTCAGGATAAGATCATCATCACAGGAGATATGGCAATTTAAGTGAATGAAATGGAAGTAGTTCCAGACAGGAAAAAAAAGTCTGACAAAAGCAAAAAAAAATAGGCTAAAGAAAAGGGTTCAGATTGGATTGCGGGTCAAAGCGACTCCAACAAGCCAAAGCCAAATGTAGGATCTTATGGGCAGTTAATATTGGGCCAAGGATCGTGTCCACGCATCGAGAATCCTAGAAAGGAGAAAATCATTGTAAATCGAATTCCGATATTTTGAAGCTTTTCTCAAGCACGCTCATTCAAACGCGGAGTATTTGGTTGACATAACGCTTTGACGGACTAAATGAGCGTTGACGAACAAAATCACAGCTGATTAGCGGAACGGAGGATAGTTTGCACCCCACTGATTCCCACGGCTGAACCTGTTGCTGCTGGATATGCCGGAACCGAAACGATCTTCGCTTGGAGTAGTAAAGCGGTTGACCTGAAGGCCAGCACCAGGCCCTGGACGAGTGACGTGGCTTGGGTTGCAGCAGAGCATAGCAACTCGAGAACCAAATTTGGACCCGCGGAGAGAAACCATGTGCTTACTGTTACTCCTGGATAAGTATAATGCATTACTCAATAAAAGGAGACCTGCTTACCGGATGTGACTCGCTACAAGTTCACGTTGATGTGTTGCAGCGTTTACTAGAATCCACTGAATCAGATAATTTCCATACTGATCACCGGCAACTATACAACGTATTAGATCATGTTTACAACTCGTGCGTAGAGACAACTTACTGTCGATCAAAGGCATGCGAGGACGATCTGGGCGGCCGGTGCAGACTCTAGCAAGATAGTGATCAAGGAATTCGGAACCGCCAATCTTAAGGCACTTTTCAACAACCTTGGAAGCGAACTGGTCCATGCTGTAGTCTGTCGCCCAAAGAAGGATATGTTCAATTGCACGACTTTTATCATGAGGAGCACCGTGTTCGCAAATATGCTGGATACACCAGTTGCCAAATTGACCATGAGCCAAGAGGTCAATTTTAGCAAGAACTTCTTCGATAGCAGGACGCTACAAATGAGATCAGCATTACCAGCAGCATTGAGTAGGGGGAGCTGGGCGACAAACTTTCTCATCTTCAACGCAGTTTTCAAAAATATTCTGCACAACGAGACTGCCAGTTTCTCCTAGAGCGACCTCATGCCACATGCCGCGAAGCGCTTCATTAACCTTGGCCATAATCTGCGGCGGCTCATTGCTCCAGCGTAGCTCGAAGAGCTTTTGCCAAACATGACAAGCGTATCGATGAATCACAGTCTCAGGGATCCGACGAAGCAATTCATGGACCATGACAGCCTTGTGCTCCTCTGGGACACAGTCAAACGCCTTTTGAATAACGTGGCAACCAAAAGGGTCCATACTCAAGCTCAAGGTGTTACCACGAATGGCATTAGCAATAGCAATAACTTGGTCTGCGGTTCCATGCTCAAAGCAACGTTGAACCAAAAAGTTTCCAAATCGGTTGACCATAAGCGGGTATGCTTGGTTAACAATAGCTTCTATAATTTCATACTTTTGATCCGAAGTCCCGACTTTGAGCTTCTGTTGCAAGAAAATTGACGCTTGCTGGTCATTGTTGCAGACAATTTTATCAACGATATATTTCCAGTCACAAGAAACACTTTTATCGAGTAATCGACGGTAGTTCATGGGCTCAAGTGGTGACACATAGGTTTGGGAGCTGTTGGTCTTTTAAAGACGCTGAAGTCAGATATCCGAATGTTTCGACGAGAATTGGTTGAACTTACTGTCGGGGTCCAGGATCCACTATTGAACGAAGTAAATTCAGCGGCGGTAGGGGATAATGGGGTTCCAATTGGACGAGGTTGATAAGGAGCTACATTGAACATTCCGCCTTGCACGCCAACTTGCTGATTCATAACCCGAGTGCCCACATTTGAAGAGGCCGCTGGAGTGAAAGTCCCCCATGGCGAACTCTGGGGGGGAAAGCAGGAGGGTCCACGGTTGACCTGAGTGACCGAGCGACGAAGTCCTTGAGGAAATGGTTGGGCCTGTTCGTAGGGTGGGCTACCGGGTCCTGATGCGATGCGCTGATTTGGCATCAAACTTGCCTGGCGAGTAAGTTGATTACCCCAGTTCGGGCTAAAGTTGGTGGCTCCAGTCATATTAAAGTCACGGAATCCGGTAACATTTGCATTTGGATTGTTCCAAATTCCTCGGGGCTGATTATAGCCACCGGCAGAGACAGCCTCTGAAATTTCAGATTGGGCATCATCCTGGTTCAGCCAGAACTCCTGGCGCTGGTTGTTGAATGGGCGGACAGACGAGTTATTGAACGCATGTTGGAGTGTGCTAAGGGTTTGTTCAGTAACTTCTCTCCCTCCAAAGTCGATTTCAGATGGGGGACCCATCGCTTGGTCAAGAGTATGCTTGATAACCCGAGTCTGGGCTAGTTCCTGCTCCTGCATGGCAATGCGAGAATTGGCAGCCATCAATTCTTGCTGCAACCGAACCACTTCTTCCTTGTCGATTTTATTTTTCCCCTTTTCACCTTTGCCATTTGCGTCCGCCCCTTCAGTTGTAGCCTGATTTGGAACGACGCCAGGGGCAAGCTCTCCTGAGTTAACTTTTGAAGCTTGGTCCTCAATGGCAGCATGATCCTTTGGGGAGAGCCTGGCAAGGATCTTATCCATCGCAGAAGGCTGAATTGCGTCGAGCTTCTATCAATCCAATAGTTAGCTGACCAAATTAGAAAAGAACCAATTGTGGATTGCTACCTTGCTCGCATGTTCGTCATGGGTAGGCAAAGCCTGGATATTTCCCAACCTAGAACTGACGAGAGGATTGGGAGCCATGTCCGCCATGGTGGAGTGCTTTATACCAGTCATAAAGTATCAGTCGGGACATCCCTTCGCACGAGAAATCTAAGACAAGAGGGGGTAGGATTGGGCCGGGACAGCTTACCAAGACACCCTCTGACGGCCCCTGAAGCTGGAGAGACGGCTTGCGAGACGCAGCTGGGGAGCTAGAAGCCACAAAACCCATCATTGTGACTCGTGTCTGGTCTGTTATTCCTCGGTGTGAGATGTGAGCAGGGCTACGATGGGAAGCAGGTGCAAAGAGGGGTAAACCGGCAATCGCCTCTCCAAGGAAAGCAGATGGAGGGAGTAGCTGTCAATCAAATGGGCGGTTATACGTGTCGACAAGAAGTCCCAACGCGTGCCAGAGTAAGAAAAAGACTCAAATTGAACAAAATCACAACGTTGAAGACAAAAATATGGGCAGTGATGGTGGGAGATGGAGCATCAGAAATCAAATAAGATCGATAGATGTCTTCAAAATCAGAAATCTATACCGGAAAGGAAGGAAGGGGCAAAGACGGGCAAGAGTGCACACAGGATGGAAGGATCGAGCCCTGGGAGTGCTTCGAGATGGAAGGCGGGGTGGAAAGAAGGCAAAGAAGGGACGACCGCCCCAGTCACTTACTCCTCGACCTGTCGTCCAACGCTGTATGGTCGCTGGCCACGCTTTCTCGCTAAAAGAGCAAACTGAGACTAGATGATCCTCTTTCCAACGGCTGAAAAGAATAAGAAGAAAGCTCTGTCAAGATATGAAATACAAAACAAAAAATATGGCATGAACATAAAGGGAAGATTGTGAGAAAAGAAGAAGGAAACCCTCACTCATAGGGAGAAAAGACATCCACGCACGTCTTCCAAAACGGGACGTTGACGTGTTTTCCAAATTTGGTACTAGGCACGTCAAACAGAGAGTGAAAGTCGGAACCTGGCGAAAGTTGCCTGATGAGTTGCAAATCAATGGAGTAAATGTGTTAACTCCAGAGGTAGAAGTTTCGGACGAAACCCGTGGAAAGGCAGTTTACATCTTCCGGTTTAATGGGAATATAACTTATACTAGTTCTCATGCCAATGCAGTGAAAAAAAAAGAAAGATATCACTATGGATATGAATAGCAAAGCAAGAACAGAAACACCAAACCATCCACCTAGTAGAAGCGCTCTTGAAACTGCAAAAACTGCAAATCCTACGATAAGTAGGATCCTGAGGATATCTGCCAGGAGAAATCAAAGAAACCTGCTGCATAGACTCCGCCGCCGCCCTTCCAGCGACAGCTGGGACTGAGAACTACAAAGTCAGGCTGTCCGGCCCCAGTAAGGGTGGGAACAAGGCGAGCCGCTTGTTGTAAGCCTTCTAGGTCGGCACCCCAGATCACAAGCTCCAAGCGTTCACCTGCGAGGGGCCTGAGAAAGACGGCACCCAGGCCAGGCTCAGGTTCGTATTCAACGGCCGTTCTGCTAGGTTTGTTGAGTTTGAGGCCCTTGTTTGATACGGATATCGGAAAGGTAGGAAGCTGTGGATGATCCAGCTTATCGCCAATCGCAACAACAATGGTATTCCCTAGAGTGGAATTGGACCCGGAACCAGATACCGGTAATGTAGAGACGGCAGTGATTAGTTCACAATCAGCTGCAAAATATTGGAATAAATTGCGACTGATCTGTAACGCAACCGTGTCACCGACTATTGAGCGTGAAATAATAGTTAGGTGGCCCTGTGTCCGAAGGATGGCGTCCATAGCTCCTAGTTGCCGCCCATACCGCTCCGATAACCCGCGCCAACCGTCGTCGCGAGATATTGCCCAATAGCCAGCGGCGTTTTGAACATACCAAGCAATATCATCATCGTTTGATGATGTGAACACTAGCTCTGACCCATCCAACGAAATTTTTGTTGGATGGGCACAGCGAACTCCCTTGGTCTTAATATGAAAACGGCGTATGTTGCGCGTCTTTATGCGCCAGGTATGCTCCTCTTTATCGCGGGTCACCTTTATGCGGCCGTATATATCTGGGGTCCACAATTGGTCCACAAGGATGCCACCTTTTGAACCCATATCCATGGAGGAAGGAATAACTATAGAAAAGTTATTAGGGAGGGTGTCATGAAGGATATCTTCAGTATAGTGGCGATAGAACTCAGTCAAGGGATCAGTTGTCAAAACGCCGTCAAACCAATGGCCTGCTTGTGGGATCTCGAGGTAGTGACTCGTCAACCCGTCCTCCCAGGTTAGCTGATGCATAAGCCGTGAATGGTACGCGGGGACGTTGTCATCCTTAGCGCCATGCTGCTGGAAAATAGGAATCCCCGCAAAATTTTTGGTGAGTAACTCATGTTTAAAATTCCGACGGGCGGATTCCAGCACTGCTGTTAAGGAGGCATCTGCATCCCGCCATATCGTGAACGGCACGTAGTCTGCGGAACGGTGAGTATCAAACGAGTATAGCTCGATTTAGAATCCATACTCTCAATAGACGTATATCCTGAGACCGGAGCAGCCGCCAGTACTTTGTCAGGCTGGTGGGTAAGCAGGTACCAAGTCCCCTGTCCTAGCAATTTTGCATGTTAATTGTTGGTCACCTCATGGACCAGAAAACATACCTCCGTTGGAATGTCCAACGACAACCCATTCACTTAATGAGATTCCGGCGCCCTTCCAACTCATGGCTTTAGTCCAGTCACGAATACCAGATACAGCAGCTTGTACATCTGCGAAGCCCCATGTATCTAGGATTAACTTAGCACACTTTTTCCAGGAAGTCGCGGACAAATCGATCCTGGCAGGAAACTGAAGTAGAAAATAAAGCATACGCACGCCAATCATCGCCGCTCCAAGATGTCACTCCGGTTGGGAATAGGATCCATGCGCAAAGCCCATATACTCCATCTAGCATATGCCGGACAATGTCACCATCTGCTTCAAGACCAGCACCGTGAAGCCCAATGACGAGAGGGAGATTCCTCTTTTCACCAGTGTGACACGAAGTATTAAGTGGCGGGCGTAAGATTGCATACGATACAATGCCACTGGGGTGAAGGAAAGTGAATTTTTGGGCTTCTGACATCGAACGGTGCTTGACGTCTACCACGAGTTCGGCAATCTGTATTTGTCCTTCCAATCCGATCTCATACCCGATTTCGAAAGAGAGCTGAGCCGGAATTCGGCCTGAAAACCCAAGTTTAAAAGCTAGAGGGCGATATTGGTAGGGGGCAATGGTGATAGAATCGTCTAATAAAGCTAAATCGAAATGAGCTTTCTGTGTAGCTTGTAAGCTTTATTGCCCGACCTGGGAGACTTGAGAGAGAAAACTTACATTTTCACCAACGGGCTTAAGCCAGACGACACGAACAACCTTATTCATACCGTTTTGTGCATTGACGGATACATATGGACTTGCGAGCTTTCCCTCAACGACGTCGGGTATCAAAACGCTTGCACGATCGATGTTTAATCTCGACGAGATTTGTTTCAATTCGACCGTTGAATTTATCTGCGGATTATCACTTCCGCCTAGAGCTCGAATATCGTAGAAAAACCTAAGTTCGAGTGTGTGAATTCCGGGTTCTAGATCCAAGATCAACGGAGCCCGCCGATACGAATAGAAATCTCCTCCAAAATAAAGCTGTCCATCGACTCGGAATTCCAGGATACCGTCAGTATAGATGGCTGAAGTAACAGGACCCGTTCCAGAAACCGTTACATTCCCTCTTGCCCAAGCCTGATACTGTAAGCCCGACCAGCCATATATTGACCGGCGAAATGTCCAATTAACCTTGGGGAATCCGAAGCGTAGAGTTGCTTTAGTGAACCCATCAGTAGCAATGCGATCGCCTGTCAGTAGCACAGTCCAGCGACAGAGCCCCGCATCTCCAATAGCAGTTGGAAATGTTGCTTCAGGAGCATACTGCATCGCCCGAAATCCCCCGTGGGCCTCGAGGGGGTCAGCACCCCATACTGCCTCTGGATGCAAAGGCAGCAATAGGTCAGGATCACTCCTGTCTGCACGAGTGATGGGCGAAATCAACTAACCTCTCGTGCCGATTTCAAATGGACCTAGAATGTGCCATTCTTGCGACAGAGAAAGAGTTGGCATGTTCCATTGGTCATGCAGTGGACTAGAAAACTGCTTTGCTAGTTGAGCTGTTGGGAGCAAGGGCTTAAATAAGGCCAGGAAGAAGAAAAGTGCTAGTAGAGAGGTTCCAGCCATTTTCCTCTCAGTAACAATTGCCGTCTAGCAGACACCCAACATTGTTCATAGGGGCATTTCATCTGCAGGTTGGTGCTGAGGGAGAAACCGCTAATCACTGATCAGACGAAAGTCGGGAGGTTGGCCCGGAGGTGTAGATCTTCCTCCTCCGGCCATAACTATCAGGTGCGAGAAAACCGACAGCGAGAGTATTGTAGCAGCCTTCTAGCTTGTAGATGGGGACAGCAGTCTATCACGGTTTACATTGCCCAGAAGGGCCCTCGGTGAAGCGGTTGCTAGGAGCTCTGTTAAAATATCTCAAAAGCTACATGTCTCGCAGTAGACACTCGATACTCTGTAACCAAGCGGAGTTGCTCAAAATATCCATTTCCTATGATCTGAATATCCGCACTGCGTCAGGCGAAAGTAACGGCACAGAGGCCATGCCTCTGCCGTCATGCATAAGTTACGGGAAGCCGTATATAAGGATCAGCCTCCAAGCCTTGAGCTAAATTTCGAGATATTCAGGGATTAGGCCGAGAACAGACGTCTCTATTTTAAACTGTCACAGCGACTGTATGGCCAAGAGCCAGAGGTCCAATGGTTCCGAACAAGGCCCGTGGTGGATGAGGATCCGGAATTGAACCCTGGAACTTGGATAGATGCTGCGTCAGCCTTGAGGCAGCGAAGCGGTGCCTTTGCGATGGAGGGATCATCAATCGAAAGCGGCCGATTCGAGCTTGTTACACAGAGGAGGGTGCCAACAGTGCGTTTTCCCATCGTGTTATTAGGGCCCAGTAGTCGTAGACTTGCCTCCCCCTTTCTCATCCTCCATCTCGCAGCCAGACAGCATCGATCTCGGTGAGTGGGTGCGGAATTATTAAAAGGTACAAGGTGGAAACGTGGGCGAGGCAGCCCAATCAGCACCATCACCGCCGGGTGCCAAGTGCTTGTTATTAGCGTTTAGCCTCCCTTTCGATCATCAAAAAGATCAGTGCTGGATGAGACACTGTGAAGATTTCTACACCATGGCCTTCCTCACCATCTGACGGCACCCTTCTTGTTGTTCTGCTGCGCTTGCTTTTCGCCGAGAGACTGATGATGAGTGTTACTACAGTCCTACATCCCGTGCAGCATCCAGCAATTTCTCGGAATCACAAACCACAAATGAACCTCCCTGGCGCAGAGGGTACCTTGGACAAGTTCCCGTCTGTTGATGACGAATCCACCACTGTCCCCGGTGACGCGAACATCCCTTTGCCAACAGGCAACTTGAGGTCCTCCCCGGATCCCATGTGGTTGCCGCGGAAAAATGGACTGATTTCCAACGGGTTATCAAACGGGCGAAAGCAGCGCCCGCCGCGCAAGAGTATCGGTGAGGCGATCGGGTCGTTTAAGAAGAGAAGTGCAAGCGTCAGTGTGAATGCACAGGAACTGGCAGAGGCGTTAAAGGCGCCAGTCTCTTATAAACTGATCGTGAGTGCAGGTGTTTGATTGCTGCATCTGATGCTCATCTAACACGGTTGCTTCTGAATTAGGGGCTGTGTCTTGTTTGGTACATGACCTCTGCGCTCACCAACACTTCGTCAAAAGAGATCCTAACTGCCCTCCCAAAACCGATTACCCTCACTATCGTCCAATTCGGCTTCGTTTCGACATCATGCCTAGCTTCTTCGTACCTGGCGTCCGTGTTTCCGGGCCTCAGATCGGCCATCCCCGCGTTGAGGAACCCAATTCGATATCCCTCCATCGAAGTCCTCTCAACCGCGTTGCCCTTGGCTTTATTTCAGCTCGCAGGACATATTCTAAGCGCTATGGCAACTTCCCAAATCCCCGTTTCGCTCGTCCACACGATCAAGGGCCTCTCCCCCCTGTTTACCGTCCTTGCCTACCGATTTCTTTTCCGCATCCGCTACGCGCGAGCCACATACCTTTCACTCGTACCGCTTACGCTGGGAGTAATGCTTGCCTGCTCTTCCAGCTTTTCTACAAACCTTTTCGGTATCTTGTGCGCATTTTGTGCAGCCCTCGTCTTTGTGTCTCAAAATATCTTCTCCAAGAAGCTGTTCAACGAAGCCGCCCGTATCGAAGCGGAAGGCCAGACGCTCACCGGCCGTAAGCTGGACAAGCTTAACCTCTTATGCTATTGCTCCGGCTTGGCTTTTATTTTGACAGCACCCATTTGGTTCTTTTCCGAAGGTTATCCTCTTTTCATGGATTTGCTCCAAGACGGGGCCATCGATCTTACGGAAAGGAAGGGAAGCCTTGACCACGGGCCCCTAACTTTAGAATTCATCTTCAATGGACTGTCGCATTTCGCTCAAAATATTCTCGCGTTTGTCCTTTTGTCGATGATCTCGCCAGTGTCTTATTCTGTCGCGTCGCTGATTAAACGTGTCTTCGTCGTTGTTGTGGCAATTGTCTGGTTTGGAAATGCCACTACGCCAATTCAAGCCCTTGGTATCGGACTCACCTTTGTTGGATTGTACTTATACGACCGTACCAGCCATGAGGATGCGGCAGACCGACGGGCAAACGCGGACCACTTCCACTCCCGAAAAACGATTCTCCCACTCAACATCAGACAACCTAACAACAATAAGGGATGGAACTCAAACGGCTATGCATTCCCCCATCCTATCAAAGAAGGAGCGCTGGAAGGTGCAAACGGTTATGTCTCAGCGTCAACAGGCAATTCTAAAAAGGATGATAGTGAGCCGAATGGGCGACCCAGGAAAAGCAGCGCTGTTCGGCCATGGATGCCGCCGGGTACCAAACAGGAGACTACATGGCACCCCGGCGATGCTGTACCATCACAGCAATTTATTTCGTGATGTTAACAATTACACGTACATGTATGCAAAGTCGGCGTTCTACGGACGGTCAGGAAGGGACTTTTTTTGGGGCCATTACTTTGATGAAAGGCGTTCAAGACTCAGCTTGATGATTGAAAAAGAGAGGGAATAATGGATAGAATTTTTTTTTTCGATGTCATATATAATACTGAAAAAGAGAACTCGCTGAAGCTTCCCAGAACTTAGACGTGATTGAGACTATAGCACACCTTCCTCCCGCAGCTGTAAGACCCAAATCTCCAAAGTATACAATTCTGAACGTCATGACTGGGATGATCGAGGTGAGGATGTAGCGACCGTCGGTAAGGAACTGTTCCGTAATCAGGCTTTCAAGAAACCCTCGGACGCTCCAGCTCGGCGCAGAAAAGATCTGCTCTAAGACGATGCTGTAGAGGAAGAAGAGCTTGAGTTCTCATGGGACGAGCCCGACGAGATATCTCTCCAACCTACAATAAACCACGTCCATGAAATGAGTTATTTTGCGAGAAGGAAAGAGAAAAAGTTCCCAAACGCAAAATAAAAAGAGAAAATCCGCGCTAGCTGCTCGGGACGGAATATCCATTCTCCAGATACAATCACCGAGCCAATCCGAGGCGGCTGATTTGTTTAACTAAGCAAGAGAAGAAGAAGAGGAAGTCCAAGCAAAGGATAACGCAAAACAACGAAACGACGTCCTTCTTGTGGCCCGCTCACCCGCACGCCCCGTTGCTTCCCTCCTCCCTTAAGTCGCCCCATTTCAATTCTTCCTTTGTCATATCTTCTTCCCTTTTCGTCTCTTCAGGATGCGGCCGCAATTGTTCCGTGCGGCGGCCCGCTCGAGGAGATGGTCCAGACTCAATTGCTCCCGCACATTCGCAACAAGTACCCCTCGACCTGCGGAGGTTGAGCTCACAGTTGGTTAGTAAATGTCATGGGATTGTACTGGGGAGGGTCCTGCTAATGCACTTTTGGTTTGTAGATGGAAAGAAAGTGTCGATAGAAGGTAGCTTGGAAATCTCGGTGGACGTTTCGCGAACGACATGCTAATGGTATATTGAAGCTGGTTCGGCTCTAATTCAAGCTTGCGAGAAGGCAGGAGTGACAATTCCACGGTATGTGTTCTTATGGTGTCGCACATCAGATCAATTGGTATTAACGGAGTTTGCAGATATTGTTATCATGAGTAAGTGCATCTAAGAACGGCTTGGTTGATTTATATATGCACTAAACGCCATGGTCAGAAAATTAGCAATTGCGGGAAATTGTAGGCCCACCAATTCCTTTAGTCCATTTGAATGACATAGTTGCTTACACATAGCCTTGCACAGGTCGTATGTGTCTAGTCGAAGTCGAGAAAGCCCCCAAACCAGTTGCCTCTTGCGCGTGGCCTGTTCAACCGGGAATGGTGGTTAAGACGAACTCTGCCCTTACGCACAAAGCTAGAGAAGGTATCATGGAGTTTCTACTTGCGAATCATCCGCTTGATTGCCCTATTTGCGACCAGGGAGGCGAGTGTGACTTGCAAGATCAGTCGATGAGATATGGTGCCGACCGAGGTCGGTTCCACGAAGTTGGAGGGAAGCGTGCTGTGGAAGATAAAAACATTGGTCCCTTAATTAAGACCTCTATGAACAGATGTATCCACTGCACCCGTTGTGTCCGCTTTGCCAACGACATCGCTGGAGCCCCAGAACTAGGGACAACTGGACGAGGAAACGATATGCAAATCGGAACTTACTTGGAAAAGAATTTGGATTCTGAATTGTCTGCAAACGTTATCGACCTGTGCCCCGTCGGAGCCTTAACCTCTAAACCTTACGCATTCCGAGCAAGACCCTGGGAACTCAAACATACCGAGACCATTGATGTTCTCGATGGATTAGGTTCAAATATCAGAGTGGATTCTCGAGGGATGGAGGTGATGCGTGTTCTTCCAAGGCTTAATGATGACGTTAATGAGGAGTGGATCAACGACAAGACCAGATTCGCTTGCGACGGCCTCAAGACGCAGAGACTGACCACGCCTCTGCTCAGAAGGGACAATAAATTCGTGCCCGCCACATGGGAGCAAGTTTTGACTGAAATTGGCGGTGCTTTCAGAAGCTTGGCACCGAAAGCTAATGAATTCAAGGCCATTGCAGGCCATCTCGTTGAAACCGAGTCCCTCGTTGCGATGAAGGATTTGGCAAACAAACTTGGCTCGGAGAATCTTGCGCTTGATCAGCCCGGCGGCAGCCAACCAATCGCTCATGGTATTGACCTCAGATCCAGCTACCTTTTCAATTCCAAGATTTACGGCATTGAATCCACCGATGCCATTCTTCTTGTGGGAACGAACCCCCGCCATGAGGCTGCTGTCCTGAATGCACGCATTCGGAAACAATGGCTTCGCTCTGACTTGGAGATTGGTCTTGTCGGCGAGTCTTTCGAAAGCACCTTTGAGTTTGAGCACCTGGGGGATACTGCTGCCTCTTTGAAGGAGGCTCTTTCGGGACCTTTCGGAAAGAAATTGGCCGCTGCTAAGAAGCCCATGATCATTGTTGGAAGCGCCGTTGCTGAGCATCCCGATGCTAAAGCTTTGTTTGAAATGATTGGCGGATTCGTCGATAAGAAGGCTGCGACCTTCAATACCCCCGAATGGCAAGGATACAATGTTCTTCAACGCACTGCTTCTCGCTCGGGAGCGTACGACGTTGGGTTCACAACTCCCTCTCCCGAAGTCGCTCAGACTACTCCCAAGATGGTTTGGCTGCTAGGAGCTGATGAAATCAGTGAAGCTGATATCCCAAAGAATGCCTTCGTTGTGTACCAAGGTCATCACGGTGACCGCGGTGCTGAACTCGCGGACGTTGTCCTCCCAGGAGCAACATACACAGAAAAGTCCGGCACATATGTGAACACAGAAGGCAGAGTGCAGATCACGCGCGCTGCTACGTCGCTTACCGGAGCCGCCAGGGAGGACTGGAAGATCATTAGAGCTGCTAGTGAATTCCTAGGAGCCCCGCTTCCATATGATGATATCGAGATGTTGAGAGATAGGATGGAAGAGATCAATCCTGCCTTGAGAAGATACGACGTTGTTGAATCTACATCTTTAAGCCAACTGAGCAAAACTCAACTTGTCGACCAAAACAGAGGGGCCAAGCCATCCGGTGAACCGCTCAAGAAACCCATTGAGAACTTCTATTTCACAGATGTTATTTCCAGAAGGTATGTTCATGACTCCAGCGCAACTTTGCGGATCTGTACCAAGATAACTAATTCATCATTCAGCTCTACGACGATGGCGAGATGTTCAGCCGCCAAGGAGACCGGAAACCCGGATAATAACTTCATGGCCCCCGGCGAACCAGCGCCGCAATATTTTGTAGCTCAATAGACAACTCTAGTCGTCCCCTTCTTCCTCTGCCTTCATTCCAGCCTTGATTTTCGTTTTCATGTGACACCACTATCATGTCCTTTCTCGTGGCTCCGGCGTTTCCATATCTCCATTTCCTTTCGCCCTGTACTTCTTTTAAAATTTCTGTAGAGCTGAACTACAATCCGTTGCGCTTGTAGCTGCAAACCACATTGCACATGTCTCTGTCTGTATATAAGAGAGTCCCGAGACTTCGCGAGAAGGGAATAGAGTTTCCAAGTGTGTGTAGCTGCTTTAATATGGATGAGCACGTTTCCCTTTCATCCAAATCCAGCGGGTGAAAATAGGAATAGCTCTGGGAATGGATTCGGTTTTGTGGCGGCTTGTCTGTCAAAACAAAGAAGATTGATATATATTCAAAAACTATAAATTGCATATTTCACCATACTCATAATTCGTCATCGCTTTCCGTCTCAATTTCGTTATCGTCTTGTTTCCGTTCAACCACTGGTGCGGTTTTCAGATTCCTTCCCCGTCTAGTAAATGGTAATTCACGACGGGGAGGGGGGCTAGCGGAGGGCTCTGGGACTGCAGGACGGTCGGATTTCTTGTCCGGCTTATCGTCCGTTGATGCAATGCGTTCCTTACCCTTTGACGGCGCAGGGACAGAGGTGTCCGGTTTCGCATCGGCATCTTCTGCTTCTGATGCCGTTTCTTCATCCTCCAACGGTTCAGGTGTTGACTGACGGTCAGATTCTGTCGCGGTTTCTTCGTCTTCTGCTTCTTTTTCCGGATTGTTTTTAGTCTCCTTTTCCTTTGTGTCTACGTCCATTGCGTCGAAAGCGTCTTCGCTTTCAGACTCACTAGGTGGCTCTTGGGCTTTGCGTTTTGTTTTCCTACTCGCATCGGCTTTTCTGGGTTTCTTCCCCGTATTCGCAGCTTCCAATTCAGCGACTATAATATGGTTAGTTAAATATCAAAGGCAAAAAGGGAAAAAATAAGGCACACCTTTTGCGGGATCAACTTTTGCGGTGGCCAGCAGTCTTTGTTGGTTACGAATCTTCAGCTTCTTCTCGTTTAGGAGTTGCGCAAATTTAGCAATTAACTGGTCATCGTGTTCCTTTTTCGCCTGAATTAGCTCTTCCAATTGGGCATTCAAATGGCTAATCGTGGATTCTGAGTCGCGATATTTGGCTTTTAGCGAGAACACTTCGTTGGAAACATCGTTCGCCTGAGCGACAGCAATACCAGTCCAGTCAAAAAGCTGGATGGCCTGGTCATCGTCTTGTTTAAGTGTGATTGAACCCAGACGTTGCTGAAGTATTAACTGTGGTCAGCGCAGCTGATGACGTGGACCATTGAGACGAGGTAGGGTGCCCATGCAGGATGAAAAATCATACCGTAATAGAATCGATCCGTTTTCGGAGAGTTATCAAGATCTCTTTATCGCCCTCGTCGTCGTCTTCCCCATCCATCGATTTCACTATTGCGACCGTCTCCAGGCCTGTCGTCCAGTCTTCCGACTCGATAGCGTCCTGGTTCTGGTTAAATACGTATGAAAGAATTCCAGCCCATTCGTCGTCGCTGCCGCGGTAGTTTTTGGCCCGTAATTTGCTGATTTGAGATGTTTTAACTAAAAACGAGCATCGTGTCAGCGTACCGGCATCGAAGCAAAGAGTTGGGAAGCCACTGTAGGCGAGTCCAAACTTACTGGAGCCTGTGTAAGGATTCTCCCCTTCTGTAGCGACGAGACTCAAATCGAGCTTGTTTTTCCCGGACTTGGATGTCTTGATCAGAATGAACTCATCCAGGCTGTCGCTTCGCGGAATGCGCAGAACCCTTTCTGGAGCCATGGTGAAGGTGTGAAGCTGATGGCAAACTCCACCGAGATCAGGCACTCTTTATATGCCGAATTGACTTGTAGAACCAGTCACCAGGCTGTCCCAAGGCGACAGTGGCCGCCAAAGCACTCGCTACTGTGTGAGAAGCTTCCCTTGTTCCTGTTGCCTAGGTATCCGGTGTAACATTACATGACATCAGCGGGCCTTACACGCGTAATAAAACGCGCTAACCGGTCGCTTAAAGGCTAGCCGCCGAAGCGCGTGCGGTTCGTACCGTAACCCCGTAAAGTTACTGTATGGAGTACCCTGACTTGGCGATCCCAACCTCCACTGAGCAACGCCAGGAGACGCCCAAGCAACATCCAAGCCCCTTTGCTTCCGCACTCTCGTTCAACAGCAAGGGCCGGTGACTTGCAAGGCATCGTGACTGCTATTCTTTCATTGTTGCGGAATCTCTGATATCCCACGGCTTTCGTTTGCTTCCCAGCCACTCAACTTTCGGCCTCAAGCGACCCTGTCCTGCAAATTTAATGTTGAACTACGACATGCAGCCCGACGAACCCTGGCAAAAATCGATTTGATTGTATGATCAATAATATCAGCTTTGTGTGAAACTGAAACATTTCTCCCAACCTTTGTGTGAAGTGGAATTACCCGTATTTCTTTCGATACTTTCAATTTGGCTGTTGCAACGCTAAAGGCCAGTCGTCCATTGCCCAGGATTCTTTCATTTCCAACTTTATGCGAGAGTCTTCCCAAGTCGAAGCTTCGAAGCTACTCCGCCGCATCGTGAGGAATGACTTCGCTTCCTCGTTCTACCCGTTTCGACCCAGACGCAATTACCATACGTTGATATTAGTGTTGTGAATTGGGCGTGGTCGATTGGAGAGGGACCGACTGCTTTTTGAATCTGGTGGTGGTCGTGGCCCTTCCAACAACATGGACATCTCCCCAATACGGCTTCAAAGGCACCAAGAGGAGATGATTGAGTGCTGGGATAACGATGGGGATTTCCAATGCGGCGATGAAATTTACTTTCGGACCGCTTCTTCAGCAACGTCCGTGACCGGATCTTCCATTCGACCCTCTGGCCATCGAGACTCCATTTCTTCCCGCCTTTCTTGCAGGTCGGATCGCGATTCCAACTATGGCGACGAAGAAAGCTGGCAGGTGCTGTTGGACCAAGATGAGTTTGGCACCGAAGATGCGATTGTATCCGCCAAAAACGCCGGGATTCCCATTCCCGACGGAATACCAAAGTCAGCCCTCTTAGGGGGGACAATAAAAAGACTAGGTGGCCGAAAGAGTAAAAAAGTCTTAGAAGATGACTGGTCCGAAGATTTGGACTTTGCAGGTTTGCACGGAGACCTTAGGTTACGATTCAAACACGAAGCAACCTCGCCAGAATCTCTCCTACATCTCAGCTCGCTACCAACAAGCCCATCTAAGTCTCGAGACCTGGAATTTTTCACAGATATGGTCAACCGCTCGCCAGCACCCAAACCTTTCTTCAATGATTTATATAAATTTAGGGATACGGATGAAGATGCTTCTTTTGACGATGTTCCAACGATCAAATTAGCAAAATCTCGACCTCAACCGATTTCGAACGCGTTCGCAATACCAACCCCGACAGAACCCACTACCCAAGACGAAAGCATCGAAACAGACTTGGTCCTCCCGTCAGATGGTGAGCCGTTACGTCTCTCCACTAAACGAGAAGTCTCCAAGACGCCTGACATCTTCGGGGACGAGTTTGATGCTGAATGGGCAGAAGGTAGCATTGGCGTCCGGTTTGGCGGAACAAAAAGGGAAGGGTTCTCGGCTCGTAGCTCGACGGTATCCGCATTGAGCCCAAGCGTTTCCAGTTGCTTGACGGTTGAAAGCGAAGATGAAGGATACAACGATCTTATTTTGCCTGATGAGCCGTTAGACTTACAAAAATCGCTGCAAAGGAGGCAAGCGTCTACACCACCTGCTACCCCAACTTTCCGTCCTGAGCCTGATGCCCCCAAAGACTCTGCTCAAACGGTTGATGACTTTTTCTCAGAGATTGAGATTGGTAACGGAGAGGTTTTTGATACAGAGAAATTGACTCTGAATCAAAATATCAAGCGCAAGGTTACAAGGCCAGCGAGCCCTGCTAGACGTGGAGCCACGACCATAACATTCACAAGCCGGACCTCGACTACTCGGATCCCCAGATTATCCGGCCTTGAGAGGCCCCGTTCTACCCAACTTGAGCCCGTGTCAGAAAGCGGTGCACCTGTGTCTAAATTCGTCCGCCCTACCTCTCGGTTGAGTGGACATGCCAACCACTCATCCCTATCGAATATTTCGGTGTCGAGCGCTGGCTCAACGTCGTCGACTACTCCGAGCCGTCGACCTACCAGTAGCAGCAGCTCCAAGGACACAGCGAGATGCGAATCGAATACCACAACTAGCCAGTTGCTCAAATCTAAGCGATCAATCTCGAGCATGCGAAACTACAATGCCGGAATGACATCCGCGCTGCAGAGATCTCCCGGACGACAAGAAAACAATGCGACTACGCGAACCACGGCGTCTCTCCGCCCAAAGACGCCAAACGACCGACCAACAACTGACTCTCGTCTTGGGCACCAACGACGACACCATATGCCATTCATTCCAGCCGGGGCCTCTCCCAAACAGTCACATCATGCAAGTCTTAAAACAAGCAGGCAGTTTCGCCGTGCAGACTCGGATAGCTCTGGTGATATTTTCACACACCACAGATCAACGTCACGCGTTTCAACTTCCTCAGCTTTATCAGACACTACGCGTCGGGGAAGCACCGATCTCCCTGTAGGGCTATTTGGTGCTGCTGCGAAACATACTATTACCAAGCCCAATCGAAAACGGCATTTTGGAGACGGCACTGAATTGGACATTTTTGACGATCTCCCAACCTCGGTGACTGCTGAAAGTAAATTTGTAAAACTACCTATCAAAAAAGGCCCTCCACGGGCTCTGCGGAATAGGCTCAGTCAATCAGGCATCCCCATACCAGCCAAAATGGAGGCAACAAGCCCTTCCTTGCCAATGAGTCCTCCACGGCAGGACTTTACACCTAGGTTTGCTCGCGATACCAACGCGTCCAGGATCGCGAGAGAACAAAGAATTGCCACGATGGCTCACAATCAAAAAGAACGCGAACACGGGCCCCTAGCTCCGATAAGTGCGAATTGGAAGTCGCCGCCGTTTCCCAGGCCACCTTCCAGCCCTACAATGGTTAAAAGCAGGCATGGACATAAACATCGTAATTCTGTCAGCCGGCCCCAGCTAATCAAGCCGATGGGCAATGGTGTGCATGAGCCGAAATGTAAGTTTCCTCTGATCAAATCCTCACGTTCATGATGCTGACACGCTATGATAGCCGTCAAAGGAATGAACTATAACCCTGTGTTATATAGATGGGAAGGAAACGAAACCGCTACAGCTGCCTTCGATCCGCCTCCTATATCAACACCTTCCAAGTCCTCGCTTGCACTGATTAGCAATATCGGTGGAATAACTGGCACTCAGGTTGTGGGCTCCATGATATTCGATCCCCAACGTATGTGTTGGCTTAAAGCGACATCTTCCCTACCCGGGAAAACCACTGCCACATCTCCACCAGATGAGGATGACGTGTTTGCTGGTCTTGATGATCTCGAAGATCGACCCCAAAAATCTAATATGGCTTCCCGAGCAGTATCAACAGCGGTTGATGTTGGCGCAGGAGATCCCTTGACCAGCGATGATAAAAGTGGTGATTCTTCCGATGACTGGATGATCACGGAAGAGTTTGATGTTGGCCCAGAATTCATCAAGCGGCAGCGTGCTGAGGAAGATAAATGGAGAAGGAAAGTCAGCAAATGGGTCAGCGACGACCGCAAGAATCTTGGAGATGGGTGGAGATGGACGATTCGGGACTTGGTGAAAACGGACCCGACCTTTGATATTCCAGTTCCGGATAAACGTTGAGTACTTCGGCTTGCACTGGAGGATCCTCGAACGCATATTCTCGGATCGATGACACTGGCATTTCCAGATGTTTTGTTTCGCATCTTTTTTGCCCGGCTCTACGGAGTACATGCATTGGTACTTTATACTACCTTAATCATAGGGATGCACCGAAGCTTCTCTACGCTTAAGAGAGTCACCTTTTGAGGATGATTCTCATCACAACGCTTCAACGGAATTATGATGAATATGTTTTTTTTTTCGCTTACCATATGGCAGGCTTTGGATTGCAGAGCCAAGGTGATTCATGTCCCTGTTGGGACCAAGCCCCTGCCTAACGACCTGATGACCAGCATACAGTGTGGGAACCTCTTGATTACTTGTTCTTGGGCTATATGGCATATTTCTCCCCGTGTATTCTAGCTGTACTATTGTTTTGCACTGCCTTCTGTTTTGCATCTGAAACTTCTGTCTTTTGCTTTGAGATTTAATGTTGCGCGGGAAGTTGTTCACTCTACTCGCCTTTTTAATATATAGTTAGTTTCGTACCCCATTTGTCTTCAATGGGCTTTTTGGCATACCATATCTTTGGATGGGCAATGATAGAAAACAATTGGTATTTTGAGCATCGATCCATCACTCCCTATTCGATTGGTCGTCCTTGTTTCCACGCAGCCAGCCATTGAAACGATGCCTCCGTGCTTCCACGAGCTCGCCGACTTTCGGCTGTCAACCAATTTAGTTGCGAAAACGGATGTCTCACAAATTTGCTATGAGCATTACAAATAGCTATACTTCCCGGGACTAGGGTGCTTCTTCCCCGCGAGGCTCATTGAGCCAGGGTCAAAGCACCTAGATCTATGGATGATCAGTGCGCAGCGCGAAAAAGCACACTAACAAATTAGAATACGGAGTGCACTTCGTTTTCATCGAGCCGCCCACCGCCATTGGCCACGGAATATTTGTTGGTCTGAGCTGAAGTTTGATGTCGGAGCTGTTGGGAGAAGAATAACATGTAAGAATCCCTCGGATCTCAAGGCCTAGGTCTCTCCTTTTTCCCGGGCGCTAATAGAGACAAGAACTGTCCGCTCTTCCGCCCCTGCAAAGGTGCAAACCCTCACCCGTCTCGCACTAACGCGAAGTCCACTCTTGAGTCTTATTTAGTCCCGATCGATCTTCGAGTCTTTCCCGTGCAAATATGCATTGAGATCCATGTGTCGTCGGAGAAATGACTATTGGTTCCCCCCCACGGCGCATTGCAGGCCTTCTCCCCCTGCTCTCGAATCTTATTAGTGTGTGATGAAATGGCTGCACACCGACTTTTTGCTACCCTCCCCCCGGTTCGCCATCAGCTTCGGGCACGCGAAGCATCCCGTGCTCAAAATGGATTGTTTAATGCAGAGGTTTTTTGCTCTGAAACAATGCGGACGGGAGTTGGGATGACGTTATATCCATCGTGCAGTTTGAGGAGGCGGCGAGGAAGAGGAGCTGTCAGAAGTCGATGGCTGACGGTCACCACTATCCGCCTTCCGCGCTATACGAGTGACATTCGGCTTTCTTTGGCAGGATCAAAGGCACCATCTATTCAACTCTCTGCTGCCATTCTGAAGTCCCTGAAAGAGATTGCGTTCAACCTCGGTAACTACCCAAGGCTTATATGGCTTAGTTCGTGATGAACGATACCGTCACCGTCTGCAGTCATCTCGTCGTCAAAGTTAAAAGCTATGCAGGTGAATGGACCTTTAGATGGTAGGCAACACTTAAAACTTCGGTATCACTCCAGAATCCCACTCCTGGAACGCAGGCAGTAGAATAGTCGCCAAGTCGAACCGCTCAAATGTCGTCAGGCGAAATTGCGTTGCCCCTGAAGCGATCGTCCATCCAAGGCATCTGCATTTGGATCTATGCCGACGACGCCCTCCTGATCCCTTCTCTCATGACGAACTAATCTCCAAAAGCAGGTTTTTTGGGTATCGGAAAACGGCAGACTCCAACTCATCACTGGCCGTATCCCCTCGCAGAGGCCATCCCTCCACCCCAGGCTTCCAAACTAGCTTGGGCTGTCAGCCAACCCCCGAGGCAGAAGGAGCCTGATAGACGTTGTCACAGTTAAACAGGAAATTCGACATTTGTGAAATCCAAATGTAGCAAAAAGATCATCCCAAAGCATGGAAAAATGCTGGTAGACGAGATATGGTATGTTTATCCCGATGGAAATGAGGTTCAACTTGGGAACAGAATCCTGGGCCCAGTAGAAGCAGCGAGATGGATATTCGAAAGGATGCCCACAAATGACACAGCAATTTCAGTGATGCCTTTTTCAACAAATCTTCTGACGGTCTTGTCACTGACGAGGGAGCCTGGCTCGTCAATGCCGCGGAGAATTCAGTTGTGACAACGTAAAGTCCAATGAATTGTTTCCGGTACAGGCCGTTAATCCGTGCGGTCATAATCCACATATCAAATCCCACACCGATTATCTTCACAAGATGTATGAGTTGAAACGCAGGTTGTCACCGCGGCCATGTGCCTCCAGGCCTCTGGGAATGATCCGCAAAACAAGGGTGAACATTGAGGCCCCTTCAGATCTATCAAGTCAAAGCCATATGTCCGAAAATCGATGGAACAGCAGCCAGAAGTGATTTCATTGTGTATAGGCTTGCTGGAAGAGTGAGAGAAACGGAAAGCAAGGAATATCAGGGGTTAAAGAATTGGTCGCGGGAGTTTTGATCAACTCGACAAGGAACCGTTCTCTTGATACCTTGAATCAAGCGCCAGCTAACCCCTAGCGAGCTCCCAGTTCCTTGTGCTGGGGAACAGGCTAACTAGTTAGCCCGCTCGCTAGCCTGAAGCCCGTCTTAGGCTTCTCACTATGACGGGGGTTGAGTTATTATTTAGCTCTGCCCAGAGACGTGTGGAGTATGGGACTTTGCTGGTACAAGATCTTTGTATCTTGACTGGAGAGACGGGAGATCTACATACATGGGGCAAGGCAGATGGAATGGAAATAAAGTCTTTTTTGCCAATCTGGGGTGAAGATACAACTTTATGGATGTCGACCAGAAGTAACTTGAAGTCAAGTCGTTTTTGAGTCTACTGCCTGCGGCTACAATTGTGTTGATGAAGGATAGGGCATAGAACTTTGTGGAATAACTTTGGCTTTCGCCAACTTATCGTTGCCCTACTTCATGATGGTAGGATATGGGATAACCTTGGATCTTTTGTTCTATTCGTCCGCTTCCTCGAGGCTATCCAGATAATCAATCCCCTTTTTTTAGGCAGACAAGAATGTGGTGGCGATGCGCCGATGGCTTGACGGTTTTTCCCAAGGTCATGGCTAAATGGGAGCAACTTACCGTGGGACATGATTGCCTCAACAACAGGCCAATTAACAGCCTTCCAGAGGTCGTACAGGTATCCCCCCAGCTGGCGAAGCATTTCGTAAAAAGGCCGATCACCTCGGAACTGGCTCAGATTCTTCAGAAATCAGACCCCAAATATCTGCACGGCAATGCATCCTCAAAGTAAGGAACCGGGAAAGGCAGATGCAGCCATGAGCACATAATATGTATGCAGGAAAAGTCGCATCCCCTGGACGGCTCTTTTGCTACCTAGTAGCTAAAATCGGATACCTCAAGAGCTCTAATCTGCCGAGAAAGGAATCTCGAATGCTGAGTGCCCCGAAGCCGCCAGGTTCCGAGCCAGCATATCCCCAAGAGGCCCCTCACAGTCCGGTATTGGGCAAAAAGCAACGAGGCTAGCAAATCGCCATTCGAGTTTCGTGTTATTCCGTGGAGCAAATCGGTCACAGGCTGAATGACTTACGGAATCGACGGAGCAAAAAGACGGGCAGGACCACGCGTTTCTTTACCAGACTCATCGAAATTCCGAGCCCCCCACTGGAGCTGAAGAGATGACGACTGCACCGGATGCTGGTGCTATTCTCGTCGACGGAGTTTTGCGCGATGCGAGCCGATCTGCTTCTCCTTCGTCTTCCTCGGCGAAAGGATTTGGAAACGACACGGAGGAATGTGCCCGAGAAGCCAAAATGGAAAAGAGAAAGGTTAAATCACCCTTGATGGGTGTTTCGTGGGCTCGTGAGGTGTCAGAAAAAAATATAAGACAGCTGGGTAACGAGAACTGGTCAGCAGGGCCTGTTGATGGTGCACAGAATTACACCTCTCTTGATATGACATATGTTTTGCCTGAAAAGGAGGATGGGTAACTATAATGGACGAGCATCATCCAGGTCGTGCAATGTAATACAGTTCCATAAAGTTGCATCCAAAGGCAAAGCTTTGCTAAAATGGATTCCCGCACAAACATGCAACTGGAAGAAATAGCAAAAGTCTGGCTAGCTGAATCGAAAGCCATCAAATGAAACGGCAGAAAACGGAATCGTTTCTTGCCCTGAGTCTTTGCCAACGGTACTCGTTTGGCGATCACAACGAGCTGACGTCGGGCCTGGGAACTGCCCTTGACGTGCAAGACGATGGCCGAAGAAGAAAGTCGAAGCAAACTGGATCCAATCTTCCTGGGGTTCACAAGTCAGCGCATCCGTTTCGCAGTGGAGAACCTCGTTGGTGGCGAGATCTGTTCGGCTTCGTGGTCCAGGAATATGAAACATGCTTTGCTGGCCTTCTGCACGGCGGCGAGAACGCCAGAAACATCCCTGGCCGATCTAGAAGGCAAAAGACTGGCGCTATCCATGTGCATTTGGAGACTTGGCCCAGCGGGCCAGCACACAGCCAATGACCAGCGGAAGGATGATGCTAACAGAGAGTTGTCGAACTCGTGTTCGGTCTTCCTTCATCGCCCTTTTTTTGATTATTATTACAGCACAACTGGCGGCACAATGTTGATAATGCAGGCCTTGTCAGCGCCTCAACTGCAGGCTAGTTGAAAGGCCCCGGGAACGGATTGGGGATGCAAAGGCTCCGTTCGAACACACTACCCCAGGAATCGTGATTTCATTGTCGACCAGCGAAACAGGTTCCATCTGCCTGAGGAATCCAGATTCGAGCTGAAGAAGTCAACTCCTGTGGGGGAGGGGATCTGCCCCTTTTGCCCATCGCAGGCTCAAAAGAAATGACGGCTTACCCCCCCCTGGGCGCCAATGGAGAGGCGTGGATATTCGTTCGGCATCCAATGGGTGTTTTTGGCCTGCTCTCCATGCCAGGAACCACAGAGGCGGAGGACGCTACTGCAGGCAAGTTTCTTCCGGAGTCCCGTCCTCCCCCGTCCAGCTGCTCACTGGCTGGCGATTGACGAGCAAGAGGCTACTGGCTCCGCACTTAGGTTAAGGTCAACGGGTGTTGGCCTCGATCGTCATCGCTAGTCTCGATGAATATCCTCCGTATCCGGACAGAGAGCTACATGGCCCCATCAAAAATAAATGATTGCTTTTCTTTGCTTCGCTTCTTTTGGTTTTCCTTTTTGGCTCGTCACTCTTCTTTTTTTTCCTCTTCACGGCTGCGGGCATGCACGAGGTCCCGATGACATGCAGGTCCTACGGCCTAACGGGAGACAAACCAGTGTCGAGATCTGATTTGTGTGGGGGGGGAGGACCACTGTACACCGCACATCGAGCGTGGCAGTGGGTGTCTGGCGAGTGTCCAGGTTTCGTTTTTGCATGCTGGCAGCCTCCGGTGTGCAAAGAGTGAGTGAGAATTCCCGAATCATCAGATAAAGAAACTCTTGGAATCGCATGCGGCTGCGCGTTGGAGGCCTAAACGCTGAGCTTCGTTTATCCGACGAAACAGAGCGAGGAGCAATTGGATGGAAAAGCAATCAAAGAGAGCCATGTCAACAAGCCAGAAACCTGACAAGAACCTGACGGGAGCACGAAGGGATGCTGTGGGCCAACACCCGCATCAATGATCCGTAGAGCATGTATGTACATAAAAGAGTATCACGTCGAGCTCTCCTTCGACGGTTGAAGCCAAAGTACCTTCGATAGCCTCATACCTTACAGGTACCCGTTTTAACGCACGCAGCACAGAGGAGAGCAGGAAGGGAACCTTGTCGGCTGCGCCCATGCAAAGTTCCCGTCATGTCTAATGCACGGATGGTCATGGACAACCTCCCCGTCCGGCCTCCCTCTGCTCCAATGATATTTGCCGGCATTGTTGATCAATCAGATTTGGCGCTCAAGCACACCGAGTGTTTGTTGCCCAACTCGCGATTCTCAACGCCCACTGTGCATTCTAGGCCTTGGGCAATTGTTTTGATTCACTGCGCACACACAGTTGAGAGAGCGAGCGCGCGCGAATTTCTCACCCACGGGACCACTCTGGGACTCCAGGCTAGCAAGGGAGAACAGAGCATCTGATTAGTTAATGGGGCAACCGGGGGGTGATTTTTGGAAGGTTGTACAGCATCTGCACTAAGAGAATAAAAGTCGCAATGGATGGGGCCCTTTTTTGACGGGGATGGCCCTCGAGACTGTGCGGAACTGACCGCAACACCATATCATCGATCCATGCTCTGCCGTCAGGGCTCTTGACGTCAAGATCTGGATTCTGGAAAGGCTCGTGTCGGACAATTATGTCCCTCTTCTGCCTCTAAAAGGATCGGCTACTGATACCGGAATGACTGTTCAAATCAGGCCAGTTAGGGGGGGTAGCTTGCAATTGCCGGACGATCCGTTTATGCGACTCCTCAGATGTCGCCATGTGAAGTGTGAAAAAACCTGTCTGTCGTAGGAAGGATGATGAGAAGGGGAATGGGGAGAGCAGATCAGAGCAAGCCTGCTAGACAAACAGCAAGGAGGCGAGCTGGCTTGCCGCCGAGGAGAGAAACATTACAAATATCGCTGTGTTCTGACCTGGGTTCCCTGAAAGCGTACGGCGTAGATACATAGCCGATACTGCGACTCGAGTGTGTAGCAAACAATCCCATTTATTATTCCTCCCAGGGGAAATTAACGGGAATGCAGGCGGCATCATCCATCCTATCACCTACATATACATGAACTGCACCGTGCATGCTCAGTTGAGGTGGCTCTGCGTGCATTCGCGTCCACAGACCATCAGCCAGCCAAAGAAACCCCAGCATTCTGTGGAAGGGAGGGGCCGTGATGCTGCTGCTGCTGCTGCTGCTGCTGCTGCTGCTGCTGCTGCTGCTGCTGCTGCTCGAGCAAAGCGGGAGTCGGCTCGAGTTCGACGAGATGTGGCACAAACGAGAAGCATCGAGGTTTTTTTGAAAGTCTGACGACTTCAAACACGATGGTCGACAACGGATGCGCTCTCTGCCTTCAAAGCCAGCAGGATTTGGCGCTGTAGAACCTGGATCCAGATATCTGCAGCGCTCTCGTCTCAACAGGCGATCGTTGGAGCCGGCGCCACCAAGCCCTGATCGCCATTGGACTCCGGCATCCCAGCATTAATAGAGCCTGAAGATATCCGGCGGGGATCAAGGAACCTGACTGATCTCAACGTGGCTGTCTGCCGAACTATAACCCACACCCATCATCCCGTGATGCATCTTTGGCGATAAGTTGATGCTTTAGCCTTTGCGGTTGTTCCTCCGACAGACATCGACCTCCCTTTTTGCACACCACCCCCGGCCTCAGCATCCTCGCCGCTCCGGCCTAAGACCACCACCAGGGAGTAAAAAGCCAAAAAAGCCAAAATGCTCAGATCTGGATGGAGCCCTGCTCTTTGGGGATCGATCTTCAGAGCTCGCGTAAGGAGCTGCTGCGTAGGCCAGTCCGCCTCCCATTCCTATGCCCGATCCTCCACCAGCGGTGATTCTGGGAGACTGGAGACACAGACACATGGGTTGTCAGAAAGTGATCACAGCAACCCTGGATTGGCGAATCCCGTTCATCCTCACGTCTGTTGACACATTTTCCTTTCTTTTTCTTCCGTCTCTGCGTCCCTTGACTCTCGCTCTCCGCGTTGCCCTTTGCTTTTCCTGTCCAAATCTTCCCTTCCAGCCACCCTGCTTCTCGGCGGATCCGCTCAGCCCTGCCTGCTTGTTCCTCAGATTTGATGTGCATCTCCTGTCAGCGCCCCTCACTGGCTGCTCCCCAATCCATGCAGATATTCCTGTCGTACCGGCACTTCCCTGGTCGACTACCGTTGTCCACGCAAATCAGGCCTAAAAGAGGTACCCTTGCCTAGGACCTTCCGATTATTATATGCTCCGGCTGTCACGATCTCTTCGTTGAACTCCTCTGCCTTTCGTCTTTTCCTGGATGACTCTCTCCACCAACTGACCTAACAGCAAAACCACTCGTTTGCTTATTCTTCTTCTTCCATTGCTAGTCTTCTGCCTTCAGCTCTCCCGTAGCTTCAGGTGCAACTCCCATCTTGTTCCATAGAGCTAGCCGCCATCTATCTAGCTCCGGGAAGAGGAGCTCGTAATCGCTGTTCAGAGACTGTACCATATCACCCCTTGCTGCTCTTTTGAATTGTTGATTCTCCCTTCGTCTGTTCGCGACTGAGCTACAGCTCCCTTCGCCCTTCGCCGTTTACGCGGGAGACGTGCGAGAGCCAGAGTCAGGTCCACCCTGAGAATCTGTGTGATACACCGTTGCCATTTGAGTTAACGCCTGCTTTTTGAATCGCCCGTCGTCCTAGATCGAGCTCGCGAGCATTCTTTGTCTGGCCTTCGAAAACGTTAGTCTTCTGTTTCTTGTTCATCTTCGTGCTATCCGTGAAGTTCAGTGCATAGAGGGGGAACAGAGGGACCAATGGAGAAAAGAGGCCCTTTGAATATACCATTTCATTTGCATGCGACTTAGCTCTAATGCAATCGCTTGAGATTATTCTGCTCGCTGTCTTTCACTTCTTTTCAAACTGATCATTTGGACGATTCCAACCTCTGGCTCGACAGCCTGTTCGTTGAAGGAACTGTCGTGGTAATAACAGTCATTTCTAGGGTGAAAGCACAGAGCGAGACCATATCAGAAAACCAATCCTTGAGGCAGTTAGCATGTCTCATCAATATCACAGCGACGAGAGCCAGCAATACGCGTACAACAGAAGTGGCCAGTATGGCTTGTCCCAGCAATCCTTCCAGTCATACCCGCATCAACTCCTTCCGCCGTACAACCCTCACTCCGCTGATCAATCGCCGTTGAATTCCTCGTACACCTGCTCCCAGCCTCTCTACCCGCAGTCGCCTCCAAGTTCGTTGGCGTCTCCTGGATATCAGTATCCCCAGCAATACGCGGCGCAATCGAGGTATTCGCCCTCGAACCGATTCTACTTTCACGACTCTCTTCGGGAAGTGGAAATAGAGAGCCAGGAATCGTTCAATGAGCATACCATGCTATCGGAGCCTGTCATTCCACCTCTCGAAGGCTTTCCAGACGTCAGGGAATTCGATCAACTGATGAAAAGGTACAATCGGGTTCTCCTTAGACCATGTCGAATTGGAACACAAAGCTAATAATAGTGATATAGCTATGTAGATGATTTGTCCGTCAAGAAGCAGGATAAGGCCCTCATTCACTCAAGAAGAGCTCGAAATATCAGAATCGTTCTACTGGACCCAAAAGACACTGCGATTGAATCGGCCCAGTTCAGGTGTGTTCCCTTGACCAGCGGGAATCCAGCTTAGCCAAGTGCCCGAATTATTAGAACCTTTTATGATTACAGTTCTGATATTGGATTCTAGGTTCTGGGTGAAGAAAATGTTCAAACTTGAGCCTAATGACGGCAGAACTCCTGAGGTATAAACTCCTCTCGTTTTCGTTGAAGTAGTTTTGTACTGATATCCTTTATTACTTCAGTCTAAGCGGATGATCTGTCACGAAGGGAAACCAGTTGCTATTAGGGAGAAGCTTTTCAAGATCCTGACGCGGGCCCACCAACAGTGCCAGCATGGTGGCCGGGACAAGACTTCAGCACAAGTCCGTAGGATATATTCCTGGTAAGAAGAATCAGCCTGTTCCAACGGAGGATCGTACTTTTAAAAACTAACCCGACGAGCCAACAGGGTTCCCAAGGAGCTGATATCCCGATTCGTTAAAATCTGCCCAACATGTCAAGTTCGACGAGGAGGATCGCGCTTAACGCCTCCCAATTCCTGTCGAAGCTCCCCGAAACTCGAGGTAGTTGGGGGACCACCGCCAATTCTGTCACCTCCAGATTCGAGACGAGAGTCTATGATTAGTCGGCCAAATGCGCCATACTCACGGGCTGAACTTCCCCAGCCTACCCCTGGACTAAACTGGCCTGGTTCCCATCATAACAGTGTCCATGGCGGCCAATACCATGGACATTATCCCGTTGCATCTGGTCCAGCATGGGCCACACTCCCAAGATCCATGTCCACGACGATGCATAGCAGTAGTGGAATGCATGGTTCAATGGGTATGACCTCGAACCACATGGAGTACGAATCAACGTACGAGGAACCGCACAGCCTGCATGGGCCACACTATTAGCTTGCATATATTTGCCGCTTCTTGTTTGATTGTTTAATGTAAGCCTGGGTTTCCCCTCGAACCGTATACTCCTCATTTGAAGCGGGCTGATACTAAACCATGTCGCCACAAACAGTGAGGTCAAAGCCCTGGTTAGGACTTATCGAACAATTACCGAGGATATGTATTGATTTTCAAAAACTCTTTAAAAGCCAAGGCCACCAAGGGAAAAAGGAGCCGGAGCTCGTGGTATACTGTTATGGGTACATGGAAATAATGTACTTTTCCATTTCTCCTGACATTTATTATTCTCCTTTTTTCTTCGATCTTAATGTCTCATGGAACGGGTGTACGTTGATCTTCTTCTCTGTTGAAATCCTTTTTTTCCTATATTTAATGGGCTTTTTGGTACGGGTCTTTTTCTGGGATAGGTCTCTACACGGGTTCGAAATATCTTTTCTGGGCCAGCGGGTTATGGGATTTCATTTATCAGGATTGGGAATTTGTCCGAGAACCTTGCCGGGAACAGGTTCTCGAAGATGCAAGAAACACAAAATGACATGCTTCTTTCTCTCTTTCTCTCTCTTACCCTGGATATATTACGGGATATACGGATTAATGTCAATAGACATATATGCACGAAACTACCGAGACGAAGCAAAAAAAAAAAAAGGATTCTCGTTTCATATACAAGCCAAAAAGAAAGGGGAGCCTTTCCCCCATATCCTGACTTTGCGCACAATTTTTTCGTTGCTGTCCTTGTCATCCTTCTCTTCTTTACCTCTCCTTTCCTGGGATTTCCAGAACGGTCTGGATTTTTTTTTTTTTCCTCTTCCCCCCTTGACGGACGAATGGGCACCGCGCAATCTCCCGGCCCAGCCTGTGCGGCATTCCAAACGAGACCGATCACCCGCCCATGATCCTTACTCCTGGAAGAGAGGAGAAACGCTGTTCAGAACCCGCTCCGGTCGAGAAAAAAAAAAAACCAGCCTTTCTTTTCTAGGGACCCATGCATCATCTCTCTGCTCCTCCCCTCGCGCTTTCATTCGCTTGGGCATCAGCCCCCGGCTCTCGCCTCCTCCTGGAATGCCGTTCCATGCACAGCCGGGCGGTAATCCATGTTCAGATCCTCCGATCGTGCAGAAACCCTAAGACGTCCAAGTTTCACGGTTCGGAGTCTGAATTTTCAAGGACAAGGGGAGGGCGAGGGGAAGGAAAACGCAGAACCATGCAAAAAGTCGTCTTCCAAGAAGAAACAAACTACCTACTGCTTCTCTCCAGCGCAGTAAGTAGAACCGAAAACGAAACGCAAGACTAAGAAAAAAAGGGTGGTTTACACAATGAATTAAAACAGAATAGCCGACCATCCGTACATATCTATATAATCAGATGGAAAAGAGGGACTGTGTCTCCAAATGCAAGCTAATTTTCCCCGTTATAGTTCCATGATCGTTATGAACGCCCGATATAAACATCCAACGTTCATCACCATTCCACGTTTCGTCTGAGGGCACTTCCGGCAACTGTTACAATTACACTGGCAGCGAGAATTTTTTTCCCTTAAGGACTCTGTGGGAATAAGGTTAGAAATATTATTTACGACACCCAAAATAGGATGAACTGACTTGCTGTAGTAAATCCAGAAGAAGTCGGAGTATAGGATCGTCTGGACGATGCCAGCGATAAGGGCGATTGGGTCTAGGCGGCCTTCGGCGAAATAACGGTAAATCCAATTGGGGATGTATAACGCGCGATACAAGCCCAGGGCGAAAATGTAATGCGTCGTGATGGTCTCGGCTTCTCCAGTTCGTTGCAACATGAACAATTGAGGTAAAATCGCAACGGATTCAAGCCAAATGGAAAAGGCCCATAAGATCTAGAGAAATCGTATAAGGACTGGATTCACAGGGTATGACAGTGGGATGATAGAGAGGAAGCGGCCAGGCGTACCTCTGAGAATGTGTATGAGTACGGGAAAAGGATGCCTAGCACGGCACTGGCACCAAGAAGATATTCAACTTTGAAAGTGTCCAGGTTGGGATCTTGAGTTGGTCTGTAGTCGTTAATCATAAGGTAAATCGTATACGCGGAGGACGCAATAAAGAGGATTTTGAAAATAGTGTTATACGCGGAAAGGGTGAACGTCCAGAAAATATCTAACAGTTTTAAGCGCGTTTATTATTAGCCTGGGAAGCTTATAGAACGTGTTGGGGAGCTGTATATGTACCAAGGTATCGAGTAATGTAGACGAGAAAATATAGTGCTTGCGACTTGAACGAGATACCTGAACAGCTCTGTGCCCGTAAATACGAATATTAGCTGGATCATTCAGCGCAGGGGACTGGAATGCGCAGAGGCCATACGCTCGAGGACTTCATCTTTTGTAGTAAGATGAAGATCGAGACCAGGTGTGATAAATCGGCTGGGCGGAACAAAACACCGCATTAGCTTCCGAGTCCCAAAACGGTAAAAACGCAAAGGATAGGCCCACCTGTTATCCGGAAGATATTCATGTTGCCGGTGATATATCAGAAACGGGATAGAAATTGGTTGAAAAAGCAGACTGGAACCGTCGCAAGCTCGAGCAATGTTTTTTCTCCGAGTCGTCGTCGTAATATGGCGAAATTCAAGAACAGTCAATTGGAATTAGCGCAGAATCCGCCATGGAACAAATACAGCGCGGGTGGACCAAGTGCAATTCAGCGCCACTGACGGGAATCTTGCTTTCTTGAGCAGACAGCTGGGCGAATGTTGACACGAAGCCTGAAGAGCAAAGCGGCCGCGTTGTTGTCTTCTTCGGTGGCATCTCCATATAGCTCGCTTATGTAAGACCGAGCTCGACGCCACACTCCACCAGCCACAGTCGCGAGCCCCTGAATTACATATATATTTTGAGGCGAGACCGCAGCTTCACTTTTATAAATTTTCATATGAGCTGAAATTCAGTGAAGATGAAAGTTGAGATCCAAGAAGTGAGATGCGAGTCGAGTCTTTGTTAATAAAATATTAATATTGGTGACGGCTTTGGATAGCTCTTTGAATATGGATTCACCCAGCACAGTGAATAAGTCGACATGCTGGAGTATATATCTCCACCCAGCTTCATTGACTGAGATAACTAGAATGAGAGCATCATCTAGTGCCCTTGACCTTTCTCACAGAAAAAGCGTCTTTGAATTTGCATACCGTATGAGATAGCGAAGCCCCTTTCAGTGCTGCAACCTGCCTTCTTGCTGAAACCAATTCGAGCGGTGGTCTGCAAGCCCAAATATCCTAACCGCCACTCCTCTCTGTACATGTCATGGCTATCCCAAGGACTGAACTTGGTCCTCTGTCTCTTTCCATAACCGCATCTCCCCCCGGTTTCGTCATGCGCGACGCCGTTCCAGCCTCGTCTCGTTCAGCCACCACGCTCACGTCCTCCAAGTCGTTCTCCACAGCATCGTATAGTAGCATAACTGCGTCGCCGCTGCTCAAGCCCAGATCATATTCCGGCGATCATGGCAGCAAGGCCACCACAGCAGTGTTTTTGACCATAGCCGCCGTCCTGGCTTTGACTTTAGTTTGCGCCCTGTTTGTTCTCTGGCGGTGGAATAGGCGCCGAAAATCAAGCGCCGGGCTTGAACCGCCAAAGCATATTGATGGGGTGAAGAGAATATCATGGTTTCGGAATGAATGATCTTTTGGGTGAATGCTTGGATTGCAAAGTGAACAGTACCGTGCCTGATTGGGGTTGAAATTTTGGGGAAGGGATTCATGGCATGGAACATATTTATATCTCCCACCATATTTTTACTGCAGGGTTTCAGTTTTTTCTGGGAATCTGTCATCAATCACTATCATACATTTTTCACGATATAAAGCAACAATAGCAGGTACAGCCTAGAACACCATGCGCACAAGTTCAACAAAAAAAAATCACGTAGCTTCCATGTACTCTTCACATTAAATGCAAAAATCCCAGACTCACGCAACTCCATATGAAATAACCTCGTACAGGTGGTAAAATTACCTTTGAAAGACTAAAACGCCGCACCACCACCAATATCATCGCCCTCCGCCATCCGCTGCAAATGTCCCTCTGCAAGTTCACTTCTCAACGCTCCGGTGGCACTCTCACGGCTCAATTTGTCCCATTCTCTCAACGACGCACGTTTTGATCTCTGCTTTTCAGCAATTTGTTCCAAAAGTCGCTCTTTGTCGGCCTCAAGCTGTGAAATGCGCTTCTCGAAAGCGGGGTCAAGGCCGGAAGGAATAAGTTTACCTCCTGGAACGACACTTGGTAATCCTGAAAGGTGATTCGCGAACCGTTGTGTGCGAGGATATGTGGTAGATGAACTGCTTCCATGTCGAAAGGCCGGGCGGTGTGAATCGTAGCCCCCAGGACTTGGAGAAGGCATCCCACGACCTCCAGGGGTTGAAGTATGATAAGGTGGTCCGTGACTTGGACGACGGATATTCCCACCTCTAGGTGAATCACGCGGACCAAGATCTCTGCTGAAATGGGGGGTTCCTGAGGAGCCTTTGGGACGTGTTGGAGCTGAAAGGAGGGCTGCGTGGCCACCGCGTACTGACAAACCCACTCCTTTTGGAGCGGGAGGAGGAGACGTAGCTTGTGCTCTACCGCCGCTTGGCACTTGGGATATTGTCTTCGGCCCCTGGTCATCATTTGTGGGCGTCTGAACTGATAGTCTGCGCGATGTATCACCGGGGCCCCCAATCGAAATCTCTCTCACGATTGACACTGGCATCAGAGGTGCTCTCTCCGGGGCGGCTTAAGGATGCATTGGCAAAGGTACTTTTTGGTTCCCTGGGTGGGGAGATGGCCCGAGTCGTACCACCTAGGCGCGAAGTTGGCTTGCTCGAATGCAGGGGCGAACGAGGAGGGACTCCGGTAAAAGGTTGCGACCTGCTTTGATACGTAGTAGCATGCGTTGTAGAGCCGCCGTATTCTCGTGCTGGTCGGTCCATGCGAGGCGGCGGGGAGGAGCGACGGGATGCAGATGATGAGCCTGGACCAGAATTTGGACCGGAACGAGGTGGAGGAGACGGTGAACGACGACGCCAGCTTCTCCAGCCATATGATTCCCTTGGAGGTTCTCGTCGATCAGGGCTTCGTGGGCGAATGTGATCCGGTAGTCGTGGGTCCCCAAGTCGGGGTGGCGGCGAACGAGGTCTATCATAACGATTTCTAGGAGGCGAGGCAAAGCGTTCTCTTTTTGGAGATCGTTGCGAATAGCCCACAGGCGACGGTTCGCGCACGCGTTTCAAGCCAGGACTAGCCCCTCGAGAGAACGAAGGTCTACGCGGTGGCAGAGCACCCGGAGGAGACCGAGAGCGTCTCAAAAGTCTTGGAGGACTCCGTCCGTTTTCTCGTCGAGGAGAAAATCTTCTTGGCGGCGGTGGCGATCGAGGCCGGCCAACATATCCAGGTGCTCTATCACTTCCTCTGAAAGGGGGGGTTCTCGAACGGCGTCTGAAGGTGCCAGGCGACCTGCTTCGTGGTCGTGCTCGATCGGACGGTGCCCATGTATCCGCAGTAGGTCTTATTGGGGGCGGTGAACGGTTTCGAACAGGAGAGCGGCCAAATCGAATATCGGGGCGTGGAGAGCGCCGAGGCACGCGGTCTCCAGGGCGGTAGCTTTCACCTCCTCGCCGACCATCATCATACCTAAACCAAAGGACCTGTTAGAGTCCTGCAAATTGTAAAGGTGGCGATAAAAAGTATCTCGCAGCGTGACTGACCTTCGATCATAGCGATCACGATCCATATTGAGCGTGTTTGGTTCCCTGTCGCGTTATGGGAAAAGTGAGGGACTGACAAAAGGCAAGCAACAATGCTGGTTCAGAGAGAGCTGGTTTTGACAGCAAAGTAGAAAGATTAATTAACAAAACCTTCAGAGGCTTGGGAAACAAGTCAGCCTAATCAGCTAACATATTCCCAACAACAGACAGTGCCGGTTGCTGTTGTGTTGAGTGTCACGCTGTGCAGGTCGCATCTGATGCTGGACGCGGCTTTCTGGCGAATTTTGGTTTTCTGGAGCTGCAGAGAGGAACAGCCAGCGCTAAGCCTAGCCGGGAAGAGGTGCATCACGTGAACGTTAGCTAAGCACGGTATCGACGGCGAGATATCGAGAGACCAGGGACGAAGAAGCGAACCGAGAGGCACGGCGCACTGCTGCTGGTGTGGATAGCTGGCAATCTTGCATTCTTACAAAAGCACTTGGTCATGCTACTAACAGAACTCGAATTCGCGCCCTAACACCCGCCTCTTTCCCCAAAATAACATGAGCCCCTGGACACCTTTTTAATAGTACATTGAGACAGTTCCAATATTCGATGACTACCGTTTGGCACGTCTTTCTTCACTTTGCTTCAGTCTCTTGCGGCTCTCACTGGCAATCATATCGCTGAGATCTTCCTGGAAGGACCAGTCGGGATTATTTTGTTGTTGCCTCTCCGTGTTATAGAGGTTTTGTAAATTAGCCTTATTGATTCCATCGTGTGATTGTAAAGCGTCTGGATCAAGAGACACATCCACATCCCCCGGCTTCTTTCGCTTCCGATTTTGCTCTTCTGAACCAAGGAGGGGTATATTGGATTCTGCTGACTTAAGATCATAGACCCGATCACCTCCGAAAAACCCTTGGACTTGGGTTTGTCGTTCAGGTATGACTTGATACGCTGATCTGGCGTGAGGTGTCTCCTCAGTTTCCGTCCCACGGTGATGCTTACGAAGATCAAATTCCCCGGCAATGCTCTCTGCGGTACCGAATTCTGATGGTACAGCGGATACCATGCCACTGGGTGTCTCCAACCCACTTGGGGTTTGCAGACCAGCGCCAACTTCCTCTTCGTCCTCTTCCTCTTCTTCAGACTCCTCCTCCTCTTCTTCGGACTCTTCTTCAACCGGTTGCAACTCCCCCCACAAATCTTTCTCCACTGGTTCTCCTTGTTGCGCATTCTGTTGTGTCTGTAAAACACCAAAAATATCACCACCATATAATGGCCGGTTGTGCTCATCAACAGGAGGCTTGCCATAACCGCCAGGGTGATATCCCCACATTGCACCCGGAGGAGGCGGGGCATTGAGACCAGGAATCTTAAGAGCTGGGTAAGACGGAGGAGGGCCATACCGCTGTTGATTAATGAGCCATGGTGGGGGGGCGCCAGGCGGTATATTGAGAGCCTCTTTCAGTTCATCGCTGAGCTCGCCTGGGCGTAGATGCCGTAGATTAGTTTCATATTCTTTGCCTTCGTAATAAACCTCTCCATATCGAGTTAACTCCGGCTTGGTCTGGAATCTGAAAAATGCTTCGTATAGTTTCTGGTAATCGATATCGAGCTTTCCCATCTTGGGTTGCACTCGTTCACGCTGCTTTTGCTTGAGGGTCTGCTGGTCTTGTTTTTCCAAAACCGCATCGCGCATCTCCGCAATACCAGTTTCTTGAATGAATTTCGGGAGTTGAAAAGGTGATTTCTCTATCCCTCGTTTCGACGACAAGTATTCACGTTTCAAAGACCAGTGGCCGGGAACCGGTACTACATTTCGATATTCTTTGATGTGAACGAGAAGCCTAGGATCCGAAGCCGAAGCATCCGTCCATTCCACAGATTCTGGTTTCTGAACCATTGCTTTAAGCTCTGCCACGGATAACTTATTCATTTCTTTTCGTTTCTTCTTAGATACCTTCGGCGCGGCACTTTCTTCATCCTCGTCCGGAATGTCATCATCTTCGAAATATATTTCCGGCTTATCTGGCTGTTTGGACGATACGTCTTCGACCTCAACGTTTTCAAACTTTCCCATGACATCCCTATACATCTCAAAGAGTGGATCGTTTTCATCATGTTGAGGTGCGAAAGTTGTGGAAGAATAATCTGCATCTCCATCTGTATCGGCGCTCTTTTCTTGTTGCGCAGAATCTTGCTTCGTGCCCGGTTCCGTACGTGGCTCGGTTACCTCTGACTCTGAAGGGGTGACTGTTGCTGAAAGATCTCCATTGCTCTGTGTTTGAGCCTGGCCCATCGCAGCTGATTAGCTTCAGTAAAGATGCATTGCGCATAGGCTTCACATACCTCAGCCTTCTTGGCCTTCTTGCGGGCTCGCCTCAGCTGGTTCTTGGTGGGCTTCGCAGCAGCCGCAGCCATAACGCAGGATTTTAGGACCGACTTTTAGTCACTCGTAGTGTACAATGCAAACTCGAGTTTTCACGTTTGATGTCTATGAAGTGATATAAGTGGAATCAAAGTCCGGCTATAGTCAGGGAACGGAGACGGACGAGTCGTATATCTCAAGATTACAGATGCCGAACCTGTGGCGCGAAGCTTACGAAGTTGAACGGGCAAAATGCGTAATCACGTGATCTACAGCATTCGCGGCCCGTTTTCGAAGAGAATTGAACGATGAGAAGATAAGGGTTACGGTTGTAGAAAAAGAAGCATTATATTCTTCTTGCTTCCGTTTTACAGTCATGTAGAAAGCAGTAATGCAAATCCCATTACCCGAAGTAACCAGCCAAATTGAGCATAATGTACAAGAAAAAGTCGCTCCACATTGCCCCGGTGCCGTAAAATCGATAATCATATAAGAAGAAAAGAGAGAGTAAGAGAAAATCTATTTCTTCTTTTTCGCTTTGGAATCTGGGTGGAGAGGAACGAACTGTTAGTACTACGATCGATCTTCACGACTGTGGAAATATCTCACCTGTAGCAGTACGTTTCTTCTTCGGAGCCCCCTTTCCACGCTTCTTCGCTCTATATTTCAATAATTAGTAAACCCAATCTAAAACACACAAGTAGGCAGTCGGCGCAATGCATACGTCTCGATGGATTCGAGCCGATCTAGCTCCGTCTCGTCCCAAGTTTCCATATCTAACGGGCGGAAGGCATCTTCTAAATCTCTAAACGACACAGTTTTTCGGGGGTAATACGACGCTAGGGCCGGTCCTCGTAGACGTTGCCGCAAGACTTTGTTCCCGAGACGGAGGCCTTGGGGGTTGTAATTCAGGTCAAAAACGCGGCATTGAACCTAGGAAACTGGTCAATTTAGATTCTGGTAAAAGGGTTTGGGAAGAAGCAGTACCTTCAATAGGTTTAACAGCCGCGATCGAGCGATGGACGCCATGCTTGCGGGTTAAGTCTACTGGAGTCGCAGCTCAAAGCGGTTTCCATGCTGCGAATTGATCCCGTCAGAAAAGTGCTGGCCACGTGAGTTTGCAGCGATTGCACACTTGAACTCTATTTTCGGTCTCTTGAAAGCTGATTTCCGATATCTTTTATCAGTTTGAGCCAGACAAAATGAAGCGAAAGTCAGAGGATACAGAGGGAAAGGAGGCACCAAAGCTGGTAAAAGACAAGAAGCGGAAGGTATGCTCTAAACACCCTCATAACAACATTGCACTATTTACTACTGATATCCCCGCATCTAGAAGAAGCATCGACACCACCCAGATAACGCACAAAATGATAACAGGACGCCGCAACTGGAAAGAAAAGTCTGCGCAGATTTAGATAATGGAGCGTCAAGGAAAGACGTGATCAAAACCCGCTTAGATCAGCTCGAACAAATCGCACGGGACATTGCTTCAGACCCGGAGTCGATTAGGAAGCATATCGAGAGCTCTGGCGAGGTGGAGATTATCAATGCAACAGCGGAGCTAGCAAGAGCCTTTGCGCAGTCCGAATTATCTTCAAAGGAATATCCCGATGCGAAACAACAAGCAGTAGCACCGTCATTAGAACCACCGCCAATCAAGGATAAAACTCTTGAAACCGCCGTATTCACCCACCAGGGTGAAATCCCCGCACACGCTCCTCCAGCAATTCATCACAGCTATGATCGCCTCGAAATCCTTGGAGACGCGTACCTCGAGGTCATCGCGACAAGGTTGATTTGGGATCGCTTCCAGTCCTTACCGCCTGGGCGCATATCTCAGATTCGCGAACTTCTCGTCAAAAACGAAACACTCGCTCAGTTTTCCGAGAGGTTCAAATTTGATCAACTCGTGAGAGTCTCCCCTGAGATACGCAGCCAGCCTAAACGCTGGGTAAAAGTCAAAGGGGACGTCTTTGAAGCATACGCCGCCGCCGTAATTCTGTCAGATCCAATCAATGGCTTTAACCTGGTGGAGGATTGGCTAGTGCGTCTTTGGGGTCCAATCCTTGATCGTGTTCAGCCGGAAGACCAGGCGACGCACCATAAAGAGTCTCTGGCTAAGAGGGTAATGGGAAAAGGCGTCAAGCTCCGTTATATAGACGAGAGTCCACCTATAACCCGGAAAGGGGGAATGGCAACTTTTTTCATAGGCGTATACCTGACAGGATGGGGATGGGAAAGTCAACATCTCGGCTCGGGAACCGGACTCAATAAAGTTGCCGCAGGGAATGCGGCTGCGAAACAAGCACTGGAAAATCACCCACTGATCAATCAAATTCATGCCGTTAAAAAGGCTTTCGATCAAAAGGTCAAAGCAGAACGGGAGAGCGCTCTCGGCGACTCGACGTGCGTGCCGCCGTCAAAATAATGACTACGAGCGGGAAATCATGTGCAAGGTTAGGAGGGTTCCTACGTGATGAAATCTATACGTCCGCGGGCCACCGCAATCTGCTAACAGACATGAAAGCGAGTGGCGTAGATTTTTGAACAAGAACAGTATCTAGTGAACTTGATGTAGTTTCAAGAAGAATCGCGATCGTCTCTGTCAGTATTCACCTGCGCTGTGTAATAATAATTACATGATAGATGCCTCAGAACCTTGGCCTTTGCATCTCTCAGACACCACAGTACCTGCCCCCAAACTCACGTCCCATCTCCCATGCCTAAAAGAGTCCGTGGGACAACAAAATGGGGAATGTAACCCGTACAACAAATGCCGTATGGTCCGTGTGAGTCTATCGTGTTCTTAGGTTCGACTTTATGCGGTTGGGGTCACCTAATAACCAATGGCCTGTTTTAGCATCCGGGTCAATTTATGAAGGGGATGGGCTGAAGGGAGACGCCGATAAGCACGGCATAAGCGACTGTAACAGGGCTAATACATCCCAGATAAGTCGCGGAGATGAGAAGGGATAGAGTAAGGAATGATATCGGAAGGATCGCATGCGAAACTTACCGTAACGTAAACTGTGCTAGTTACCGGCGATGGATAGGCGTCGTCGCGTTTATCATCATGGCCGCATTCCTCTTTTCCGTGGTGTTTCTTGATTTTGAAATGCTCGCTTTGAGCGTAGATCACGTAGACATTGGTTCCGTTGATGGCGTTAATCTGGTACCCATGTGCCGGATGGGTATCACAGGGAATATGAACTTCATGGTGTGCCTTGTGGGTTTTGACATCGATAGCCAAAGGAACATACGTTGGCGGGTACTCGACAAAGTTGACAAGATACAAGCTCAAAAAGTGCGGATCGGTGTCGACAAATGTCCATGTTACTTTCAGATCCTCTCCGGCCATGATATGGCTCTTTCCCTCGGGGTGAGTAATCTCAAGGGCCGCAGCAAGCGGAGCAAGAACACAGGCGAGAATTGGGAGGAAACGCATTTTCAAGGATTTGGTTGAAGTAATAACTTCAATTGGTTCGGGTAAAGAAGAGTGTTTGAATGTAGCTTTACTTGATAGAAGTCGAAGTAAAAACGAACAAAGATGTTGGTGTAAGAAAATGTTCGATGATGTATGAGACTGTAAAAGTTGCTGGAGAAAGAAAAGAAAACTGAAAAATCGACGGCGAGGACGCTCTATTTGTAGACGCGGAAGACCCTAACAGAGCGAGAGGACTAGAAAGCGCAAACGCGGGTTCCAGGAAGGTGATCAGGGGAAACTAGCAGGAACCGGCCGAATCTGACTTGTGCGGCGGAAGGGAGCTATACACTTTAGAAAAGAGCATCCCGTCTGTTTGCTTCATCCAGAAAGTAATATGTGGAAATGTAAAACCTAGAAGGAGCTCTCGGCTCAAAAATTGCGGGAGTTGAGACGACTTCTTTCCTGAATCTGAAAGCCTGGGAGCGAATCCACCAGGAAGCTGCATTTTATGCATCCAGATCCAGCAAGACATGTCTGCGGAACACAGCAGGAGCTCCGTTTAACCAAGGAAAGACGGTGCCTTAGCATGGTGGAAGGAATGAATAATGAAATTTCAAGTGCGAGAGACCAAGCCTGGTATCAAATGAGGCACGAAGATTGTTCAGGACCAAGCAGCTGACGGGACTGTTAGCTTCGAAGTCAGCATCGCGGTACGACTTCTGGGTCCAAAAAGTTAAAAACAAAAGGATCAGCTATGGAGTGAATAGCAGATGTGATCTGTGGCAGACACTTGGTTCGAACAGCTCCGTTAGTCGAACACCATAGCAAAGCCTCAAGTTATCAGAAATATGCTAACAGAACTCGCTTCCGCAAACGAGCCTGGAGTAAATTTAGTAGTCGTTTGAAGCGGCGGCTTTTGAACAAAGTCTCTCTTTCGGAAGAGGTGATAACTTGATGCCAAGGTAGAAGTTGCTTACCAAGGCAGGGTTATGCCAAGAGATTGCGGGCGGAGCGGAAGGCGGAAAAAAGTTACCATGTAAACGGAGTCTCGGAGACTGCAGCTTTGGCTCAGTATCAGTTCACTTATTGAAGCGAATGCAGCTCCGGGGTGGCGCACTAGACTAGGGAGGCCTAAACGCTAGTTAGTTAACTAGCGCCAGAGCACGAGTGCTCCTACGATCCGCGACGAGATCAGGGATTCCCGATATCATCGACCATGCTGAAGCACAGACGGGAATGCATTGTACAGCTAGAGTGCCGTCTGGTTGGACACGATTCGAGTAAAAGAACCGTGATTTCATTTGATAGGGATATTCTTCGGGTATCATAACGTTCTCTCAAATATCATCAAATCTCCTTGTCTTCCAACGTTTACACGAGGATGAAACGAGTCACTTTCAGGCCCTTTCGGATCAACACGACTGCTCCTTCTCTAGTAGCAGGGCTTGCTCGACTTCTTCGATGGCGCGTTGGTCGTCGAACAGAAGCTTCTTCAGGCGAGTTCGCCGCTATATTTTTATTCGATCAGATATTTCACCAGTCAAGAAACTAAATTTAACAAATGGTTTCAGCTTACCTTCTCCGAAATATCATTGATCGCTTCTTGCGCTTCCTTTGCCTTTTGTGCAATTAGGTCAGGTTTCGAATGGTCGAACTCGTCGGTTTCACAGGCAGAGTGAGAGATCCCAAGATTTTCGACAAACTGAACGGTAGGGATGATGTGCTTCTTTGAAACTTGGACATATACTCCAGCTAGTTCCCTAGCTACGGCGTAATGACCCTGAAGATTCAGCGCACCGACCAAAATCCTCTACAATGAAGTTCCAATTCCGCATTAGCCTTGACGAATCCACTGCAACTCAGAAAGGGACACGTTGCCCTACCTCTTTCAATTTTTTCTTGGTTCTTTCCATGGCTACCTGGTTTATGGACCGGTCCGCACGAATCTTGAGCATATTGTCAATTGAGCTCACGAATTGTCGAGCATGCTTTTCTTCTACATCCGTTACTAGCAACTCTAGCCCATCGAAGAAAAATACAAGCTTCTGGACATGCTCTTGGAAATCGGTGAGGTTGTAGATACAGTCCCCGAGAATCCCAATCAATTTGTGCTGTACAGGTTTATTAGTGGGCAACTATTGGTTATTGTATGCGCCCTTGAGGACTGTGTACTCACTACAGTAACGTTTTCGCCTCTGAGCTGCCGCAATTTCATATTCGTTTCGTGGAACTTTCGTTCAAGTTCTCTTTGTCTCCCGATTTGATCTTTGAGCTCCTTTTGGCTACGTTCGAGTCTGTTCTGGCTCATCTCCGCATTATCACGCAGGATTTTGAGCATTGCCCATTTCTTCGTTGCTACGAATATAAATTAGCTCGATTTCCCCACTTCTCACCAGCAAACTCTCCTTTCCCTTACTTTTTTGGTCCGTAGGCCGGACGGCTTTCGCATCCTATATCCGTGTTAACCAAGCCGTATATAACAAACCAGACATTTAAAACGAGCAATCACATTGATTTGCTGATCTCTTTTCGCTCTCAGCTCCGTCCTTAGGTGAACCAACTCCTCATTATCATGGACGGCTCTACCGATAACCTTCTGCCAGGTTCTGATTGCGGTCTCTGTAGGGCGCCGCTGAAGAATATTGTCATAGTGGGCATATATATCTCGGCAAACCTGAACAGTTGGGAGTCAGATCACCTTTCGACATGTATGGCTATATGATTGTTGTATTTACCTGGAGGGCTTGTTCCAATATTCCCATCCCTTTTGACATATTCGGGGTTATCGTTTTCGTTGGCGACATTGCCTCAGATTGCTGGGTAGTGAGTTTGTTCAAGAGAGTTCGAATGAGGACATCCGAATTCGTCCCTTGTGGCTGAGAAAAGCCGAACAGCCGATTAAAGTCGACTCCAAAGTCTGGCGGACACTCAGCACCCCTATTTAAGCAATCATTAAGGGCACAAAGGTCCTGATGGATGAATGTTGCTAGGTTAAGTCCATAGTCATTGTCCGGGTTCGCGCTAATCTGTGGTTTTTCACTTTCTGATTTCATCCACTTCTTATAGTAATCTATAATTGCTGCAGAGAATGGAATAATGGAATGGCTCCTTGCGATTTGAGCACCAGTTTCGACTGCCGTTCCTATTAGGTCGTACGCAAGCAGTGTCGCCCCTAGAAACACAGCCAAGTACACCATTTTAGAAGTTCTGGTTGGGAAACGTTAATGTAACGGGCGATGGGATCAAGAACAAACCTTTTGGCGTGGCTTTCAAGCTCTCATTGAGAATCCGGCGGTCAAAATCAGCATTTTCCTCGAGCCTCCTTAATTCCCTTTCTTGGGCAGCCATCTCCTCGTGTTGATATACCCGAGTCGACCGTGTATTGACGATATCGCTTTGGAGCTGCACTGATCGCTCACGATTATCCACTAGAATGCATGTTACTATATGAACCAATCAATTACTGGGTCAGAAAGATGAGATACCTTCAGCCGATGTACAGGCAGTCCGAAGCTGAAGGGCATAATCACGCCATGCAGTGAACTTTGTATTAACATCCTTTGCTATCACAGAGCATTGTTTGGAGCTGCGCTTCAGATTCTCAAGTTGGTCCTGGAGGTCATATACGATCAAGTTGTCATCTTCCAGGTCATCGAGTATGTTTTGTACCTGGGAAGACAAGTATGAGCGAAAAGATGTAAGGATTCAACTATTCGTCTGAACGCTTACAGTCCCTCCCGGTGCGCAAATTCCCTCGCTGATCCTTGCCACCTTGTTCATATTCTTTTGTGCTTCCACAAATGCCAACCTTCCTAGGTTAGAGCACTCTATCAACGCGGTTCGCAAGTTGGTTTGCCTGGTAGAGGTCAATAATAATACCCCTATTAGCGCTTGAGTCGACCCCCGGCTTTGACTTACTTGAGGTCGCCATTATTTGGCAGTTTGAGGATGGCAAGATCAGGAGAAGAGGTCGCAGCAACAAAACATTGTCCTAAGGAACAGAGAGCACGGGGAGCGGCCCCCAGCATTTCGCCCCAGTTGCACTCCTTCTCGAGCAACAACTGGGTCGAAATATTGTCCATAAACCTTTCAACCCCATCACGGGTCATGAAGGACTCAAAAAGTGCATCTCTGAAAACATCTTCGTCGCCCGATTCATCTTCAAATTGGGATTCAATGGGTTTAGCGGTTCTACTCACTTTCAGAGAAGAAGATTCGCGCGGATGGAATGCGTCTTTCCCACCGAGACTATTCATCATGTATAGCATAAAAAGAGTTTATACGTCTGTGTTACGTACCTTGCGTTAGTTGAGATAGTTAACTGTAAGAGATGGCGGCACCAAGCGGGGGATCTTATTAGATATAAACCGTCAAGGCACTTGACACCACCTGAAGAATTCCACTGCAAGGATTCTCAAGCCCTTAGTCGTCAATGCGAGTGTGCGCTGCCCGAGATGCAGAGATATGTGATTTTATTGGTTTTCGATTGGCATTCAGGCTGGAAGCAAGCGGTTGCGTGCGGGGGTAACTACTGCAGAGAAGGCTGTGACAATTTGAAACGCAATGTCCAGAAATAACAGCAAATAAGATACTATTAATAGAAGAAAATTGCCAATAATCAATCAAGGGATTTAAGCGTAGATATATCCGGAATAAAGCCCCTGGCACCAAACGGCATGGTGTTCATTCAACGCCCTCCGAATCCAAAAACCAAGCAACTCGGATGAAAGTGCAACATGGATTTCAATATGGATGTTGCTATGCTAGGGAAAAGGCTTAGAAGCTGCGAAATCTGTTTAGCAGAGCAAGACGAAGAAGTCGAGGGTGCATTTAAGGCGAGCCAGCAGGAATTAAACAGCTCGCTGGAGGCTGGAGTGGCCTCCATCCAAGCTGCTATGGCTAGCATGGATAAGACGAGCTCCACGAAGGAACAGAGCCTGACAGTGCAGAGTCGGCAGATCGTAGAGTCCAGGCGCCAAAAGATACGTATGATCGGAAATGCATTTGAATATGTTTCCAAAGTCGCCGGCGATTTGATGGTCAGATTCATGAAGATACAAAAAAGTGCGATCGATCTTGAAGTTGAAATTTCCGTTTTGCAGCGAGATACGGGTATCACGGTTGTACGGGCAGAGGAGAACAGCAAATATGCCCTGAAGAGGGTCAACGCGAGAGCGAAGGAGCGAAAAACTGCGAAACAAAAACTGGAAGCTCTGGAAGTCAGTATACGAAGCCTTGAAGATCGAAAAGAAAATTTGGACGAAGATAGGAACATCTTAAGAGTGGTGAGTGCGCCTTATGCTTGCTGTCATCAGTAGAGGAAATAACAGAAGCAGGCTCGGGCCCTTGCATGGGGAACTGCCGCCGTTGTCCCTGTTGCCGCTATTCCCGCAGGAATACTGGAAGGCTATGCAGCGTGAGTACTTTGCGTCACCGGATAAAATTGCATACGAGTAAAGACTGAGGATATTTCGATACTAGTAAGCTCCGTGCTGAGAAAGTTAGCATCAAGGACGGCCTTCAAACGAAGAAGGCCGAGATATCACACATGGATGCCGCATTCAAGAGCCTTAAATCTGAAGAAAAGGAAGCGCAGGCTTCATTAGAGGCAGCTAATCACGTATGCGACAACTGTGCAGCCCTTAACTTGGAGGTTTCCAGGTTGAAGGAAACTGTGGGCATGCACATCCAGTCGTATCAGAAGGTCAAAAACGCTGCCACAGAGCTTTCATTGTGGGCAGACGAGTTGAGTGTCGAGGCGAATGGGATTAGTTACCACCAGGTGGCAAGCATGGCAAACGGCTTACAGGATTTGCTACTGGACTTTTCAGCCGAGAAGCAGCAGCAATTGATGTGGATTTGCGAACCGATTGAGTCGTTTCAAAAGTTGAACATGGGCCCTAAATGAAGACCACGCGCCTGTTTTTTGGGCATAGCATCTAGTTAAGGAGCTGGAGGCAGATTCGGCTGAAGCCATGGCTGAAAGTGCGTTTGTCCAGAAGCTCGGAGGGCAGCTCAGGTCAGATTCCCTGGGTAGACAAAGAAGAATGAGATGGCATGGCGTTGAATTGTAGGCCGTCCGAGCTTGCTGCCCGTTTAGGGGTAACTAGCTTACGTTATAAACTCCGCACCAATCATCTCTCCGCCAGCGCTATTTCTTGGCGCCACATCTCCTTCTGGCGAACGCTCGTATAGAGTGCGTCACCTCAAGATGCGAGCGATGCCCATGGCGATGCAGGACACTATTACGCAAATTGTCCGAGGGAGAGCGCGTCAAGTGGAGGATTGGGAATGTCTAGCAGAAAGGGCGTGCTTGTGATTCGCTGGTCTCTGATTCTGGCCATAGGAAGGGCTTCAATTGAAGTGTTTCTCAAAGGGGTTTTCTGCCTTACGATGGCCTCTACGTACATTATACGAGTAGGGAGGGTTGAAGAGGAAGCGGAGAATCAGGCTCCCAGCATAGCTTCGGCGTTATGCTCTTTTTGATCTCCTGAAAAACAGTATATATACCCGGTTTGGCTTCGTCAGCCCATAGGCTCTTATATCAACTCCCATTTTCACGACTAATATTTCCAATTGGCGTTCTTTGGCCGATATTGTTGCTTGTTAAAAGAAATATCAATTTCTTAACGAAGATGGCTACTGAGGATAACATTTATTTCTATGATCCATCGCTCCCAGCTTCGATCCTGTTTACGATCCTTTACTTTTTTCCTGCGGTATTCCTCTTCTACACTGTCATCATCGGTCCCCGGACCGGCAAATACGGACATGCCGGTTACTTCATTCCCCTCTGCATTGGAGCAGCGATGGAGGTCCTTGCGTATGCTATCCGCTGTGCCAGCGTCGAACAGCCCGGCAGCATACCGCTCTACGCGCTATCATCATCGCTTGTCGTTATCGCCCCCGTTTTCATCTGCGCCAGTCTGTACATGCTCATGGGACGGTTGATTCGAGCCGGTATTCCCGAAGCCAAAAACCAACAGCGGATTTTTGGGATTCCGCCGCATTGGTTGCCACGCATATTCGTCACGTCGGATGTTTTCAGCTTTTTGACTCAGGCATCCGGCAGTGGGATTGCATCTGCAGGTAACTGGGAAGGCTCAGAAAAGGAAGCTGGGACAAATGTCTTGATCGGCGGGTTAGCATTGCAATTGGCGACATTCTCCTTGTTTCTTGTCATCGTCCTCGTTTTCCATCAACGTGTCCATTCGTTACGGCGAAGCGTCGACGACAATCTCAAGAAAGTTCTGATTGGGCTGTACATTTCCGGTCTTTTCATTTGGGTACGTATCACTACCCGTAGCATGGCTGCATGGGTTATCGTGCAACTGACAGCAAATCGCCAGCTGCGTTGTGTCTATCGGCTCATTGAATTTGCCTTGGGCATTGATGGGTATCCATTTTCGCACGAGTGGTGCCTGTACGTGCTCGAGGCCTGTCCGATGCTGTTTGCACTTTGCGCATTAGGGTACTATCACCCGGGAAAATGGCTCCCAAAGTCCGAGTTGAGTGCTGGGTTCATCCTTCAGGACCTGGATAAGGAGGCGAACCGCTCGACGCGATAACTTGACTGCGTACCGAACGAGTGAGAATTGCAACTGCTAGTTATCAGTGAATCCTTGATTGTATATATTCAGAGTGCACTTAATAGAGACAATCCAGCATTTTGCCATGCTCGATATCTTTGGTTCCATTCTTCTCAGCAATGCCACAGCCGAGTGGAGCCACCATCACCAGTTCCGTTGCTGCTGTTTGGCTCTTATAGCATGGCGAATCCAATGATGGCTTCGCGTTGAACAAAGCTGAAACCTCGAATACGAGCCGCGACGTCATTTTCAATCCTGAGGCTTGAGCTGGCTTTCTCTCCGTCTGCTTCTCCTTTTTCCCTCTTCCTTTCCGCTTCTCCACCACACACTCTTTGAACGTGCTCATTATTTTCCACTCGTTTGATCTTTTCGAGCTCGCTTTTTCGATTCAAGACGACCCGAGTTCCAACCCCATACCCTCATTATGGCCACTACGCAGTCCAGCTCCGTTGCAGTCCCGTCAGCGACGTCGACGTCCACGCCCATCAACCCGGCATGCGGCGCCACGACCTATGACATTCCCACCAAGGATGCCGCCTGTGCCGTTCCCGGTGTTTCTCACAAAGAGTCCATGGAGAAATGCTGCAACTCCCCCGTTGTGACGTACGGTGAAGATTGCGGAATGTACTGTCTTGCGTCCGGCGGGACGGTCGGCGAACTCGTTCGATGCATCATCGGCGACGGCGTGGCGGACGGACAAGTTTTCTGCAATATGGCATCCAACGCTACCGCGACGGGCAGCGCGACACCAACTGCCACCAATTCTGATCGCGACGACGATGACGACGACAAGAAGCCGACTGGTACCGAAACGTCGCCCGCAGCGACCTCGTCCAACGCTGCCTTTGCCAGCGTCCCACAGCAACCGATTTCAAAGCCAGCGATCGGGGTTCTCTTCACGCTTTTCTTCTCCACCTTTGCCAGCGTCCTTTTTGCATAAAGTGGATAGCGAGACTATGCCGGCCTTGTTGCGATTATGGGAATGGAGCTGTTTCTGCATTTTACCTTGATTACTTCTACCTCGGCCTTTTAATAGCACTCTTTTGGCAGTGTATTTTTTATAACTCAGCCAAATATTAATGGTTCAATTCTATTTCTTTACAGACGCTTTTATTTCGTCAGTACGTAGACTTAGCAGGCGTAGGCATCGAATCGTCATTTTTCCTCTTCTCGTTTCGCAAGGCTGAGAGAGCTACACAACATTGCCTCCGCCTCCGTAGGCCTTGTTAAATGCAAACCATGTCCTTTATCATGAAAATGGACAAAAGCAGCATGCCACTGGGATCCTGATCCTTGTCAAATTGTGTCGTCACTCCCCAACGCCCGTAAAAGCTCCGAATCCTACATGCCAAGATTCGTAGCAATTCATTTCGCGCCCTCCAGCGACTGCCAGCCGGCGAGACATCTACCTGCACAATGAGGTCCTCGATACTTGGGTTATATCGCGCGTCCTCCTTTCAAACATGTCGCGCATTCTCTTCTTCGCGAGCGAATCCCCAGCTTCAATTGGCCTATAATCTCTGGCCCGGGCGGCAGTCCCAACATGCGTCCTCCGAACCCAAGCGAAACCCGATTATTATCATGCATGGGCTCTTCGGCTCCAAGCAAAATAATCGGGCTGTGAGTAAGTAAGGAGAGACTCTCAAAGCCCTTTTGATTTTGCCGTTTGGAAGAAGTGTGAATACTGACCAGGAAAAAAACCTCATCCAGGGCACTCGCAAATACTCTGAACACCGATATTTACACGATCGTGAGACAAAAAGCCCAGCACACATCCGGATTATTCCCACAGCGCACGCAGTTACTCATGAGCTTTCTTTGCGTTATTGCTAGGATCTGCGGAATCATGGCGACTCCCCCCATCATACTGAGCACAGCTATCCTACAATGGCAACCGACGTGGAACAATTCATTCATGAAAACAGGCTGAAAGATCCGGTTCTGATTGGACATTCGATGCAAGTTCACCCGGCTTTCAGATACCCAGGGGCCGTTTGCTAATGCTGCACGAAAGGGGTGCCAAAACCGCCATGGCGGTCGCATTGCGCCATCCGAGCCTCGTCGGCGGAGTGATATCTGTTGAAAACGCCCCCGTGCGCGCGCCACTGAGCAAAGATTTCGCCAAGTATATCAAAGCTATGAAGGAGATCGAAGGTGCAAAAGTGACCAAGCAGAAAGAAGCGGATAGTATTCTGCAGCCATATGAGGAAGTATGTTTCCATGCACAATCTTTTCCCTTACTATGCGATCATTGGACACTCACTGACATTACTTCTTTCTTATTTATACAGTCCGAAGCAATCCGCAGTTTCCTTCTCACAAATCTCGTGCGCTCCAAGGATGACAACACCTATAGATTCCGCATCCCAGTCCAAACCCTAGGCGATAGGCTCGATAACATGGCCGATTTCCCCTTCTCCCCCGAGGGAAACGCAGTCAAGTTCGAGGGCCCGGCACTCTTTGTTCGCGGAACAAGGAGCCATTATGTTAAAGACTCGTCGCTGGATGCTATCAAGTCCTTTTTCCCGGCATTTGAGCTCGTAGATATTGATGCCGGGCATTGGGTGATTGCTGAGAAACCACAAGCGTTCCAGGAAGGTGTGTTGAAGCTTTTAGGAGCCCATTTGCTACACGAGAAGGCATTACTAACGTGCGCAGCGGTTGTCAAATTCTACAAAACATTGTCGTAATCTCGTGCGGTGTTGTCCATTCAGCGAGGTTTAACATGACTGGATAGATTTCTGGGTGCATGGCATATTAGATCCTTGCAGAATTCGATGTAAGTTGTATAGATACCGATTTCTCTAAATTAAGTACCTTAGTTTATAGAAGCATTGAGTGTGGCAATTTACGAACAAAGGCTTTACTCGCCATCATCTGTTCAGATTTCGCGAACACCGGACACCAAGAGAAAAGAAGAACCAGGAAATTTCAGCCTCGTCACGGAATTATTATAAACACTACCTGAACTTTCACAACTTGCCTATATCCGTTGAGAAAAATACATGGTTCGTGCCCAATCTTCATATTCTGATAGGAGACGCAGTAGAATGCCTAAGATGAGACAGCCAAACAAGACAACGACGCCTTTTCATTTAGAGTATAATTCCGTAGTTTAAAACGAGGCCATCGAGAAAGACCAGACCATACAGACAGAGGAAGATTTCATCTCATCAGACCCATCGTTAAAATTAGACGCTCTCCAACACCTGCTCCTTGAATTCCCTCTCGACCTAGATAGTGCAGTCAGAATCAATGCACGATCCGTATGATATTAGATGCATGGGGTATACACACCTTTTGGCCCTTGTCATCAGTGCTGGATTCACCGTGGAGAGCCAAAAGAGCACCGATATCGAATTTGGGTTGTTTCAACAACTTGACCTTGCGGATGTGAACCTAAATGTGAGGGTAAAAATCACCAGTCAGCTCGCGCCCCAAGGAGTGGTTCCGGCCTTGAAGATTCCGACTAACGTTCTGGAGAGGGTAGATGCCCCGGGTGGCCTTCTCGATTTCACGACCAATAACCTCGGGAACAAGCTTCGTAAGCTGGGTGAGGGTGCGTGTAGAGGCCTCACGCTGGATGATCTCAACCATCTTCTTGCGAATGGCACGGATCTGAGAGGAGCGAGCGTAGGTAGTCTTCTTGACCTGGAAGGATCGTCGCTTGGTGAAAGCAATGGCGAAGAGGCGGACAAGGTAGTCATCAGTGGTCTTGACGGTGACGTTGGCCTCAATCAAAGACTGCCACTTGCGGACGAGGGATCGGAGCTTGTCAGATGTGAAGTCCATGCCGTGGAAGTTGGTCAAGCAGTTCTTTCCTTGCACTTCATCGACGCGGAGCTTGATCTTGCGGAACGAGTGGGCTTGGTCGTTCTGCAAATCGGCGAGGGAGACCTCGAAGATACGGCCCTTGAGGGAGTCGTTGGCGTTCTTGAGACCGACGGTTCGGTTCACGATCGTCTTTCCGACACTATAGTAATATTGTCAGTCGTTTTCCTGAAGCCGTGGCATCTGGGTGTAGATTTCGCCATACTCTCGGGTCGCGAAGGTAGAGGGAGCCTATAAGAGTCAGAAAATGATATTCACAAGGATTCAAGACAATTCGCAAATTCACCTTGACCAGGTATTCATCTTTTCTCGAGAAGGGGTCCTGGGCTCTCTTCTTAAGACCCTTCTTGCCCTTCGACAGACGCTTGTTCCTATCGGTAGTCAGCATGATATATTCCCTGCGAGCTGAGGCGGCGGAGCGCTCGTGAATTCGGAATTGCGTACTTTCCAACAGCCATGTTTGCGATTCGGGTCTATCTTGCTGCGAAAGATAGACAAATTATCGCATTCGTTTGGCGTAAATGGAGCAGTCGAGGTGTTGAATCGCCGTTAACGAGGGTTCGATCTCAAAATCAAAATCCCACACAAAATCCCACTAAGCGAGTTGTGTGCGCTAAAACCGAACGAGGCCTAGTCCTGTTTATGTAAGGCATTTTACCTTAGTCAGCCAGTGTAGCTACTCTTGGCATCTCGGAAATCACAAAAAACCTCCCGAAGTAATAGAAACTTGCACAATGCAGATAATATGATATTCTTATAAGTTTTCTCTTGTTGATCGGATTATATGACAGTCTTTCACCCGTCAGCCTTCCAGCCCGAGGATCACCTTCAAATCAGGCGGTGTGACCGCAACTCAAGTCCACCGACTTCCTAGCCAGGGAGCGAATCTAATACGGATGGAAGCTATATCCCACGAATGGATATATCAGCGTTGTAAGATTTCAGCTTACAGGCGTGTTGGAGTATGTGAGCAGCGCAGTAGGAGAAGGTTTATCTACAGTCTAATAACGACCCGTATCAATGCTAGCTAGCCGTTAGCAATGGTGCAACACCGTGACAACGAACGACTTACATCAAGATCATCCCAAGCACGTCCTTGAACGCTGGAAAGTTCGTCCATGCTCATTACATGGCCAGTAGTGACTTGCTGCTGTCAGCACTTCGAATCCAATATACAGGGTCGGAAAACTTTATGTGACATACAATAACCAGAGTGTATCTTTGCATCAATCTCGACGCGGCTATCTTCCGGTATTAATTCATCGGGAATTGGGACTCGTTCAAGAATTGGTATTCCTTGTTCAACGATAGCATCGTGTTTCATGCTGGAGGTATTCGTCAGTAAGATACGACTCAAATTTTCCTTAAAGGATCTCCTTACTTGGACATGCTAAGCATTCTATCGATCTTCGTTATGCCCAGCCAATGCAATACCTATGGCGATTTATTAGATCACTGTGTCACGGATATAAGGATCTGCGGACAAAGCTTACATCCGGCATCAGGGCCTGGAATCGCATATCCTTCGAACCATCAGCATCAAACATCTAAAGCACAAGCAACATTTTGGCTCTCCTACCTTGACTCCAGCAATGTTTTCCGTCCTTTTGAAGTACTCACTAGCACCTAATATCGAAGTTAGAGAAACGCTGGAACATACTATAATAGGGTTCTCACGATCCGAGCCACGTTTTCTGGCATTATACACCAGATATTTGGTGACTTCGCCAAGTGCACGACCCTCCTTGCGGAAGTAAATTACTACGCCGCTCCCTCCTTTCTGCGCTTCTTTGACCGCTTCCTCTACTCCAAAAATCAAGTAAGGACGGCAAGTGCAAATATCTGAACCGAACACATCGCTCCCGTTGCATTCGTCATGGACACGAAGAGCAAGGCGCACGTTGGGATCAGACATTTTTGCGGGATCGCCGAAACAGTAGACGGTCAACCCGCCAATCGGTGGAAGGAAGAGTTTAATGTCTCCTCTGGTGATCAGCTCGGGGTAAGAGCCTCCAGTGACCTCGAAAAGGGCGCGGCGGAGCGTTCCCTCATCTACAAACCGATATCAGCGCAAAGTCGCACAATCGCTGCAGACTCCAACTTCGTTAATTTAGGGTTTGCTAACCTATTCCGAATCTTTCTGCGACGCCGGGCAAATACCAAACTGGCTCCACGGCTATTTTTGTGACGGCTAATTCTCCCATTTCATTTAGGCAGATTTTTCCATCTGGCACCAAGCGCCCTGAACGCACACTTTGTTCCAGCTCCGGTAGTTTCATATGTGCTTTCGTTACCGCGATCGTGGGCCGAATATCGATATTCTCCTTTGTGATAATATCTTTGAAGATCCACGGTGCCAAATGCCCCAGCGGGTCCATAGATACAATCTTCTTCTTATCAGCCCATTGCGGAAATGGTCCAATGTTTGCAGCTGGCTCGGTGTTCGTGAAATCCGGTCTGTGTTCAAGGTCCAAGTGCTTGCTTGCGACCGCCAGCGCATGATATATAGCATACGAACCGCCGTGAGCACCGATTGCTAGAGCTCGAGTCAGCAAACTACAAGAATGTAAAATGAGATCTGTCAAACACACCATTTCGTCTCCGGACAGTGTTTTGATGTCGACTCACGACCACTGGCCCTCGTCGAATGGGTTCTTTGTTACCCCAATCCATCGGTATGGGATCTATACCCGACTGACCGGGGTAGGTTGTCAAGATGATGCGCGACGTGGTAGATTGACTTCGCTTAGTATCTTTTGCGCTCACATCCTCGCTTGAAATGGAGGGTTTCGAGGGTTGAGTCGGCGTAGAGGGGATAGAAGTTGGTTGATTTGAGGTAGCATCCTTAGAATGTGTTACGATTGTTTTAGGATCAGCAACCGCAAGTTTGTCTACACGCGCACTTATTGTATCGACTGCGAGTGAAAGCTTTGAATGATCATGCTGGATGCTTTTGAGAGTGGCTAGGATCTCGTTCAGTGTTGCACTCTGGCTGGTTTGCTCCATGTTTCGAGTGGTAAAATAGTTCACGCCAGATTGTAGGTGTTGAGGAAGTGAGAGGAAGAGGTCTGGTCCGCTGGCAATTTGAGCTCTCAGGTAGTTGAGTTCGAACTACAGCTGGTGGCCAATAAGGACATGCCACAATGTGGAAGAACAACAAGGACTTGTGAAGAAGACAAACGAAGAATGAGAAATAGTGGCAACACAAAGAGATCACCAGACTCCATCTGATGCCGTCCTGACGACAGCTCGAGGTGAGGGCCAGGATGCGGGGAAGGCCTGGCCGCCTAGTTAGCTTGCCGGCGTGCTAGACCCAACCAAAGCTCAGTTGCTTCGAACCTCAAGGGGTTTCTCCTCGAGTTACACGCTCTCATCATCATCTAGATTAATCAAACCCAAGTCAAAATTTATGTAGCTATACATTCTAGCTTCGGATTGCTCATTTCCAAATCATAGCGTCACCGGCTGGCTATGATCCGCTCCCTCACTATGAGCTACCTACTGCTTGAAACCTACTGGCCCACAAAGGCTGTTGAACCTCTCCGCCTGAAGAGCTCGACAGTCTACTGTCTGACAATGACCTAGGATTTCGCCAAAGCGAATCTTTTGCTTTCTAGAAACCGATGTGAACTGGGCTAATGTGAGGTTGTAGACTCAAAGTCCAGTACAACAGTACTCCTAACCATCAATGAGCATGCTTGGGGCTGCAAGTCGTCAGAAAAGGGTTCAAACGGGCCAGTGCCATCCATGCAATATTTTCTGCTTGAAATGATGACGAGCAATAAACCGCTGTTGAACATATTCTGGGTCATCGGCACGGTTCCGCTGCGTCTGGAGATGAGATGCTCATCTGACATAGTTAGTTATTCCCTTGCTTGTAGCTCATTCGACCTAGCTCCTCACATTGTGAGTGTTGTTGTTCTGTAAATCAACATGCCAAGTGCAGTTTTACTCCATGTTTTATAGCGGTGAATTCAAAATTAGGCATTAATTGCCTATGTAAATGAGCAATTGCTTCCTTGTAGCAGCTTCGTTGACCATGTTGTTTGCATTTTGACAGAGAGTTGAACTTTGACTGGGTTCAACTGATGAGTGGCTGGGATTGTTGGGTGGTCATTTACGTTAACTAACTAACGAACGCCGGACTCCTTAGATTAGGTTATCTCCATACCATCTCAGCGCATTTGAGAACAACCGCGCTGTCGTTTCATCGCGACTGTTATTTGAAATCAATATTTCGCATTTCGCGATTCTGAAGCGGGAAAGCGACATATTTCCTTGAATTTTCAGATAGCTAGAAAATGGTACAGTATTGAAACCCATTTTCACAGGCAGGGAAAGGTCCTAACACCCGTTTCTATAGGGAAAACGCAAGAAGTCCAGTCGCAAGCCAGTCGGACCCAAAAAGGTTTGTCCCTCTTAACGAGTTGAGCTACAGCAGCACTCCGTCGTCGATACTAATCCTCCTGCACCAGAGAGAGCCGCTCCCCACAACGTTTTCCTGCCTCTTCTGCAACCACGAGAACTGCATCCTCATCAAACTCAACAAGAAACTGGGCCTGGGGAACTTGACGTGCAAGATATGCGGCCAGCGGTTCCAGACGGGGATCAATTGTAAGTTTCCGCAAAACCCTCAGGGGAAGAACAAAACTGGGTATTTTTTTCTGGATCGCTGAGTTTCGATGATTCTTAGATCTCTCCGCGGCTGTGGACGTATACTCGGATTGGGTCGATGCTTGTGATGCCGTTGCCAAAGAGGGTGGCAAGGACGCAGAGCGAGGAGCACCAGCGGCTGAGTCAAGCAACGCGGCTGAGCGAGACGAAGTACCATTCGTGGATGACGACGAGGACGCATATTAGGGATCTCTTATAACGGGCTATGGAGTCTCGCTTCTTTGCATTAACCGGCGTTTGGGGTTGTCTTATATGGGGAAACATGCATCAATGGCCATGTGTAATTTCGAATAAATTATTTACTTCTTCCGCCTATATCTCGGGCCGTGGCTTTTTGCAACACCCTGCTTTATCTACGCTGCCTAATATATGATGAATGAGAGGGGAAAGGTATGCCTGCCGCTTCGGGGTATAGGCGCAGTTCCGAAGCGAATTAGTGACATAATGGTAAACGTCTTCCTCCTGACATCTCCTGAGTTGAGTGGAACCAGCCCGCAATCGAGAATGTGGCTCGCAAGAATCGGGGAATATGATCGACCCTGAATAGTGAGTATTCAACTAGTGAAGCCCGTAATCGTGGAGTTTCGATTCGATTCCCCTCTCACAGCGTGTAATAGCGGTCCCCAAAATCGCCCAACCCCGGTATGATGTATCTGAGAAGAGAATCAGTACATTCCGTTCCATGTGTAGCTACCCAGAAATATCACAAATACAACACTTACTTATTTTCATCCAATCCTTGGTCAATAAACGCTGTTACAACACGCAACTGAGGAAACTTCCGAGCAAAAGATTCCACTGCGGACGGACTTGCGATGAGGTTGACGAATAGGATCCGATTTTCAGGAACACCTTTTGCTTTCAACACTTCGACCGCCATAGTCGCCGATCCGCCTAGATGGCCGTCAGTGTTGCCCAGAAAGAAAACCAAGATGGTAACTATGCGCACCGGTAGCAAACATCGGGTCGAGGAGGAGGACCCATCGATCAGCAATATCTTGCGGAAGCTTTTCATAGAAGAGCTTGGGCTGGCAGGTCTCCTCGTCCCGCTGGATCAAGATCTTGCCAATGCGCACAGATCTGCAGCAGTCACGCAGGCCTTGCTCCATGGCCTCGCCAGCACGCATGATGGACACGCCGCATATTTTTCCCTGGAACTTTACTCCAAGGTACGTCTGGCCCACGGGTGTTGTGACGCCTTGCTCGACAACGGGCAGATGGTTTAATCCTTCCTCGACCAAAAGTCGGATGATACGATTGGAGTAAAACACAAAGTCCGCGCGCGCAGTGCGTTCATCTCGGATCATACTTCAAGGGAAATCACAGTTAGCTTCAATGCCCATACTGTCAAAGCCTTGGCTCGACTCTGTACGATTGCGGGTTCCTTTGGGCATCACTTACGTCAAGAGAGCAATCAGCTGGGAGGTCTGGGGTAGAACGTGGACATTTTCACAGGAGACCTCTTGAGACACCGTTGCAATTGGCTTCTCGCCGTCAGGTTTGTATAGGGGCCCGACACCCTGGACGGGCGCGGGAATTGCTGTCTGTTCCGTGGAAGCCATAGCAGCGCCCAGCTTGCAAAGCTGTCAATAGACTCGGAACGAAAGAAAGAATCAGATTTGAGGCAGGCTAGGACAAGGATTGTGGAATGCTTGATGCTCAGAACAAAAGAACGAGCTTCGAAGGTGAAAAACCAAAATCGGTTCCTCAGTGACAGCTGGTGGATGCCGCAGAGCAACATATCCACAGCTCTCGGCGTGTGGGGTGCGCACTGGCTGGTCGTCGTGCTTGCACAGAGCGACAGAGAGCCTAATCACCAGACAACAGACAAGCAGCCAGAGGTGGCAATAGAGTTCAACTTGCAGCACTTCATTGCAGATGGCGGCAGCGATGCTGATTCGCTCTGTGATCGCACTGAAGACAAATGGAGTGGCTGTTAAGTCAGTTCACTTTGGTTACAGTGAGAAGCACATGGATGGCTTAAGCAGTAAATTGGAACTCTAGACTCCCACCACCCAGCTCGATCAAAGAGGCAGAAGCATATCTTCCTAATAATAGCCAGATACTTGTTTGGAACTAGACCCAGAGGAGCTTTGGGGCGCTGCTTTGAGCACTCACACTTGGTTATTCTTGTATTCAATTTTCATTTACTTAGTTATCTGTTCTCTATAATACATAACTATCTCAAATCCTCAGTCAGGCGTCATTGCACATCTTTAGAACTATGTATTCCCAGTCCTGCAGAGGAGGGAACCATTCTTTGTGACTGCGGGGACCCTTCCAATTCAAGCAAAGGCCTTTCTGGATACCCTGCTCGCCACGTGACTCGCCGCGCCCTAAATCGCCGATCTCGACTAGGGCTATGTATTAGCACCTTGGCAGTCGCGATCTTCGAAATGCTTCACGTTTCATCCGAGTGGGAAATGTAGATGCACAAAAGCTCAAGGAAAAGCTGGTTATTCCCGAGATATTGACTACTTAAATCCACCCAGGGCCCCCTTTGACGAGCTTGAAAATGGGGACAGGATTTTTGCCTCATTGCACGGAGATGCAGACCTGGCGAAGACCTGTTTGATGGATCTGCAGCTGCTCTTGTTCCCCTTTTGCGCGACCCATTATCCCCTAATATCATGATGGGGAGAACAGTCACAAAACAGTCCCACCCAAGCCAGGGAAAACTATTCCTCAGAAACGGCGACTTGAGCCGGACTGTCTTCCTGTTGTTATGCCAGCTTGCACAACTGAATCTAGATCTATCCTCGTTCAGCTTCCTACCGAAATACTTTACCGTACTCTTGACTTCTTGGACTTGGAAGATGTTTTTCTTTGGGGTCTTAGCTGTCGGAGGCTATGGACCCTCGTGAGACCGATAATCGAAAACATTTTGCGAGCTAATTAGATGAGCAGCACATTCAAGGCCCGTTTATCAAGATACTAGGGAATGGCGAAGTTATCCTTTATAAGACTTGCTGGTCGACATCCGATTGTTCATTGATCGAGGGAGCGGAGATGCATCGAGGGGTTTGGGCTGGCCACGCACTCGATATAGTCCCCGCGACCCACTTGAGCGGTGATACTTCATGGAAAGATATTAGTGACGAGATTGCACAAGAGATCTCAGAAATTTGGAGAGAGGTCTATGGGGAAAACTGGAAAACCGTTCTGGTCACGCAATGGCACCGCAGATAACCTATTTTCAGCCACCTCTTTGATTTTGGGATGCTGTATCTCTAAGAAGACGCGGTTCAGCATTCAGCTACAGCAAAAAATATGAGTATCAATCCATATAGCTGCTGCAGAGAGGCGAAGCCTATTGAAAAAGTGATGATGATGGCCATGTCACTAGGCAGCCGCGCAAGCAGTGGAAACTCTGGACACAGCAGTCCCAACAATGGGTACAGCTCCAGGTATCAGATCAATGAGACTTGGGAGGAGTAGCTGGCCAAAAGTACTATGTCTCTGAATCCATGTGTGAGGAGCAAGACAATTCCAGAGTACTTGGTTGCATGGAGGCCTACATGGTAACCATGGAGCAGAGCAATTTGATTCCAGGCTGTGGAATAACAGCTCTCAGGAAATGCCACATCCTAGGTTAAGAAACATGTCCTTCAAGGCTGGTTCGAATCTTATATAACTAGTAGGTGCAATCTCATCAAATAGAAGTAAGAATGTCAAAATTTTTCAAAAAATTCACTTATATTTTGCAGCTACTACAGCAGCACCACAATGGTCTACAAAGGATATTCAACCACCGGCTGCTACCAGTAACACTACTCTATAAATTGAGTACCAGAGAGAAAATGCCCCAAGCGTAACTGTGCTTTTAACGGCGTTTACATCAGCGTACCAGTTTTAACAACCAATTATTAGTTAGTTAACGGGGCCGGCCGCTCACGGGCTGGGATATGCGGCGTCTCCGAAATGCGTGAGCCTCAGGAGAGACGGGACTGAGTCGGTAGGAGGAAAAGCAGCGCATGCTCTCTAGGCACTAATCCGGAATCGACGAGTCCGAGTGTACGGGAAACTAACTACCCAGGTTAAGGCTGAGCCAGCCTGGGTCACAATCATGTACATATTGGAAAACAATCTCATCTCTTGATCTGCTGAGAGTGGATGAGCCTTCACAAGCAACAAGGGTTGGAACCTAGTTAGTCAGATAAAACATGGGCTCTTCAGCGCGTCGTGCTTGAGCCATCAACACAGCTTCACTTAATCTTCAAATCACCTGTGTGTTTAATGATCGTACCTTTTGGCCTGCTTTTTACACGCTCATAGGTGTTAATCTCCTTTTCCTCAGACCGTGCTGGGTTTTGCTTTAATTTCTCACCCGATTTCAAGGCCTCCATGGTGATCTTCCGAGTCAGTGAACCCCTCAAACCATCTGGTCATGAAGCCTGTCCTAATCATAATCACCGTCGCAGTGAGAACTCGTTTGGATACTCAGCGCCTCTTTCCTCCCCCAATGGTCACCTAGGGCCGACGCTCCGAATTCGCGTCGTGCCTCCCTTCCCGCGTTTGGGCCATCGCGACCCAGTTAGAAGCGCCCTACTTAATTCTCCCAACGTATCGCTTTCAGCCCGAACACAGTAGATCGCAAGTCAATCGTTTCTATGGAGTTTCCATCGAGCCGGAAACTGAAGACGTACGGACGCGCATCGCGGAACATTGCATATAGTCCGTTGCAAAGGCCTGCTCCGGAGCGCCATGATCGTGTTACATCGCCTGCCGTGAAAGATGCCGGGGCTGCTGGGAAGAGTAGAAATATCAATGGGATAGACGTGAAGACACCGCGCCGTTTGTTTCAGTCGGAGAAAGCGGAATCGGGGACCGTGTCGCTCGGGGCTCACACACCAGTCCGAAAAACTGACAACGATATCTACGACATTCCTGATGATGAAACGCACAATATCGGAAGTGAGCGAAAGCGAAGAAAGCTAGAGACGCCCAAATCCCGGCTGAAATCTCAGCCCATCGACCATATGGATTTGGTGACGCGACCACGACCGCCTCAATTACAAAGCGCCAAGGTACAGGAAGCACGAAAGAGCTCTCTGAAAACCGGGGCTCAAGGCGATGCAAAGAGGAATCCTCCCGTAGAAGTTGTCATTCGGACTCCCCCTTCGGCTAAAACGATACGGACCACCCAGTTTAATCGTGATCGGACGGAACAGATGAATGCAAACCCCCCTCGGAGCGAGTCGCGTAAACGGTCGATACCTACACGACCGAATAGACCTTCCCAGCGCGACTTGAACTCAATATCCCGTTCTGCCTCAAGCCATGGGCAACAACCCCCGAAGCCACTCCTCTCCCGAACTCCGTCCCAGAAACTCAAAGAAATGACTGAACATCTGACAACTGAGTCCTACTTCAGCCTTCCCCTTAAGCGCTCCCTATTTAGCGAAGAGCGCTCAACCGCGGGAACCCCAGCTACTCCGTCCCGTATGCGGTTGATAGATGCATTAAATACTCGTGATACGGAGGAATCAGACGGCTCGAGTGATTCAGACGCCATTCTTAGATCAGACCAATTCCGTTGCTCACGAACTAATTCGCGGGCTTCCTCAAACGAACCACTCACAGGCGCTCGACCAGCAGATACTTACGTCAATCCTCGTCGGCGGAAATTGGAAACCTCGAGCGAGTTACAGCAAAATAGCTCGAGAGTGACATATGCGCGTCAAAGATCATTTCTTACCCAAAACGATATGGATGCGGGTATGACGGGTTTGAATGGTATGGCATCCAAGCCCGAATCGCAAGGCGACCCCCTATTGTTCGATTTGGGTACTAGTCTATTGCCGCCGAAGATCGTTCCAAATTTACATGACGACGACGATAATGAGGCTGGCAATGGCTCTGTTAGGAGTATTTATGAGCTTCGACGTGCTGGGGGTAATGCCAGGTATCAGGCTGTGATTGAATCCATTTTCGAAGACCTAGAGGATCAATCGGCATCTACATCGAGGAAACGCAGCGGCTTCGTTCAGTTGTGTTCGAAGCTCTCGGACCCTGATTTTGCACGCCGTTTTATCAGCAATTCCCTCGAGAAAAGACTTTCTCTGTGCACCGTGCGCGGATCCGATATCATTTGCAAATATCTAGTTGTATGCATTTATGGGTTGCTCCTTGCGTCTGCATCTACTTCTCCAGTAGCTCTGCGGACTTGTTTCGCGGAAATACTGGATAGCGCTCCATCACTTCTCATTGAAGCTCGCGATATCATGGAACTATGCAAACTTCGCAGTTCTAACATGTCAAGGGCAGGCCAGTCCAGCCTACGAGACCTTTCCGTTCAGCTCCGCGAAAGCAAGCTATGGCCGGAATTAGTGCCAGGCAAGATTTCACCGCAGAACGTGGCGCTGCGCTCATTGGAGTTGGCGGTGCGCAAAGTTCGAGAGGCCGGTGACCGGACGGCGAGAATCTCCAATTCTATTCTCGAGCAAGTCGTGGAACTCGTGTTGCAACATTCTTTGGAGGGCGCCCAGGGCGACCTGTTTGTCCTTGAGATGACATTCTCCATCCTAGAATCATACACTGTTGGGCTTCCCTCACTAGATGGCGAGCAAGAGAAGATGTTGAAGCGCCTTTCAGAAATAGGCCTACTTTTATCACAACTGGTAGAAAGATCTGATGCCGGGAGCCGGCAGATCCAGATACTTCAAATCCGCCTTATCCTGAACATCACCAACAACAACCCAATCTTATGCGACGACTTTGCGACGCCGGATTTAATTGGTGCGCTTGCACGGCTTGTCTTATCCAACTATGGGACCGTCGCCGAAGATTTGGCTGGTGACAAGAAAGAATCGCTGTTGGATACGGTGATTCTTGCCCTTGGCACATTGATCAATTTGACTGAATGGAGCGGCAGATCACGGGGGCTATTTTTGCAGATGACGCATGGCTCTACAGTCTTGGTTGACAAGCTTATGGAGCTATTTGCTGGTGGACTGAAGACTGCCTCAGAGGTAAGCGGTGCAAGCTTCAGCTGGATTCCAACCCGCCATTCTGACAAAATTCACTCACTAGGCTGATTCCGTCGCCCAAACACACTCCAACGTCGCTTTTGGGTATCTATCTGTTCTGCTCAGCACGCTATGCCTTGCCGATGAAGTCCGGGCTCAGGTACGTGGACATCTGCGTGGGAACAATCTCGGCAGGCTGCTTGTCGTTGTGGAGGAATTTCTTCACTACTACCGAAAGGTCGAGGAGGAACTGAAGGATCCTGTCTTGGAAGAGGACGCCATGTCTGGATTCACAACTCGGCTACAGGGAATCGTTGACCGGATTCGTGAAGCGGAGGGGATGAGGCGATGAAAGCTGGTCATGACGCTCTTTCAAGAGAACTATGCATAGATGAGAATCATTTATTACTATTGTATCCACGAGCCTTCCAGCGTAGCAAGGATCAGAAATGTGACTGATAATGATACTCTGAGGACATGGTTGCCCGTTCCCTCAAGAGGCCAGCCGCAAGTCGCTTTGTTAACTCCGGCCCCTCGATGTAACTCCGCTGTTCTCGAATGGTCCCGGCAGCGCGATCACGGTGTCACGATGGCCACTGGCATCTCCCGGAGCCCCCCATGTGCGCTCTTCCATTGGCGCCCGCAGTCCCAACGGCAGCCTCCGACGGGCTGGAACGCAGCGTTGTCTCGCGCGGTGTTCGAGACGCGGCAGATCTGCCAACGGGGCGGAATCGAGCGATGCCAAGCCCGGGGGTCCAGACTCCACGCCGCCCGCGCTCTTCACGTGGGAGTTTGCCTTCTTTGTGTGGCCTAGTGCGGTGGGGGTCCAGCGCCGCTTATTCATCGGGCGCCTGATTGGCCTGCGGGGGCGATCGTAAGCCTTCCCACTTCTGGCGCGTCGGAAGTTGCTTTTTGCGCCTCTTTTTTCGCCCCCTCAATGTTCTGGAATTTCTTTGAGCGAAACCGCTTGCTGGGGTGTTTCTTGGAAGCTTGTTGCGCAGTGATCGACGAGCAGGAATTGGAGTCACTCCTCGTTAACGACCGACCCCAACGTCAGCTGCTGTCACCGTAGGATATAATAATAATCACAATGCCGTCGTGGACTTATTAGCCAATTTCTCGAAACGCTGGCAAACTCGTATATGCTAGCGGTTGATCCGGCCTTCAGCAAATTGCAGACAGTCTGTTTGGGTGTGATAAACCTTATTGTTTTCGGGGATCAAGCCTGTTGCCGTTCCTACATATTTTCAACTGTTGTCCCGAGATTCTCGAGTTCACCGCTTCCTCTTTGCGTCCTTTTTTCCCCCCTTATTCTCCCTTCGGACCAACGGTTGGTGCTGGAGTGTAACCCAGTTGCTTTCTTTGACGTGTTTGGCACTGTACGGTGCGTCAATTGGTGGCTTGAAGAGGTCGCTCCGTTGTCCAGAAGGGCCCTTTCGATTCGCTTCGAGCTTTCCCCGTGGAAGCATTCTGCTCATTAACAACACTTGACGAACTTCACATCCCCCCAACGTCTTCTCTTCTTTTTATTTTCTTCGCTCTGCTACCCGTCGACGTCCCTTCAAGCTTTGCGTTTTTCTCTTCTTCAGATACCCGCCAAAGCTTTTCCATTCAGTCGTTTCAGCTCTTGGTTCTCTCATATCACTTCACTCTCAATAAAATGGCGCCAGTCAGACAGAGAAAGGTTGCCATTGTAGGAAGCCGTGCTGTGGGTATGTTTATAACCGCCTCCACCATCTGGGGCTCACGCATAGTCCCGCCATTTGATGAACTCGAGATGCTGACGTTGACATCTCTGCAGGCAAATCCTCCCTCACAGTTCGTTTCGTGGAAGGGACCTTTGTCGAAAACTATTATCCCACCATAGAGAATACCTTCAATCGACTTATCACTTACAAAGGTCAAGATTACTCTACCGATATCGTCGATACAGCTGGCCAGGACGAATATAGTCTTTTAAACTCAAAGCACTTCATTGGGATCCATGGCTACATGATCGTCTATTCGGTTGCATCTAGACAGTCTTTTGAGATGGTTAGAGTCATCCGCGACAAGATTCTAAATCATCTGGTGAGATATACCTTCATCCAACAATCTCTTTTGTTTTTGTTTGTGATCCAATGCTCCATAGAAGAACTCTGCTAATTGGGTTGTTTGATTTCAGGGTGCTGATTGGGTTCCTCTTGTCTTGGTCGGAAACAAATGTGACTTGCAGCCAGAGATGCGCCAAGTCAGTGTTGAAGAAGGGAAGAAGGCCGCAGAAGAGTTCAATTGTGCTTGGACTGAAGCCAGTGCACGCAATGATTTGAACGTCGCAAGCTCATTTGAGTTGATCATTGCTGAGATTGAAAAATCTCAGAACCCCAACCAGCCAACCGGCGGCAACAAGTGTGTTCTCATGTAAAGCAGCAGCTTCAAGAAAAGGATGGGGCGATGTTCCGCGCGGCACGCAGGAAGGCGTTACCTCCCGAAGAAAAAGCCTCACAACTGTGCGTGATGATGCGTAACTCGGCATATTTGTGCGCTTTGCAATCCTACACAACAAACTGCGGCAAGTATGGGCATCAGCATGGTTCGCGGCCGGTGCCATTCACCCAACCCTTGGAGCTTGTGGCTTGACTCTCTTCTCTTCCCTTATGTTTCTTCCTCCACCTTTTTTTCCCCTTTCGGGCGGCTTTTTATGATTCTTTAATGATAGCATGCTTCTACCTTCCTGGCACTTGGGCAACATGATAGACCAGCGTTAGAGCGGCACAGGGCTGTGTGGCATGGGTTTTCTTTTGACTCTGCATATTCTGCTTTTGTATTTTTTCAGATGAGCCTTTCCTACTAATCAGGGGTTGGGGTGATGAGGATGGTCATTCTGTTATTTGGGGATGTTTTGATGACGTGCAATGAATTAGCCAGCATACATACATTAATTATTAATAATGCTATTATCTTTGTTTCTTTCTTTGCTGATGATGGGCTGTCAAGTCCCAAGCTGCATATGCAGCCTGTTGACAACAGGGGCGTTTGCATTAACCACACGCACTGATAAACAATTGCAACGCCCAATCTGCCCTCACCCCCTCTAGTTTGCATCCAAGACAAACATGTTTGCATTGGAGAAATCGTTACTCCTCCACAGTCGAGGAGCACCCTGGATGCTATCGCTCAAGCAGAACATCTTCCTTCTTCTCCGCGTGGCTCGGGTACTCGTTCACTCCACATCCATCTAGTTTGGGTTCATTTCTCCAAGCCACCATGCTTGATATCGCAGATCTAGTCGCCGACCGCGGCGGTAATCCGAAGAGAGTCAAGGAGAGTCAACGCCGACGATTTGCTTCAGAGGATCTGGTCGATGAGGTGATTGGTTTATACGAAGATGCTCGTCGCAGTATGTTCTCAAATAGCGGTCCAATATGTTGTCTTTTCCTCCGTCTAATACGTGACGATAGCACGTTACGATGCTTCACAAATCGGCTCAAAAATCAACATCCTCCAAAAGGAGATTGGAATGAAGAAAAAGGTTCGTGCACTGCGAGTGAATATGCCACAGTCTCTATGACTGAGTTCATGTCAATCGAAAGCTAACGGGGTGTTCTTTAGAACAAAGAAGATGCCTCCGAGCTATTAGCGCAAAAGTTGAAGTTGGAGCAGGACAAGAAGGCGCAGGAGGATTTGGCCCTTGAGAAAGAGAAGCTCAGGGATCGAAAGTTGAAAACAATTGGCAACTACGTTCACGATTCGGTTCCAATTAGCAACAATGAGGTTAGTAGCGTCATGCAAGCGCTCTGTTTCTGTTGAGTTGAAAAGGCTGACCGGGATCAAATAGGACGATAATGCTATTATCAAAACATGGGCACCAGAAGGAACAAAGGTCGAAAAGCGGGATTGTTTGTCACATCATGAAGTTCTTACTCGACTAGATGGCTACGACCCGGAGCGAGGTGTCAAAATCGTTGGTCACCGGGGATTCTGTCTGACAGGCTACGGTCTTTTCCTCAATCTTGCTCTCGTCAACTACGGCCTAGAGTTTTTATTTCAGAAGGGATACAAACCGAACCAGCCGCCGTTCTTTATGCTTCGGGAATATATGGCGAAAACGGCACAGCTGGAGCAGTTCGATGAAGAGCTCTATAAAGTCACGGAAAGTGAGGATAAAAGCACAGATAAGTACCTGATCGCCACTTCAGAGCAACCGTTGTCTGCTTTGCACGATGGAGAATGGCTACAGGATAAGGACCTTCCTATTAAGTATGGTTTTCTTGCATTTCCGCACTCTCCAACTTGCTTGGCTGGTTATAGATCCGGTTTTCTATTATAGTTGCTTACCAAGTTATAGATATGCTGGGTACAGTACGTGCTTCCGAAAGGAGGCTGGCTCTCACGGAAAAGATGCCTGGGGCATTTTTCGTGTTCATCAATTCGAAAAGGTAAGTATATCAATCGAAATCGTATAATATAAATACCAACTTTAACTTTGCTTAATAGATAGAGCAATTTGTTTTAACGAAACCCGAAGACTCTTGGAAAGCATTCGACGATATGATTGCAACCTCAGAAGAATTCTACCAATCTCTTGGTCTCCCTTATCAGATCATCTCAATCGTTTCTGGCGCTTTAAACAATGCAGCATCCAAAAAGTGGGATTTAGAAGCCTGGTTTCCGTTCCAGGGCGAATATAAGGAACTTGTATCCTGTTCAAATTGCACTGACTACCAATCACGAGAATTGGATATTCGCTACGGCCCGAAAAAGACTACGGACACTAAAAAGGCATATGTTCACGCCCTCAATGCTACACTGTGTGCCACAGAAAGAGCGTTGTGCTGTGTCCTTGAGAACTACCAACAGGAAGATGTAAGCAAAATGAACTAGTCGAAGCTTCCATAGGCTGACGGTCTTGAAACCACAGGGAATTATCGTGCCAGAAGTCCTTCGCAAGTACATTCCCGGCCAACCCGAATTTCTCCCGTACACGAAGGAACTTCCTAAAGATACCACCTCCCAAAAGGCCAAATCCAAGGTCAAACCTAAAGCCGACAAGCAAGAGGTGGTAAAGACCATGGAAAACCTCAAGGTTTGAATTGAGAACCACGTTGACTTTAAGATTCTTTTTAAATTCTCCCGTTCTACTTTGAAAACAGTATCTCAGCCCCCCCAATTCCTGGATCTTTCTTTCTATGATATACCAGGAGTTATTTGCGGAAGTAGATCCATATATAAGAGTGTAGTACTGTAGAATTGCCGTAGATTCCATAAAAAACGGATATCCATCTTGAGGACTGACTCATAATATCATTTTCCGTGGTGCGTGTGTGCAAGGCCAAATGATGCAATTATCTAGTCTCCGAAAAGCTACGGGCCCAACACCAGTCAAATCACTCATTGTTCTGCAGGATCAAAAATAACTGCAGAGTCATAGCCCATGCATATGCGCCATAACCCACTGTTATAAATCTTCTTCTTACTTGTTCTTCTCTCTCTTTTCCTCCTCCCATGTACCCTTATCGTCGTGAGAGCGGCAGCATGGCGACCGCCGCAAGAGACATCTCCAACCCCAACGACCTTGCCCGTCAAGTCTCCCGCAGCATGAGCTTTTCCACACCCTCCAACGCTCCCCTTCAGTCTCCACCGTCGAGCTTCGGAGCTAGTGGCACGACGTTTGCTAGCCGTGTCCCAGCGCCGTTTCCATTGAAACAATTGAAGCCCTTTGCGACGCAGGACATCAAAATCTTGTTGTTGGAGAATGTAAACCAGACGGGCAGGGATATCCTCAAGGAGCAGGGGTATCAGGTGGAGTTCTACAAGTCTTCCTTGCCGGAAGATGAATTGATTGAGAAGATCAGGTTCGTGCTCTGGGGGAGAGATTTTTTGGGGCTATTAAGCATTCCTTTTACCTCCATGATTTTCGTGATGGAGAAGATTTTTTTTTCTCTCTTGCTTTGGAACTTGGATAACTAGAGCTGACTCACTCCTGTCAACTTCTATAGAGAGGTGCATGTTATTGGCATACGATCCAAGACAAAGCTCACTGCCAGGGTGCTCCGAGAGGCAAAGAATCTCATCGTCATTGGATGCTTCTGTATCGGCACGAACCAAGTCGACCTCCAATACGCCGCTGACCATGGCATTGCCGTGTTCAATTCCCCTTTCAGCAACTCACGTAGTGTCGCGGAATTGGTGATTGCGGAGATTATTTCCCTCGCTCGCCAGCTATGTGACCGCTCCATGGAACTTCACAATGGAATGTGGCAAAAAGTGAGCAATAGATGTTGGGAGGTTCGAGGGAAGACGCTTGGTTAGTAAATGATGCCTACGCTGCTGTATCTCAAAAATTTATTCTAATGCTCGTACGCTTCAGGTATAATTGGATATGGCCACATTGGATCTCAGCTATCAGTCCTCGCCGAAGCGATGGGTATGTCAGTCATTTATTACGACGTCGTCAATCTCATGGCCATGGGAACTGCTCGTCAAGTCGCAACACTGGAAGATCTTCTCAAAGGCGCAGATTTCGTCACCTTGCACGTCCCTGAGCTCCCTGAAACCAAGAACATGATCAGCACGGCTCAATTCGAGCACATGAAAGATGGGAGCTATCTCATCAACGCTAGTCGTGGCAGCGTCGTGGATATTCCCGCCCTTATCCAAGCAATGCGTTCTGGTAAGGTTGCTGGTGCGGCCCTTGATGTGTATCCTAGTGAACCAGCTGGCAACGGAGATTACTTCAATAAGCAGCTGAATAACTGGGCGGAGGACCTAAGATCATTGAAGAACCTTATACTTACCCCACATATTGGTGGAAGCACTGAAGAAGCCCAAAGTGCCATCGGCATCGAAGTCGGGCATGCCTTGGTACGCTATGTGAATGAAGGGACAACTTTGGGCGCTGTCAACTTGCCAGAGGTCGCTCTGCGCTCGTTGACTATGGACGAACCAAACCATGCTCGAGTAAGCTGCACTTCGAACAAAATCATTGCTTGAGCGTTATGCTTATACCCAATTCTAGGTCATTTTCATCCATCGCAACGTACCCGGCGTTTTGAGAAAAGGTAATCTTGTCCCCATATTGGCAGAAAATGTGGCCATTGCTAATCCAAATTACTAGTCAACGAGATCCTCGGAAACCACAACGTTGACAAACAGATGACCGATAGTCGCGGCGATGTATGTACTATTGACTACGTACATTACTTTTTGGAATGTTAATGAAACTAACCACGATGTTGATTAAGGTCGCCTACCTAATGGCTGATATTAGCGACGTCGATTCATCAGAGATCAAAGATCTATACGAACAATTAGAGACCTTATCCTGTACGTGATATAGGCTGCCTTATTACTGCTGTTTTCTCGCGATCAAAGTCACTAACATTATTGCCCATTAGCTCGAATATTGACGCGTGTCTTATTTTAACGATTATGCCGGAGGAAAAATAGCTACCTTTTCAACAGGTACACACATGGACGGTCAGGTTAAAAAATATTTGCTTATTGGCGTTCTTTCAACACTACTGGGATAGAGACGCGGTCAGGTATAATGACTCTATGGATATGCACTTTTAACTCACATATATGGCTTCGAAAGCGGTTTCTTTCGTTAATGAACTTGATTGTCTTTCTTACATGCAACTAAAATACATGGTCGAACATGGTCGGCTGCTACTTATGGCCGCACGACGTAGAAAAGTCAATCGCCAAACTAGGGCCACATCCGTTCCTATGAGTGCTCGAGAAACATTTTAGACAAATCATAACCCTTGGAATCTTTGGATATCTCTATGCGCCACCTAAATGCAAGACAAGTCATGGTCATATCCAGCCTTAGCTCTCCAACGCGAAAATGCATCAAACGAAATATAAAACAAGGCGGAAAAGGAAACAAAAAGGCGCGTAAATGGAACGGAAATCGATTCTATAAAGATTTAGCGTCTGTAAATGTTATGCGTATCGCTGTCTCCCGTGCGGCTCCGGGGCCTATCGGGGCTCCTGCTTCGGCTAGGGCGATAAAACCGATCTCCACGAGAGTCTGGACGTGGCCGGCTATCGAGGTTGTCTCTTCGCGGGATAGCGTTAGAATCTTCGCCATACTTGGGGACGTAGGAGTCGCAACCGCGCGGATCTCGACGCTCAGCACCACGCCAGGCCGCGGTATTCGATCTCCCCTGAGGTAGTTGACCCTGTGGTCTCCCAGCATCACGTGCTCGGGAGGGTAGCTCGTCTGACGCTTGTCTCTTATGGCCACGGGTTGAATCTGGAAATGCTCCTCGAGGGACACCATTGCGTGCAGCACTTGGTATTCTGCTACTTGGCTTTGTGTCAAGTGGAGCCCTTACCCCTGAACCGGAGGTCCATTCACCGTTGGCACCCATTCCCACGGAGCCACCTGCAGGAGCTGGTGGCATGGCCTTTTGCCCACGAAACTTCCTTCTATCAAGTTCATGTGAATCTTCGAATTGAGGTAAGTCGCCAGGGCGGGCAGGATGAGGTGGGTTAAGAAAATAAGGGTGTTTTAGTGCATCGAACGCATTGATTCGCTTGCGCCAGTCAAGTTTTAGGAGTTCAGAGAGCAATGATATCACCCCGGGCCCTTGCCTATTCAAAATTAATACGGGGAACAAAAAATCACTTACGGTGGATACTCACTCTCTGAAAACGGTCGAGAGATTGCCTTGTTTAGAACCCCAGCTCTTCACGCCATTGCAGCCGGGGAGAGCGCTCCAGCCTGGCATATTTTCCTCTGTGGGGGAGCCGACCAGGCTGAATATTAACTGTGCTTGATTCAAATCACTGCTTCCGGCAAGAATAGGCTTTCCTTTAAACATCTCACCGAAGACGCATCTCCATGCCGTTAGTGAGTAATGAAGATTAAAGTCACATGGGGGATCTTACCCTGCGCCCCACATATCGATGGCCGTCGTATACCGTCGGAGTTGAAGTAATAACTCGGGAGGGCGATACCATCTGGTGACAACAAGAGAAGTATAATCTCGCACAGCTTCTCCTCCGCCTTTTCCGGGTGTAGGGGGAGGACCATCATATGGCCTTGCGAGACCAAAATCCGCAATTTGAAGGATTCCTTTGTTACTTATCAGAAGGTTGGCCGCTTATATAGCAGTTAGTACTATAGCCATGGATCAACCACTGGAGTAGCTGCCTAACCTTTCATATCGCGGTGAAGGATATTACTCTAGACGATCGTTAGCGCCGCAGTTTCAAGGCTTTCTACTTATTACTTGTCATACTTGATGAAGATATCGTAACCCCTCCAGAAGCTGTAGCATATAGCATTTAATCTGCGGCTCGGTAAGGTGTACGTTGGGATTCTCCAAAAGGCCAGCCAAGTCATGTTCCATGTACGGAGTCACCATGTACATTGATGGCTTTTTCCGACCTTCACCTGCAAGTGGCTTAGATTCAGGGCTTATGCTCGCAAACATGAGCTTCACCACAAACCTCTACTCCGCTCTACCGCCATTTCCTCCAACTGTATTATATTGGTGTGCGATAGCACTTTGAGAAGCTTTATTTCGCGTAAAGCGGTGATGGGAAACTAACAGCCAGGCTTCTGTTAGATATGAGTCCGCAAGGAAAATAGCCATATCCTTAGCTTACCCCATCCTTTTCATTGTGCAATAATATTTTCTTCAGTGCAACGATGGATCCGGATTGTTTCGAGCGAGCCTTGTACACCTCGCTGCGTCGAAACGATTGAGATTAGTTACTGCAGCGATTCGCAATAGATGAGGTTGGCATACCCAAATGTTCCCTCTCCTAGCTTCCCTAGAAAATCATATTCACGAATCGATGAACAGCCTTTGAAACGCGGCCGCCCTTCATCGTCACGCTCTAACGGGATTTTCGACTCGGGCGACGGCACGGACGAAGCCATCTGGATAGTATAAGTTTAAGTGACCGAAAACATGCGGTATCTTGAGAACTCCGGAAGAAATGAATGCGTCGCACTCCACGGGGTTGGGCGGGTGGCACTTCGGAATGGCGGGCTCTCCAGGTGACGATCGCGGCTCATCCAGATGGATTCCCACAGGCAGCAAGCTAGCTGTGACTATTTGGCAAAACTTGCTTGCGCAAAACTTATTCCCATAAGAGCAACGGCCTAACGGCGGTAAACCTCGTAACAGAACGTAGCGGAGTGATCGGTGTTGAAATCAAGAGAGGCCGGTGCCAGACAAGAGAGCTCGCGAACCCCAACTAGCAAGTCAGCAAACAATCGGCGAAATGGCCTGCGTGCTATTTATAGGCCTCAATAGAAAACAAATGCTTTAGAAGGTTGAAATGTAGTTGCTGGAAGACGAGCTTCAGCCGATGAAGCTCATCCATGCCCGTCCAACTACACGCTGAGTCAGCCCGGCGAAACCTTCATCCCCTCCGCCGCCTTTGACCAGGCGTGAATTCGACATCACCGCTGTCTCGCTGACTCGAACAGATCAGATTGCCATCTTGGGCCCCGGTCATATCAATTGAGGTTTGTGCTGTGAGCTTTTTATCGCCTGAGTACTACGCCGTGCTAACTATGTCTTTGGCGCCAGGAATCCTCTGCGGACCCGAGCCGATTCACCGAGCACAATGGCCGGTAAACACCCAATCCAGGTGCCGCCAGCCAGGCCACTATACAAGTTCGCTGCAACTGCCCTTGGTGCTAGCATGTGGTTTTTCGTATGTTCAATCGCATCCTTTTTAGCATAGAAACCGGCGCTGGGACGTTTCCCCCGAATCCTACCACCCCATCTAACCATGGCCATAGCTGTTTTATCGCGCGAAAAAAGACGGCCCTGCCCTTCTGGGGTGGAAGCACCCATGGGACCACTGAAAACGCCTTGTTGAACCTAATAGAAAGTCGTCTTTTTCGATTGGTTGTGGAACTCCGCCAAATATGCATATACTGAGAGGGGAAAGGAGCTCGGCAAGAAGTTTTATTCTGCTATTACCTCTCAACGTCGTTTAACTCGGTCCGGTGCGAGCATGGGAAATCTGAACCTGTGCGTTGCTTTGTTAGCCGATCTTGTGTATCAATACGATTTATACAATCGAGCTTTACTTTTTTGCGAATATCACGAAAGTTTTATATTGCGGCTTCATTTTTGCTTTTGTTGTTCGATGAACTGGTAAAAGTAATCCTTTCAGACTGGGAGAAGCTCTGGTCTTGTCCCCCTGCACTTAAATGAAATCACAGGGAAACTTGCTATTTTTCTTTCCTTTAGCCAACATTGAATGCTTGGGAGTTGCATGCATGACACTGTGTCCCAACGTAAACGAACATTAGGGAGACATGATACAAAATGTTACAAAATCATCCAGAGATGCTCAAGTCTAGTCAACTAGGTCATCTGCTCCTCCAACAACACCTTGTATCGTCGTCGCTGCTTTCTTTTTCCGGGACGGCACACTCGGTATATACGGCCGATCAGCCGAGAGAATTCCGGGAAAAGGTGTCGCTCCGAAATATAGGCAAGTCCAAATCCTCCAATTGCCAGCGCTACAAGCCAATTCTTGAATGAAGTCGACATGTAGGTGAGTTGCATCAAACGAAAGAGCCAGTCGGCAGGTTGAAAAAGCATGTAAGACGACACTAGAAGAGTTACAATTATGGTGACAACAAACGGAACTGCAAGGAAATTAGCTATGAAGGAACACACCAAACGCGTTAGTTCAAACCTACCATTTGAGGTCATTGGTTGTCGGAAGGGCCGCCCAACGCTTAATACGAGCCCTGAGAATATGTACTGGTAGCAAGAAACCAAGAATAGCGCGGTGTTCTGCGAATTTTCTATGCTGGTATCCTTTAAATTGAGCTTGGGTGGTTTATACCTATATCAAAAGTCAGTCTTGCTGGTAATAAACTATGTTTTTGAAGGCTGTACCATTCTTGGCCCTGAACAGTTTCGAAAGCCGTAAGCTGGACAAGGATACATATCACGATTTGACCCAAAAGCGGCGTCAAAACCTTCCGAGAAACAAGATTCGCAGTAGGGCGTTTTCGACAAAGTTTCGAGTAAGGTCCAATCCATCCCACTAGTCGAGAACGATTAGGATTGCTCTCGTGGAAAATAAATAGAAAAACTCACTAAAAATTGCGATGGGTAAAATAAGAGCAAGGTCGATATAAAGAAACTGTAAGCGTTAGCAAGTCCCTATCATACTGGTTTGTTATTCGGTCCCTTACCTGAAAGTCGCCGAGATTCGAAGCAGATGCGTATAGAAAGCTTACTGAGGTAAACTGAATGGCAGAATAAAGACTCATAAACTTGAAACAACAGAAGCTGGTGACAAGTGCGGCTCTTCCTTCTCTAGACCAACCAATAAGCATCAAATATAATCTGAACTGGCAGGCACATACCTTATAAGTTTTGGGACACACGATATATCGAAAATCCTGCTGGTGAACGGCGCAGCTACGGAAGCCTCAGCCTCTGACAGTGAAATACCGACATCCGCTGCTTTTAAGGCCCCGCAATCGTTGGCACCATCTCCGCAGAATCCGCAAACATAATCAAGGGACTGTAGCTTTTCGACGAGCTCATGCTTCTCATCCGGTGACATGCGCGCAAAAACTTGCCCGTAAACCAACATCTACGGTATCTTAGCAATTGTTTCAAATAATTAAGGTCAATTTACCTTATCCAACACCTCTTTGGAGCCATAGTCCACCACCCACCGGAACACGTCTCCAGTTACCGCAATAGAGTACTTCATCTTATTATAATTATGATATGGAATTGAAAGGTCAGGCGTGGTAGGGCGCGGAAGTGGCTGGCCACCGTTAGATTTGAGGTGGAAATATTCCAGAGGAGACTTACTGTGAGAGTATACTCGTCAAGCTGGTAATCCGGATTGTCTGTACTTTCCCAGCGTAGACGAGATCTTGGATCATACGCATTTCCTAGGCAGATATTAAGCAACAGATCGCGACGAAGAGACAATTTACATACCTTCAGCGAAGTACGGGACAAAACACTGGGCGGCTTGACCTATGAACTCAGATTCGCGAGCGACACTTATCGCAGTAAGGATATTATCACCTGTACACATGACATTTCGGATTCCAGCAGTGGACAATTCTTTTATAACACCAGCGGTGCTCGGTTTGAGCTTATTTTCGAACACAATAAAGCCAATGAAAGTCAGGTCGGATTCAGCCTCTGACCGGGTGATTTTCAGAACGCCATTGCCACTGAGATTGGGAATATGCTTCGTTGCGCAGGCAATTACTCGATACCCACGATGAGTATAAAAATTCAAAAGCTCGGTAAAATCGGGAGGTACTAATACAACAGTGAGTAACATGGTAAATCTACTATTTTGGAGCACTGACAAGATTTTAGGACACAGATATCTTTCAAGGATTCTGGTGCCCCTTTCACGAACACGGTAACCCCTGTATTGCTAGGTTCCCGCACTACGACACTGGACCGCCGAAGTTGCGAAACGAACTCGAAGGTTCGTATGACGGCCAGTTCGGTTGGGAGGTGCTGGGGAAAAATTCATTATTAGTTACGTTAAAAGGTGCAATTGACATGGGCAACGTACAGTTCCCTCCTCGGGGTCACCAGGCGTCAAAGTTGGAGGTGCGCGTGCTATGGACGGAGAATAAGTTTCGAGTTCGTCAGCATCCGAAAAATTGTGATTCCCTTCTTCATATGACCAATTTGTGAATTCAAACATTTTCACGTCAAGCGGGTCCCCTATTAGTTCGCCATCGACGATTTTCAAAGAGTGGCAGGTTGCCATCGTGTAAAGAATGGCAGCGTTGGAATGATAATCAATGGTCGGGTCTCTCTCGTACAATGGATACGGAAGGATTGCGTGAGAGTCTGCCAGTAAGTCACTGAATCTATGATGCGCCAGTATCGTCAGCACAGATATAGCACTAGACAAGATCCGAACTCTGACCTGAAATCTTGATTAACGAGCCTGACACCTAGAACGTCAAGACCGTCTTCAGTAAGGGTCCCTGTCTTGTCGAAGCAGACAACGTCAAGCTTCCCAGCAACGTTGACTCTACTGAATGTTAATGGTTGGACTTGAGATGCATACAAAGTCTCTCACCTCTGGGGACTAATACAAAAGATCTGCTGTTTCTTTAGCCTCGAAAGAGCAAAATTCGTTCCAATCGTCAGTGTCGCAGGGAGAGCTGGCGGCACCACAATAGTGATGAGATCCAAAGCTCGGACGATAATAGTATGCCACGCGATCTTTCAAGCATCAGTCATAATGAACGATTCAGGACTACTGTTCAACTTACCCCTAGGCGAATGAAATTCACAAACGACGCTATGAAACCCAACCCAGCCACCATTCCCATAACTGAGATGTACCGGAACGAATCTCTATAAAATTTGAAACCAGATGGCTTGGGAAATAGCATCGACCGGACTAGAGCGCCTTTGGTTGTATTGAAACCAGTCCTTACCACCATAGCCAGTGCGGCAGCTTCGTCGACTTCTAAGTCCTGGGGCCTTCTCGCGCGTATTATTCTAGTACCACAAAATAGAAAATGGCGGGCAACGGAAGGCGGGATAGATGGCGCATCCAGGTTTAAAGACGCAAGCGAATCATTTGTAGCGGGTAGTTTGGAAACCGGAACAGATTCTCCTATTCTGGTTCAGACAATTTCGCGAATAAAGCAAATAGAAAACCTACCGGTAAGCATGCTCTCATTAACAATACAGTCTCCTGACAGTAATAGGCTATCGCAAGGTACCTGTGTTAGCGAGGGGTCGGAGATTTCATACACATCCCCAGGAACCAATTCAGTTGAAGGAATTGGTCTCCCTAAGTAACATACGTTAGCAAGGATACTTGAACGAGGAGTTACTGTAGTTAATCAAGACGGCGCCAGTGGAAGCTCACAAAACCCGCTTCTTAAAACTCTTACATCGCATTCAAAAAGCGATATTTCCCGCAAACGGTCCATTGTCTTGAAGAACTTAGCATCTTTCCTCAGAGATCAGGTTGAATTCGCTACATACTGATTTCGTTTCAATCGTCGTAGCCGCAATGCTGAAGACTGAAATGAGAAAGATACACGCCGCATAGTAATAGTATTCATCCATCGACCAAAGCAGTAAACTTGCAACTTGAAATATATAAAAAGGATGGAAAGCCTGCATCCTTTTCAGCAACGTTAACTTGAAGCACCGGAAAATGTACTTACTTCGTCAATCATAATCTGGGGGATAGACTTTTGTTTGATATCAATGATATTTTGGCCAAATACTTGCTCTCGACTATCTCTTTCATCTGCATCTAATCCTTCTCTTACAGACTTAATATTAATCCAATTTGGATCTTTCCAATCGCCGGTGTGCATGAATTTATCTTCCAGGGGTTGGTAGCAGAAGCGGATATAACGGTAGTCCACGAAGCGGAGATAGGGCAATACCGGATCATTATCTTCGTCAAAGTTGGGAGCCTCGATCTCTTTACAGGAAGCTCCAAATACCGTGGACAATGGGCGGTCATATCTTACGTCTGCGACAGCTTCGACGGTAAATTGGCCCCATTGGTTCTATGAGTAAAACGTGAGTTTTGGCCAAATACTTAACTTGGAGCAGCTGCCCACCTCGATTGCGACCCACTGGCACCGATGCAGAGGTTCAGGGTATCCAACCAGCTTAATGCGCCATCGAGGAAGCCATCTGAACACCAGATAGCCTAAGCCACCTGTTAAGACGCATATGATGACATAAATCGTGAAGCCTGTTATACTTGTAGAGAACCCAGCAATTACGGCAGTCAAATCCTCAGTGACAATGTAAACCTTCTGGCTAACAGTCTCTCCCGAGGGTGGCTCTGTATAGTCGCTTCGACGAGAAGTTTCTCGTCGCAAGAGCGGGTGTTCTACTGAGCTTCTTGAGCGTGAGCCGTCCAGAAGGCTTAAAGGGCTTCTTGGCATATCCATGTCAATATCCTGGTCTCCGAAGAAACCATCTTCTAGCTCACTTTCATCTACTATGGCCTCCTCATCGATCCAATCGGGGGTTTCCGTGCTCTCCTGAAAATACGTGAAGCTAACGGTTGAGTCGCGACGTGAACGACGGCGAACGAAGGAAGCTATGCTGGAAGGAACGCTTTCGGACACAGGGCCAGCATAAACCTGCGTGAGTTGGTTAGCCCTCGAAGGTTCCCTCGCCCTCTCTCTTGCACCATGCAATGGATCTTGCCTCGTCTTGGGCCATTTCAACGTCCGATACTATACTCATGCTTCTGGAAAAAGGTTAGACCAGGGATCAAAGACCTCGTAAATTTCGTACTTAGCTACCTGCTTCTGGTCGAGCCAACCCGACGTATAGGCGCATGATGGTAAGCTTCATCATGGTCTTCCGCTAAGGAGTAATCGTCTGGCTCATCCATTGTTCGAGCTTACAACGGATCTGTTTTGGTTTCTGAATAAATAAATGTAAAGCGCAAAAAGCGCTATCTAAATGCGGATTCCATTCCACTAGAAAACGGCTTTGAATATGAGGTTGACTGAAGACGCGATGTGTCGTCACGAGCACCGTGTTCCATGAACGGCACAAGGAATCGATAAGCTTCCCAGACAGGAATCCGACTCTTGGCACTATGTTATCTTATCAGCACGTGACCGCATCTAGCTTCATCTTATCTTATCATGCATCTATATATCACAGAGCACGGAGTGAATATGAATAGGTAATAAGGCCTGTAGGAAGTATTCATTATGCCGGAGGCGAATAGAGCTTATAAAGGGTCCGATAACTGTGTAACTAGTGAAATATAAAAATAGCGATAAAGATTGGCCAAGAACTTGGTGCTTGCTTATCCCCATATCTGCAATTCCCCTCATATGAAATTCGCAAAAGCAATGGAAAGAAAAAAGAGCGTAGAAATAAAATAACCTGCAACGCTGAGCCTTGTTGTTAAAAAATAATGGCGGTTCCATCACGCTTGAATGATCCGGTTGCGCAACCCAAAATAGTTATTGCGACATCCCTAAATTAGATTGGACAGGTCTCCTTTAATTCAACTTCTGAGCAAAGCTCTGGAGAAATTCCATGAGGATTATCACACAGCGTATTACATTGAGTATTTTCGGGGACGAAAACGAGATGCCGGTAGTTATCCCATGGCAGGCGGAAATGCTTTGTGGTATCGCTCCCTGCAGCATTCGCCTTGAAGCCGGCTCGGCAAGCGCAATGAAATTTCCCTCCTGTGGAGATACAAGATGTGCTAATATCACACTTGTTGAGGCCAGCAACTGGATTGCACACCCCACATTCCACGTTTTCCTTCGGCGGACAAAAGTTGATACCCTTCCAAGGAGCGCATTCCGTGCTATAAATATCACAAAGAGCATCGTAATCTCCCTGTGTCGGGGTAGTCGAGGGGCTGATAATACATCCTGGCTTGCTTCTCAGAACACTGCTCGCACTATAATGCATCACGCTTTTGCAGTCATAATCCCCATATTTATTGAATCGACTGCTTGGGGCGATGTCATAGTTATGCCAATCGCCACAGCATCTGTCTGTGCTTCCAGTGCAACAAGCAGGATAAGACGGATCCGGACAGCCATCGATCGTCCACGGTGAATAGCTCGCGCAGTCTATAGTGATATGTTCTTCCCTATCAGGTCTCTGATGCTCATGCATCAACCCCAGAGCGTGGCCGAATTCATGAATAGCGGTGCTGAGATCCTGCCCGCAACTTCGTCCACCCGACCCACTCAACCACTGTAGGTTCATCCGCCTACCCTTTTTACCCCAAGCCCATGCAACGACTGACCAGCACCAATATGATTCCGGATCGTGTTTGGTGATGGTCAAGATGCCCTCGCTTTCGGGATCGTGCGCGCTCGGCGGCATTTCTTTGAAAATAAGATATGGGGCGCCTTTGAGCCACTCTTTTATTGCTGTATCAACAACACCCTGTAGTAATTCTCTCGTCTCGCACGAATCATATTTATATACGAGAGTTGCAGTGGGCCATGCGCGGGAAGGTCTCACTCCAAGACCTCTGCGAACAGGTTGCGGATCTGTTCGGTTATTAACCCAGTCAAGGAGAAGAGACTCTGGGCCAAAGCTCAGATCGTCATTGAATAGCACATCTCGAGCAGCTGATAGAGTGTACGTAATGCGCTCACGAATCCCCGTGTGTGGGTCGACAAAGGACACGGTAGTGTAGTTGGCAGTCCGTGGTCGACGGGTGTCGGTGAGGAATGGGTGGCCTTTAGGGTATTGAACATCTGCAAGGGCGCAGGAGAGAATAACGGCAAGGATAATTGCAGACAGCATAATGCCCATATCACTGCCCTCTGAAAGGATTATGCACGATAAAGGAGCTGTGGCTAAATGCGAAAAGCGATAATGAATGAGTGAAGACCCATCCTTTTATAGACCATCGTCTCCCCTACCGATGGATTGCGACTCAGGCCATTCAGTCTAGGCAGAAGACGCGACTTTGTCCAGAGGCTGAGTCCCATGATGCGCCTTCCAGCTTTCATCAGCAGCTTCGTAGATGCCTATCAGCCCTTTTCGGTTGCGAAAATATTAATGTGCTTCACATATCAAATAATTGGACAATGTAATAAGGTTGAAGTATGAGCTCAATCCTCCCGATTTGCCCTCCAGTAGGGGAGAGCGCTAAGGCTAGCAGGGCTAGCCCGCCAAGCCAGCGGGAAATGGCCTGCAACTCCCCTGCAATTCCAATTGAGTGGTTCGACCGGTCATACTTTGGACGCCTAGCAAGCATATGCAGTTGAAATAGAATTCAGAGCACTGGCATCAGGCTGAAGAGACCGCACCTGTTCTGTTTATTTTTAGCGACGCATTATAGATCACATTCCAAAATCATTGCCATTGGCCCAGGCTACACCGATTGTGGTTGCCCATATGGTCCCCCGATGACTCAACCATGCCCTTATCTTGACAACTCATTAGGTTACCAGAGGGAATGTGGTAGCTTTCGCGTACCACAGCAAAACGCATATAGGTTCCCTTCCGCTCTAATGGTTAGAGCAACAATATGAGAAGCCTGTCAGTATTAGCTTGGTCGAGGGTATACTAGCTCAATGTTTGTGGCTTTAGGCAGGGTTCAAGTGCCATAGTCAATCAAACAAAATATGCAGCCCAGGAGAAGCACAAGAGAAATGCCACCGTGCATGTGGCTTCGGTTCAAAGCCTTGTATTTTGATACACAAATGAGCCGTAGGGAAGTATCAGCATTCATCGAGAATCCATAGATGCACCAAGAGAAACCCGGGCATTCGATTAAAAGGTCCCTTTCCAACGTAGAGACCGTGAACCTTGTCTTATATTGGCTCATGAAAAGAATGGCGCTTCATTAACCCGTAGAGGCAAACTAGTAAAAGCTTCCCAGAAGTATAGAAACAGGATCTTGGTTGCATCATCAATCAAATCCCTATTCAGTCACAGTCCAGTTGGGACAGGGAACATAGGACAATGTGAAGCTGAGCTAACTAATCTGGTGGAAAAGGTTGGTGCTTGATATCTTCCATTTCGTATGAGAGGCGGGTGAAGGCAAGCTTCGGTTCCCATGTTGACATAGAATTTGCGAAAGCCAGCCATTTTAAAGCAGGGAGAGGAAATCTTGACGATATTATGGCCCAGCTGAATGCATGTGCTCATTCACAGAGGATTTCGCGGAGCTCGAAGACATCTGGGGGATGCGATGATTAGTTAGCTAATTATCAGATCAGTCAGATCCAGCAAATCACGGGCGAAAAGCTTAGCTGGCCAATGGCTAGGCAGAATCTGCAGCAATTGAAGGTTCTGAGTGGCCAAATTTTGGCTGGAACTCACAGATGAAACACGTACTCCGTACCCAAAGAACGAAAACACAGTATCAGAATGATTGCCAGAAGGAAGCCGCAGGAGAGTGGAAGCAGTGAAGGTCCAACCTGCAGTTTTGTGAGAAGCCGTTCAAGTTGCGACTGCACAGGCAAGTCTTAGGACATCTTGCTCAGAGGTGTTGCATTTCCACTTGAGCTGAGGCTAATCCGCAACAAGAGGGGCAGAGGGCCAGTGCCAAGCCCGCCTCAACAAAAAAAGGTCGCCCACCAAAGGATTTGAGTCTGAGATAACGTGAACATATAAAATCAAATCTGGGAATCGCGTTTTCTCACTTCTTCTCCAACACAACACCCACCGCCAACATCCACATACCCCGGGTTCTTCATCACGCACAAAATCAAAGATGGCTGAACCAATTCCAAACAAGAAGGCGGATCTCATGGGTGCCCCGTAAGTCACCCATTCATCTTGGTTCGCGATTCTTCAAGAATTCACTTTTTCTGACCGCTTGACCTTGCTCTACAGCACTCCACAGAACACACCTGCCACCGCTGCGCCGATTTCTTCGCGTGCTCAACAGCCTAATATTGCAAGCATCAAGGAAGGTGAGTTTTTTTCGCTGCCTTCACAGCTTGACCCGTTGCAGATTATTTCTGACCTGCATCTAGAGGATCTTACTGCTGCATCTATCTTTGCGCAGAACCCTAAACTCGTCTCCATGATTCAAGGAAAACTTGGTACCCTCATCGGCCGCTCCTCCGGCTACATCGAGTCGCTCCCTGCCAATGTTCGTCGTCGAGTTGCCGGCCTCAAGGGAATTCAAAAGGAACACGCCAAGCTTGAGGCCCAATTCCAGGAAGAAGTTTTACAGTTAGAAAAGAAATATTTCTCCAAATTCAAGCCACTTTATGAGAAACGTTCGACGATCGTCAACGGCCAAGCTGAACCTACCGAAGCAGAAGTTGAAGCTGGAAAATCCAGCGAGGAAGAACAAGATGAGGACAAGAGTGCCGACGACTCTAAGGACGAGTCTGGCGACGTTACCATTGCCGGGATTCCTGAATTCTGGTTATCTGCTATGAAGAATCAGATCTCTCTTGCCGAGATGATTACAGATAGGGACGAAGAGGCCCTTAAGCACCTTATCGACATCCGCATGGAGTACCTTGACCGCCCAGGATTCCGTCTCATCTTTGAATTTGCTGAAAACGAGTTCTTCTCCAACAAAACTATCTCTAAGACTTACTACTACCAAGAGGAGAGTGGCTACGGTGGCGACTTCATCTACAGTCATGCTGAGGGTGAAAAAATCAACTGGAAAGAGAGCAAAGATCTTACTGTCAGGATAGAAAGCAAAAAACAGCGCAACAAGAGTAAGTTACACATTACCCATTTATCATTCTTTTGACATTTGCTGAGCTGACGGAAAATTATAGATACGAAGCAAACCCGTATTGTTAAAGTCACTGCACCCACGGAATCGTTCTTCAACTTCTTTTCGCCACCTAAACCCCCGCGTGACGATGACGAAGAAGTTGCCGATGATATTGAGGAGCGCTTGGAACTTGATTACCAATTGGGTGAGGATATCAAAGAGAAGCTTATTCCTCGTGCTATCGACTGGTTTACCGGGGAGGCCATCCAATTTGAAGAGTACGATGACGCTCTCGAAGAGGACGATTTTGATGACGATGATGACGATGAGGATGATGATGACGATGACGATGACCGAAGATCGGGTGATATTGACGATGAATCTGACGAAGAGGTATG